TTTTTGATGTATTTCGATGAATAGATTATTCTATATACATTGAAAAGTGCAAGTACCAGGCTCCTCGATGCAAAGTAACCCCAGACCTTTGAAGATTGTGTATATAAATCTACTTCAACTTTGATAAAAATACAGCGACAGTAGCTGCCGCACTATTGTGGTAAATAACTGTTCACTGCTTTCTTTGTTGAAGTGGGAGGATTCCCGTACCTACTCATGTTCACCGGAAGTACATGCAGTCAACAATTCAGATATACAATATTCTGTTATTGACAGCTACAATGTCCATGTCCCCGTCGACGCGCGGCGAGCAGAGGAGATGCTCGAAGGGCGGCTGAGGTGCGACGAGAAAGCCACCTCGAAATCCAAATCGGGCAGTCGACGAACGTCAATAAACCGACGCGCGTAGTCGCTTAGCCGCCTTACATAATTCCGGTAAAACCTCGGACGACGAGTTGGGCCAGCCGTCTCATAGCGTCCTCATCCTCACCGTTCGGCTTAATCAGGAAATACAACTATAAATAAACTACATTATATAAGCCATATTAGATAACATCTTCACACACGCCCTAGCAGAGAGGATCGAGGACGCGAGACGGATGGTTCTAGGAGCCTGACTGCGATGGCGAAGAACGGTCACTTGACAGGCGCGTCCTCCTAGGCACGTGGCATATTTACGTAAATTAGCTTAGGAGTTGCGACGAGCATCCCAACTGCCGTTATTGACAGGTCCTGGTTATTGACGCGACTTGCGACGTACAAGCTTGACTTTTGGCTCGGCCTTGCTCGATTTCGATGCACAATCCATGCCGGTGCCTGACCCTCCATGGAAAGTACGGAGTGAGTGAAACATAGCTTGTCTAGTCTGGTTGCTAACATGATGTTGAACCTCAACTGCAGCGCGGCCATGTCCCTTCTACTCCCAGGGTCGATGTTTGTTTGCTGACGCCTGCAACTACCTGCACGACGTCAAGATCAAAGCGACTCCTATCATTACCAAACAGGAGCTTGCGGAGGCCGCCGAGCAATCCCGAGGTTATGCTGTAGAGGAGGGAAGGGATACCGGGGACCGAGCATCCCGGAGAAGCATGAGTCGTCCTACATCAATTGAACGTTCCCCAAGAATGCAAAGTCTCCTGGCGGCCTTAGGTGATGTCCTGCCTCCAGAGGATGACCCGACCTGCGAAGATCCCGAGGAAACCCTTGTACTGCCTAAGGCTGAGGCTGCCTCTCCGCCGGCGGAAGGCGCAAGAAATCATGGAGAGCCCGGCTTTGCTATAGATGAGGATGCCCTACGGCGTTTTTCTCATTCTGCTCACAATCCATCTGCCACAGAAGAGATTCGGACAGTACAGGAGGATAGCATACGCGCGGGTAGAGAAATAATCTTTGCCGAGGAAGAAGATGACAATCCGATTGAGGAAGATTCTGTCCATTCTGAGGAGGACGATACCATCCGTCCTGGTCATGGCAGCTCTCATTCCACGCCAGTGAAGGATCCATTGACGCCAGTCGATGCTGTTGCTGAGGAGCAGCCTTCCCTGACCGCTACAGAATCCCACGTCAGCGACCTTGGGTTCGACATGTTGTCGCCAGTGAGCATGGGCGGTGCCCCTCCCACCCCGTTCCCCCTTCAATTATGCGATCTCGAGCGGACGGACTCGGTAGATTCTGGATATGCAGACAGCTGGACGGGGCCCACCCCTTTTGTCCTATCTCCCCCGCGAAGTCCTCGTCCTACCTCTACTCTCAGTATTCTCTCATCGCCTTTCGGTTCGCCTTCTGCGAAGCTATCGGGTAGCCGTGTTTCAGCGGAGATTTTGCTCTCCCCCAGTAAGGCCATGTTTGCCAAGGACGGACCCAGGGCAAGCAATGAGGAGGATGCTTTGACCACGCCAACATACCATGATGCTGGGAGACGTCGCGATGACGATATTGACTCTTTGGATTCCTTCGAATTGGACGATGGACCAGCCACAAGGGATGCAGGGTGCGAACGAAGTTCGCCTGCATTTGAGTACGACTTGGATTCGCCTGTGGATGATTCTTTTGATTGCTATCATCATCCTTCAGCTAACTCAACATTGTCCGACGTCAACACGGTACCGGAAGTCTCTGGACTCGGCATACTCGATCATTACTACGAGGTCAGCGCTGAGATTTCCACAGCTCCCGAATCAGAGCAAGCGGTCCAGCAAGAGTCTGCGCCGCTTGTAATAAGGGATCTAGACGCAGGATCTCCATTGTTGTCACAGATCCTGCCCGAACAAGAAGGGCCTGCATCTCCCAGACTATCACCCCCTCAATTCACAAACCCCTTCGACAGCGCCGAAGGTGGAAGTGTGGCGAGCTTTGGCGATGAATCTTCATACCTCGGCTCCACGTCGTTCTTCTCTTCCTTCCCACTTCCCCCGGCCGACGTGCCCACTGCTGCAGTGCAGCCAATTCATCCAGGACGAGCGTGGGTCCCGGCGGCCCCCTCTCAGCCCTTTAGTCCCCCGACTTCCGTTCGCGCCTTTAGCCCCACAGCCTCCGCTCGCGCCTTTAGTCCCCCGACCTCCGCTCGTGCGTTCAGCCCACAAACCTCCGTCCGTGCGTTCAGTCCTCCGACCCTACTGTCACCAGCTATCAAGGTCGATCACGTGCCAGCTTCAGGATCACCAATCCGCCCACGATCTTCCCTGGCCTTTGTCCACCGAGTTGAGGTCGACAGGCCTGCGCGAGGCGCTGCATCTGAGGCGGGTAGCGATCATTCGGAAGGGCATAGCCGTAATACTCCTTCGTTTGAGCTCCCTTCAAAGAAGGTCCCGTTCGGCTTCCGTCAGAAGTCATCTTCGGTAGGTGCGGTAGCACTGCTTGGGTTATCCGCTCATTTTCACACAGGCAAAGAGAACTTCACTGGTACCCGTCGGTAACGTAGATACTCGTCCGAGCTCGCCGTCCTTAGCAACGACGAGAACGGGAGAACGGTCGGTGTCGCCTGCATCTTCTATATCGAGGGAAAGCTTCGTCGAAGGTTCTTCTAAGCTCAGGCCACTACGTTTAGTGAGCATCATTCTCCTTTGCTGTGTCGGAGGACGCTAATACACGCATAGTCTCGCGTTCTTAGTCCGACATCCTTTGAATTCTCTGAGGCTGGGCCATCTTCGAGACCCTTATCTCTGCAAAGCTCAAACGGTCAGTGACGGTCCCTTGTCCCTTCGTCCATGATTTTTACTTGCCTGTTTCAGATCCATCGCACACACTCGCATCAAGACCTCAATCTCCAAGTGTATCATCAGAACAATCCATATCAGACCTTCAACTGGTGAGTCTCACCGGCTTTCGTGCGTCACGTCCGGTGACGTTGTCGCGTTCAGCTCTCCTCCGCACGTTCGTCATTGATACCCGAAGACATACGCAATATGCTAGCATGGAATAACCAAACATCTGGACCTCAACATAGTAATCAAACAACTAATCGGAATAGCTTCGCACCGCCTAGATCAGCACCTATTAATCGCCCTATATCCTGGCTGAAGTTCTCGCATACCCGACCGAACTCACGCGCTTCGTTATATGAGAACTCTCCTGCTCGTGCATTAAGCAGGCTTTCTGAGCCTGCCTGGGGGCATACGCAGGACGATGCATTCGATGAGGAAGATAATGACGATGCCTACGACCCTTATGACCATACCATTCGCAAACCGCTATCAGCTCTGCCTCGCACAGTGCCACGCTCCCGGCCTGCATCCATGCTGCTTTCACCTTCACCCACCCCCAAGCCGACCTTAATGTTTGCGATTGCTAGTGACGATGTGGAGGAAGTGCGGCGTGTGCTGGAAAGTGGTGAAGCAGAGCCGAACGCGCAAGTTGGCCCGCAGTCGGCTTTGGCGTTTACATTGACGAATGATCGGCTCAAGAACAAGATCGGGATTGTGAAAGAGCTTCTTGCTCATGGCGCTGACCCGGCGGCTCTTAGGAATCCGGACTCGAATCCGCCCGAGGCTTTGACTCAGGACCAGGTTTCTCTGCTTAGCCCTCCACCTAGCACCACGTTGGATGGCATGGACCCGGCGACTCGGTAAGCCACGATTTGTCGAACTTTACCTACCAAGGGATCCTCATATTGTATTTGCCCACCAGCTATTTCATCTCTAAAGCTGATAATCCCGATACGCGTCGCGCATCTGCCCTTATCCACCGCTCGTTCTTCCGACCGCTGGCAAAAGTTCGATATGATATCATTGGCCAGGATCGTGCTCTGGAGCAATTGTTCCGCGTGTTGAGCATGAACTCCCAGCAGTTCTCTGTAGCACCCCTCGTAGTTCTCCTCTGCGGTTAGTTGTTTACTCGATCGAACGATTGGGGGTTTCCGATGGGCAATCCGTACAGGTCCTAGTGGTCATGGGAAGAGTCTCTTGGCTCGGAAGTGTACGTCTGCGTATCTGTCACTTCATACCTCATTGACGGCTAATCGTCATACAGTTGGCTCGTTACTCGAAGTCCCTACCCACACGGTAAACATGACCACTTTGAGATCAACGCATGACATATGGTTGTCCCATTCTATGAATCCCTATGAAGTGAGCTGCTCCAGTCACGTCTATCTCATGCCGCAGATCTTTTTGATACGTCATCTTAGGAGCCTTCAAGTTCCACGCTTGCCGAGTTCCTCATCGACAACGAAGGCAAACGTTGCGTCGTAGTCCTTGACGTAAGCTGAGCATAATTGACCGCTTGAAATTTCACGAGGCTCACATCACCGCAGGAAATAGACAAGACGGAAGACGAGAAATTCCTGCTGTCTTTGCTGATGCCGTGGGAGATAGGTAAACAACCCGAATAATTGTTTAGACAGTGCTGATATGCGTTTCTGCAGGCCGTTGTTCGCCCGAAGCCGGTCGTCGCCATATTGATGTGCGAAACGTCATTTGGATAGGGACGGCGAACATCGGACACGACCTGGTATTCGCCTATGAAGCTGAAAGGCCAGATCCGTATTCCATGTTGTCCAGAGAGGAATACGTAGAGCTTATGAGACAGTTCCGACCCGTCGTCTCGGACCGGCTAGGGGTAAGCAGTCACTTCTCAATGCAAGTCCTTTCCCTTCTAATGAACGATAGGCATCTCTGGTCTCTCGAATGACAACAGTCCTTCCGTTTGTTCCTTTCACCGAGGATGAGAAGATGGCCATAGCTGCGGAAGCCCTCTATACCCTAGGAAAGGACCTAGTGCAGACTCTCCCGTCTGAAACTGTCGAGACTATGCTGAGAAGAGCCATGGATGACTATCTCCCGGATGAGGGAGCACGATGTTTGTACAGGAGTGTATCTACGCAGCTATTAGACTTCTCCATGTGAGATTTGGGTGCTGTTCGTTCTCTCGAGCCATGATCTCTCAGTGTGTACTAAAGTGGCAGGCGTTTTCCCTCTTTTGGATAAACCACGTGATCTTCCATTGAAGTTTACACCGAAGATCCAAGCTTTGCAACTTCAAGCTCAAGGCTCGCAGCTGGTCCTTACAGCGCGCTACTTCCAAGCTTCTCTCTTGCATGCTTCGACCTGTGTCCTAGTGAATGTAGGATCGACGGCTGAAATGATGCATCCTGCCTGGCGAGATGCTTGCTTGAAGGTTTTGCTCGGGGGTCGTCGCGCTCAACTGGCTGTAATCCCCGAAGGCAACACCAGAGTTTGGTCGTGCAGTCATGACAGAGGGTTCCATACTTCCCCGAGCTCGAGAGCGGCTCAGAGAGCCCAGGCGCCGGCCATGGAGGACTACCCTAGCGAGGTCATCCGGTACGTCTTGGTCAAAATGGGTTGACGGGACGATCATAATAGAGCGGTACTCTAGCAATTTCTCTATCATAGCACACATTGGTATGATATACAATACCTTTCTCTCAGTCATGACTTCAATGGATGGGATTTAACTAGACCACGGCAAGTCAACGCTAGCAGACAGGTCAGTGCTGCGCTAAACCTCCTGACATTGCACTCATATCAGGGACTTCACAGGCTCCTTGAGGTGCCCCAGATCCATAGTACTCCCAGACATAGAGTGTTGAATAGTACGATTCTAGCTTACCGGAACGGTCCCGAAACTTCGGAAGGATAATCAACAAGTTCTTGACAAGCTGAAGGTCGAGCGAGAGCGCGGAATAACAGGTTAGCATTCTCTCCCCCTTTCCCGGGCAGACGAGGTAGGCCTGTCACCAACGTCATGCTCTCGCTGGTACATCATTATCCGTCCTGGAGGAATCCCAATCCTTGCGATGCAACGTAGCTGATAGGCTCGTAAAGTGAAGGCCCAGACTGCTAGCATGTTCTATAGCTACATGAATAAACGTTATTTGCTCAATCTTATCGATACGCCTGTACGTCCATCTGTCGCGAGTCCCTTAAGAGGATGCTGAATCTCTGGAAATCGCTACTTCTTCGCAACGTTGCGTGTGCGGTACCGTTAGGGACACGTTGACTTCTCTTGGGAAGTAGCAAGGTCGCTTGCGGCATGTCAAGGTGCTTTGCTTCTTGTGGATGCCACACAAGGCGTCCAGGCCCAGACCTTGAGTGTTTTCCACGTCGCGAAGGAGAAAGGCTTGGTTATAGTCCCAATTCTTAACAAAGTAATTTCATCGCGAACCATGTCGAAGGATGCTGTCCGGACTCACATACTCTTCCCTCAGATCGATCTTCCTGCTGCCCAGCCAGAACTAATGGCTGCGCAGATGCAATCGACATTCGGAGTCGACCCTTCAGATATCTTACACATATCTGCGAAGACTGGCAAGGGAATAGAAAATGTACTACAAGCCATTATTGAACGCATACCTCCACCAGCATCGGCATCTGCAAAGAATGACAACCGGTTAAAAGCGTTCCTGTTCGATTCATCGTAAGTGTAAAGTTCACTCAAAGCGTTCGGCCGCTGAGCTTGGCATTTTTGTAGTTATGATAGATATAGAGGAGTAATATCGCTGGTATCCATACAATCTGGTGTATTACAGAAAGGTATGTGGGGTGTAGATGCGTCAAGATTCCTTGTTTAACCGCAGTCATACTTTCCAGGTGATAGAATACAGTCCATGGCGACGTCTAAACGATATGAAGTAACGGATTTGGGGATAATGTCTCCTGAGGAGAAGCCAACCGCTTCACTCAGGGAAGGTCAAGTGGGCTGGATGGTTTGTGGCATGAAGGACAGTGCAGAAGGTGAGCCTAGTACATTTCTACAGCATGTTTGGTCCTTCCTTTCTCTTGCATGTGGACCAATCCTATCCTGCTACTGAGGAGATGTGCTGACTGAACTGTCGACCTCTACTAGCCCACGTCGGGGATACCATGCACAGGGTCGGAGAGACAGTAGAACCTATGCCGGGATTCAAACTCGCGAAAGCCATGGTTTGTTGAGCGACTTATCTCCCCCATCTATCATATTACCAACTCATATTTTACAAACATCAGGTTTACGCAGGTATTTTCCCGGTTGACAGTAATGACTTCGTCAAATTGGAAGAGTCTATAAAGAGGGTATGCTTCGTGATCTCAAAGATACAAGGGCACCTGATAAATACTGATAAAATACAATTCAGTTAACGCTGACCGACCGCTCCGTTACGGTGTCGCGAGAGTCTTCCACTGCCCTAGGCCAGGGTTGTCGACTGGGCTTCCTTGGTACCCTGCATATGGACGTATTCAGGCAAAGGCTTGAGGATGAGTATGATGCCAACGTCATCATAACCGCTCCTACGGTCCCGTACAAGGGTGTGCTATATTTATTCTCTGCCGTAGGAACGCCCTTACTGATAGGACGTACCAGTCATCTACAGAGATCGAGAACAACTTGTCAGCAATCCTACGGACTTTCCTGATGTCACCGACACTAGTAATAAAGTGGTAGAGGTCCAGGAACCAGTCGTGAACGCATCCATCATCGTGCCCGAAGGTAATCCCGGCATACTCCGTTATTGCTACTGTCTACTCACCGCTCGAATTGCTAGAATACCTCGGTGAAATGATGGATTTGTGCTTTGCCCATCGCGCGGAAGAGATGGATTATCGTTATCTCGACGTATCGGGAGTAACCTCGTCGAGAATACTGTTGAAGGCTGTGATGCCGCTTAGTGAAATCGTGACAGACTTCTTCGATAAGTTGAAGAGCAGGTCATCAGGTTTTGCTAGCTTCGAGTGAGTGGACCTTCCTCGTTGTAGAACCGTTATGAACCCACATCAGCTACGAGGACGCTGGATACAAGGCCAGCAATCTAGCCAAGGTACAGTATGATCCCAAGATAGTTGAGGAAGGTCCTAATGCTACTCCTTGCGCTCGCGTAGATGGTGTTTCTGATCAATGGTAAGCCGGTCGATGCCCTGGCTCTAATCGTGCACCGCTCCGCGGAGCAAGCGGTAGGCCGAGCATGGGTGAAGAAACTTCGTAAGTCTGGACTACTACTACGGCGATCCTTACCGACATTGTCATGAAAGACAAAGTAATTCCTCGCCAGTTGTTTGAAGTGCCGATTCAAGCTGCCATTGGCAAGAAGATTGTGGCAAGGGAGACATTGTCTGCAATGCGTGCAGACGTTACAGCCGGTCTATACGGCGGTCAGTACCACCTTTCGATCGCTACGCATCACACTGACTTGGTTGCTACAGGCCATCACGAACGTAAACTAAAGCATCTAGAGAACCAAAAGGAGTCGAAACGGCGCATGAAGAAAATTGGCAGCGTAGATCTGCCTCAAGAAGCCTTTTTTGATATCCTCAGTTCCAAGAGCTGATCTATGATGCATCCCAAGAGTACACTACATCCTACTACAACGTACAGTATTGTTCTGCATGCCATCATCTGCTGTGCATATTCAAGAAGATCGGATACCTGACTATGGCAAGAGTTGCCAGAATGACCTGTCCGATTCTCTGCAGCGGCAGAATGCGCTGTATCCTCCACGATAGCATCCATATCCAGAGAACCGCCCGAATTGGCGAACTCGCAGAGTAGCATGACCGTGGTATCTCTCCTTGTATCTCGTATGTAGGGAGGCCCGTAGGCCTGTCGGTCTACCCTGGTGTGACTATAGCTCATGATCGTCGTCGTCATAGCTTTCCTTTATGAGACTGGCCAAGGTGTCAGCTGATCGAATGCGGCCTAAACTTCAACGACTTACCGATACACGGACGATGGTGGGTGATCGCCACTGATGGCAAGTCAGTGTGAGCATAACATGCCGACACCAATAAGCCAACTCACTCGTTTGTGATATAGACATCGATCAACTCCGGCCCCACATAGTCGAAGTATGGATTGATAACGTCCACCTTGTCGACCAGAGACCCCTCCTCAAAACCAAGGACACTGCTCGGATCTGCGAAATCGAGAGCACCGTAATCATGGTACAGGTTCCAGAGTGGGGTAAGCTTGAATTGACCGGCACATACGACCACAGGCGTGCTGTGTGCCTGCGCGGCCGAAACAGCGAGGAGCGACCCAGTGATGGCGAACATGCCGCCGTTGGCTAGGATCGCGTGCGCTCCGAGGATGCATTTGTTGACTCGGGACATCAGAGCATAAATGGATGAATCGGGTACTAGGAAGCTGGATATGCCCGCTGAGGATAGTGAGCAGGCCATTTCGTGTCCGCCAAATCTGTAGAGTGATGTAAGAAAAGGCTCCCAGTAATCCGTAAGACCAGCTTACGATGGTGCCGTCTCCGCGACGATGACTATGTAATTTCGGTAATGGGCAGCCGCCTTCAAGAACGACTCTACAGTCTTTGAGTGTCCTATGGTCAAAATAATCTCGCTACGCAGATTAGGTGAGTCCCCCAGATGTCAAGTATAGAGAGGACACTCACTCAGAATGTATATGATCTTTTGCGCTCTTAGAGACATTGTCGTAGACTGTCTCCAGTTCGTCCAGAACATCCTGAATAGCCTCCATCAAGACTGGCTTTAACCCCTTTGCGAAGGAGTCCGGGTCGTTGGGGTCGTTTTCTCTTAAGCTCGTTGACCTTGTATCGGACTTCGGAGCGGTAAGATTTTGTTTTCTCGGCTGACCTTGCGACACAAATTTGGATATCGAGAACGAGCTCTTCGCCGTTTGGGTGGATGGCCCCGCCCGTGAGACGGCCTGGTATTCTTCCCGCACGTGATGCAGGACTTTGCGCACGGTGTTTCCGACGGTATGTTCTGCATTAAGAACGAGAGGAAAAGAATGATGCATTTAACGGGTCTATCGATTGTACACGGAAGGAATTTGTGTGGGGGAATAGGCACCTTTTGGCTGCGCCTGAACTAACCTCCGGCCCACCGCTTTAATTATGTGGATCAGTTGCTCAATATTTGAAAAGCGGGCTTTTGAGACGACTTGTCGGAGGACGAGGACAGTCTCGATAGCTGTCTGGCGCGATCCTACTACTTGTCTGGTGAGATCATGGAGGGTGAGTGTGTTAAGCACTATGTATAGGAGAGATTACTCACCTTCGCCTTAGTTTTGACACCAGCACTTCAACAATGCGTTGATTTGCAACATTTTGCACCTCTGGTGGGATCCCCATCGTAGTAATACCAGAAATTTCAAAGCAGTCGAGTGGAAGTACGAATGCAAGCCTTGAGCAGGACAAAAATAGATCTGACTCACTTCCTGCAGAGTCACGCTTGCGTCACTTCACGTGCCTGTTATCCTTGTCACAGTCGTTGTCAATGTGTTCGGAAGGCTGAACGAGCTGTGACGAAGTCCATTGCCGCTGCCCCTGCGTACAATGTCTCTCGCAGAAGCATCAGAGTCAAGAAAGGCTCGGCTGATAGCCTTGCGAAAGCGCAAGGCTGGAGAAGCCGTAGATGACAGGTGCGTATCCGAAGGCCTGTATAAGATTATGCAGTTTGTCCTGACTTATGTTCGCACGTGGTTCAGTGAGGAAGTGGTCATCCGGACGCGAAACTTTGACCCAGAGACTCGAACATTGAGAAAGCATACTCCAGATATAGAGATGGAAACCGTCGAGAAAGCCGTGGACGGGATAGCAGAGAAGATCATTGCTGAGGATGAAGAGCGGAGAGCACAAGACTTGGTAAGTTTGTGTCAGAGCTGGTTCTTATTGAATGTGTATTAACTGGGCTATAGGACTTGTTTAACATTGCCCCAAAACGTCCGAACTGGGATTTGAAGCGCGAAATGGAGAAGAAGATGGCGAAACTGGAGAGGCAGACACAAAGGGCGATACATACCCTCATTCGTGAGTGACAGCAGCAATGGAGGGGTGAGTCACTCGTGTAATATCCCATCCAGGACAGCGATTGGCTGCACAGAAGGGTCAGTCCGACGACCTGGTGGGCGCCATGCGCGCACAGGAGAAGGAAGACATGGAGGAGGCCAACTCTGACGAAGAGTGAACGCCCCTCTCGGCTTTCAGGCTTTCGATCATTTTATGGTTATAATTTATTGGGCAGAACATTGTATCCATAGGTTCGCGGCAATTGCTTTCTGACACCACTTCACTGCCTACCAGAGACCGCGGGGTACCTGGTGTTTGTAGGCGTCCCACGATAGGGTTCCCCTTGCTTTACTCTCACCGCGATGAAATTCCCGCCGACCTGCCCTAGTTTTATCGAAGACACGTATCATTCGTATCCGTGCGTATCGGTGTCGTTTATGTTTGTTCTTGAAGCTAAATTTAAGCCTTCTGAATTGCGCAGCCGCGCTTCACGACCTTGAACCATCCGAACTGGCCGTGCTTGCATCCTTTCAGTTACGGTCGACGGGAACATCTTCAGATAAAACGGCAGCAGAGTTTTCCATTGTCCTGCAAGCCGCGCCCTAAGCTCGGAAGCGGATGCCAGATCCTGTAGCATTGCCATAAATAGTATACTAAGATCGAGAAACGTGAGAAAAGAAGCCAATGATTGGGATGTGGCAATCTATATAAACGCTGCTTTCATGCTTTGCTTGTGCTCTCCAACCTTTCCTCTCACTTATGCTGTCCGACAACGACCAACAAGCCTCGCGGCGCATCCCCAGTCTCGTTCAATACTGCCAGCGAGGTAGGCCCTTGTCTTTCCCGCCACTGCCGACGCTTACTGCGCCTCACGGCAGTCGCTTCCAACCACGTGGAATGTATGTACTCATCCTTAGAAGTGCTAAGGCGGTTTGACTGAGCAGGACGCTTTCAGCCATAAGTAGTTTGGGTGATCTGCGCTATGATATTGTGAAGCCCGTCTTGAGTGGCTGCTCGCCAGAGACGCTGGTCCGACTCGAAGAAGCCTCCCCGGTCCGTTCATTCTATTCCGTATCTTTTTATCCGAATTAAGTAGTGTCTCGCTATGCAGCAGCTGGAAGTCCAAACACTTGGTAAGCACTATGAGTTCGTAGCTCATGCGCTCAAGGTGCTGAACTCGGCCTGTAGAAATCTGGAGACAGCTGTGTTTCCGTAAATATCCTGTACAATGCTCAGATAGATTCGCGGAAGAAGAGCCAGATTCATGGCGAGACCAGTTCTTTGTACGTAACTGTGCTCCACTGATGGTACGGGTTTGTTGACGTGCCTTCCCTACCTAGTTTTTAGAAGACGAACAAGCTAGACGGTTAGAGGAAGTCGGCTCCCGCATACGCAGTCAACGCCAGCAAGCCGAGGAACGCAAGAAAGAAAGCCAAATCAAGATCACCGACAGACTCCCTCCAGCTAAGAAAGCTCGATGTAAGCTAAACCTCCGCGCCTCCTATTCGCACTAATCTCACGCTGCACTCAGGGGGGATGGCCTCTCAGCCGAGGTCGCTCTTCCAGAAGACTCGGACCGAAGCCTCCAAATTACAGAAGACAATGTACGGGCCTCGCTTGCTACCTCCTATGCCCGCGGCGAAGAGCTATCGTGTACTGCCGAGCACCACTACCAGCAGTCTCCTGCCCGCACCACCGTCTACATTGAGCAACCCTCGCGTCACTGTCAAGGCTGTGCGTCGACCCTCTAGCTCTTCGGTACCTCCGTCCTCGTCTGCGACGCCGAAACAACCTGTCCCACCGCCGTCTACCGCACCCCCGAGGCTCCTACCTCCGTCCCAATCGCCGCCGCCGCCCCGTGCAGAAACTGTCCGGCCTCTGAAATCCCCAGCCCACAGCAAGAAGGACCCGATGTCTAACCTGTTCATGCCTAAACACCGCGCACATTCTCAATTGCCACGTCAGTCGATGGCGACCCCAGTTAACGGTAGATGAAGGACCGGTACACCCTCTCAGATTTCATTCTCTCCGCAGCATTCTAGCATATTCTTATTCAGGACGACGTAGACATCTTAGCATCTATTGTCTTGCTGTTACCCCCAGCGTATGTTGTACATTATTAGAACCCGAGGCAGTCGGAATCTAGTGTAGGTATCGAGTTGTTGTACGTGAATGCAATGTTGCTTGTCGAATCCCAATCATGTTACTGTGTCACATACAATCATCATGTTATTGGATAGTGGTGCCGAATCGTCACCGCTTCCATATATTCAATGTTACTTTAACACCTGTTCTTCTATGCTTCATGATTCGAAATGCGTGAAGATGAACAACGAGTAGGGACGAGGGATGTAAATGTAACCGACTTCAGCACAAACATGCTACAACCATGCAAGCATCATTATATGTGATAGAACAAGATAGAATGAATGAGTGATGACTCCATGCAATTCTTACACTTCATGACTGAAAAACAACATATTAAAATGCTCCGCTCCCGCTGCCTCCATCGTCCGAATGGCTATTGAGGCGTTCTCTGCTCTTACCCTTCCCTTTCCCGATTACTGTGTCGGACAACTCCTCGGTGCTCGGAAGACCACGTTCTGTCGTATCGAGCGCTTCCCATATCCGGATTGTGTGGTCGTCCGAGCATGAGGCAAACATGCGTTCGTTCTTGGGATTCCATGAAACGGAGTTCACGCTCCCCGCACCGTGACCAGAGAGTACCTCTAGAAGGACACCACTGTCTCGATGCCAGATGTAGACGTTGCCATCTTGCAGCAAATGGTTATCATTGCGATCTGCGAATACTTGATTGGTCTGACGAACCTTCACTTCCGCTAACAATGAAGTTGCTATCGACCCCCCCAAAACAGCTGCGAATGACGTGACGTCCTTGACGTTGACCAGTAAACTTGCGAGCAATGCGACATGTTGACAAGTCCCAAAGGTGGATCTCCTGTGATCACAATGTCAAGAGGGAGGATAATCAGGAGGAATGCGTCCCTTGCGGTAATCAACACGCACATCAGGTGCTTGATTGATCAGTGCATATTGCGAGTCCGGTGAGATCTTCACACTGGTCGTTTCACCATCAAGACGTATTGACCTAGCATGCCAGGAAAATCAGTGTCGCTTACTCTGCCCGGAATGCAGGAGGCCTTACGCTTCCGTTTGTTTCGAAGCTAAGTCATAGATGATCATCCGGTTCTCGGAGTCTCGAGTCGGTGGATTGGGCCTCGCACCACCGCCCCCGGTCGGAGGGGTACTACTCTCACTTCGACTTGCACCAGTCGATGAGGCCAGGCCCGTGGGCGCTAGGTAGTGCATGCCCACGGCGACCACCCGCGTGAAGTCCGGAGTCACAGCGAGGTCTGTAACCCGAATCGAGGTTGTTCCCCAACTATCTCGTCGGTTGCCGTCCACGTCCTGAAGATTATAGTTCAGTCAACTTGTAGACCCAGTACCAGAGAACATAGTGGACTCCTACCCAAAGGATAATCTTCCGATCCAGGCCACCCGAAATGAAGCCAGTCCCATCTGGTAGCCATGCAAGGGAAGTCACGGTATCTGAGTGTTCCTTAAGGACTCGTATGCATATACCAGACTACACAACAAAGTAACGTTTCTTAATAGCGGTCCACGGCAGAGTATGGCAAGTGTAACTCACGGTGGTATTCCACATTCGCACGCAGTCATCTGACGCCGTGAGGAGTATCGAATCGTCCAACGACCATGCCAAGTATCCTACGGCATATTGGTGTTCACGCAGGACAAAATCCACCGTATATGTTCTGGCCGAGACGTCCTTCTCGGGCTGTACAGTTGAAGATAGGCAAGGATCAGTAATGAAGGAAGGCCATTGAACATGGAGGTCAGGTACACTCCACGAATAGCCCAAAGAAGCTTAATCATGGAACAATTAATGAAGCAATGAACTGAGAACAGTGGCTCTGATCCTTGGCATAGCAGGGAGCAGCCTAGAAGCTCCCTAGCACGTCTGTATACGGCTCCCTCTAGGAGCCACACGGAAGAGACGCGCAGCAAGAAGTCTCAACGACTTCATAAACCATAGACCACTGCTCCAGAGCCCAGCTTCAGGAAATTGGAATATAGAAGACGTACCCCGATTCTCCATATCAAAGCACACCTATCACTCCCCGCAGTCGCAAGTCTCGTTCCGCAGTGACTCCACTCGACCGCCCATACCTCATCCACGTGCCCGTCCAAGATCGCAGTCGTCGCCCTGGGCAAGTGTTTCTCTCTATCGCAGTGATGATCCATATACAACGAGAAATGTGATCGAGGGTTGGGTGACGTGAGGGAGAGCGGGACGTTGTGATATAGACAGTGTGATTGCTGATATAAAAGGGATTGGGAAAGCAGTGTCGAGAGGCGCCGTGGAGGAATCATGAGTGATGAGGGGATGTAGCCTGCGATGGATGTGCATAGCTTTAGGTATGAAGTTGTGAATACAGCAGCCGTATATCAACGCACGTTGTAGATTGGACAATAGTCGGCGTCTCGAAGTACCTAATGCGCCGTCCCACCCAGCTCGCTGCCGTAGATCCGCAGCGTCTGAGCACATCATAAGACTGGTAGTTGCCCCAACTGTTAGTATACCGAGATTCGTATGCTCTGGTTAACTGTGGGTCATACCTCGACAGCGAGTGTAATTGATCGGATTCCACTTGTAAGGGCGCAATTTCATTTCGCAGTACTTGTAATGCAGCAGTAGTATTCTCGGCTTCCAGGAGCTCGAGGTACTTCTGCTGGCTGATCAAGAACTTCGCTTCCTGGTAGCAGTAGTCGGTCATTATCACACGGAAATGAGTTTAGAGTCTACATACCCATAGACCGTCCTCTTCCGTCACACCTAATCGTACCAACGCCCGCTCTGCCTCCTCCCAAGCTGCCTCAAGTATGCACTGTCGAAAGTCAGATACCTCCGGCGTTTCCATGGCATATCCAGATTCCGCCTCCAGCGTTGCAGCGGACTCACTAAGACACATCGTTAAGTATGCGGCGATATGTGTGCGAGCGAATGGGCGTACATGTAGCCTACATCGCGTAAGCTCTGAATCACGAGCCTCACGAATTCTTCCCGGTCCACAAATGAGTCGTCGTACAATGTAGTTCCAGGGAGGTTAACTCGCGAGATAGACGATGCAGCGCTCTTGCCATTTGTTGACATTGATTTGAACGGCGCCGCACCAACGCCGTTAGTCGGGCTTAGCGATCCATTGGCATATCCCTTCGTCGATGAGCTATGGCCGTTGGCTACAACAAGCTTGGGGGAACCTCTGTCTAAGCCGACGGAGGAGGGACCCGCCTCCGCGGCCGAGTCGATCATGGAACGGTGCGCGTACCCGTCAGAGCTAATCGACCTGGTGGCGGGCAAGCTGTCGGCGCCGTACTTCGGTATTCGATCTTCAGATGATGGCATTCGGAGGCTACTATCAATGGCAGTAAGGGAGGTCGAAGTGGACGCGGTTGAGCTGTGGCTATCAATCCTTTGTCGCTTCCGGACAGGCTCGTCGTGCTCTGCAACAGCACGCACGTCAGAGGGTCATCCGCAATGCCACAGGGCTCACGCACCAGGGGAATCCGAGGGTAGCGCAACTAGTGCCTCAACGCTCTCGTCTTCTTCCTCAAGTTCAGCCCTTGTGCGCGTGGCCGGGACGAGACTAGACTCAGCACGTATCCTTCCCGTGGAATCAAGGTCCGACGAGACGGAGGGAGCAGGTGCGGTGCGCTCAGTCGTCCTCTCCTCGTTCACCTGTTCGCGTTCCAGAATTCCACCCGGGCTCTCCGCCTGTAGGAGGGTAGCTAGCCTGTATGCGTGCGGGACGGAATCCCTGGTCGTGCCGCGGCGGTTGTTGGATGGATCAATGTTGGCAGCGTTTGTCGCGGGGGGTCAACAGCATAGAGCAGTCGCTGCAGGTCGTCAGGAGGCAGGACGCAGCGACGGTTAACGGGCAGGGTAGAGGGGGCTTTCGTAACTAATGACTGCCCTGCTCATGGCTTACCGGACGAATGCGGTCGCTATTCCACGTGCGCCTCGCGTGTCCGATGCCCTTACAAGGCTGTCATCTGCCTCGAGGCTCTCCTCGCCTCTTCCAGCCTATCTTTTGATTTTAAGCTATGCTAAAACTTACGAATGTACCGGCCGTGGGCTATCGACAGTTGTGGCCATTATAATCAGGCGTGAAAGTCGTCAAGTCGGTCCGGACTGCACTTAGGTACGGCACTCAAGCAGCACGTCCCACTCTGAATCCATAGGGAAATGGACGTTCTCGACACACTCTCTTAACTGAAGCCACAAGGCAGTCTTCACAGAAGAACGCGGCGATTATAGGTCGTGATACATGTGTGTTCGGAGTCAATTCATAGGCATACAATACTGCAATGCATGGCGTGTCAATGTGGGGATATATGCGACGATGTACGCTATCGCTAGTGTAAGATGACGAATAATGAGAAATATGCATAGTCCAGAACGTTGGCAGAATATATTGAGCAATGGTTGATCAAGGGCAACAGGTGTTGTATGACTGAGAATGGATGCACACCAGGAACGAAGGAAATAAAATATACGACGACGTGCGCGACGAACACAAAATCATGCTACAGATGACGAATGGAGTGAGAATACGACCTGAATGAATTCCGACGTGTTCTGTGGGGCGTCCCGGATCTTGACGGGACAATTTTGAGAGTGGTGGTGAGAACTGAGCAGGCTTGTGTGAGGTAATGGGGCCAACGTCGACGCAAAAACACAATGCTGGGAAGGCCATGGAAGGGGTTATGCTGAGTTGATGATATGCTGAAGGAACAGGGATGCGATGATTAAATATGAGTGCGATGGTAATGCTGGATGAGACTGAGTGAATCCGATGCAGGCCGGTCTAGGAATAGATGTCGTATATGTTCGTGATTTTGGTCGTCGTGACAGCTTTTGCGGCAGCGGCGCTCAAGGAACTGCTGCCAGTCCCCGCATCGCCCATCTCTCTCGATCCCTCAGGCCGCTCCTCCCGCTTCCCAGTCCAGGAGCCCTCTTCATCCGCATTCCTCCATCGTCCAACTCCTCAGGGCGCAGCCGTCCTCGACGACCTTCGGACTCCGACCTCTCGGTGCCCCTGCCAAACCCCACGGCCAACTTGGCCATCTCGTCGGTAATGAGACCGAACTCACGCTTGGTGGAGACTCTCCCCCGACCCTCCTTTTCCGCCTCGTGCTGGTCTAGCGCAAGAATAGTGTGTTGTCTGGAAGAGCGAGATCGGGAGGCACGAGACGGCGAGCGAGACAGCGTGGCACGTCGGCTAACGCTGCTGTCGTCGTCGTCGCTGAACCGTTCCTTTGGCCGCCCACGACGAGGGGTAGCCTCAACCGCTGACCTGCCCCGAAAATTTGCCGCATCGTCGAATTCGGCGGAGTTAGGCAGGCGACGAGACGTAGGGGTGGGAGGTGTCGTTCGCATGCCGGTGAGGGTGTGAATAGAAGAGCAGGAATACTTTGAGGACTCGTCCGAGATTCTGGCCGCGGGCGATGACCCAGTCTGCAGTAAGGCAAAGTAGGATGGGAGACTCGCACGATTACGCTTCGACTTGGGCTTCGCAGTCCCTTCATCTGGGTCCTCCCTCTGCTTTGGCTTTTGCGAGCGCCGAATCGTGGGCTGACGTTCGGCAGGTGAGTCGGAGAAGGAGAGGTCATCGTCCGAAGGGTAAGGTGCAGAAGAGGGAGCGCTTTTGGCGATCAGGGAGGACTGTGAAAAGGATGACGAACTGGACGAGGAGATTCGCCGGTGAAGGTGGGGAATGGTCGACCTATTGTTCGTGGTGGACGGCCGACGAGCATAGGCAAGGGCTGAAGACGGCATGGACTTCGTGAGCCCCGCTAAAGGCAGCGGTGACGCAGTCGATGACTTGGTAGTGGTGCCGTCCATCGGGTCCAAAGGGACGTCGGCGAGATACCCGTACTCCTCGTCCACGCCGTACACTGCGCTGGATCCGAAATCATCGTCGTCGTCCTCGGTGAAGGCCGAAGATGACCAGTTCGACGAGACAGAAGTGAAAGACGTCCGGTTCCCTGCTCCCCGGGACGCGAGCGCTCTTCCAAGAGCGGAAGGGATTAGAGCCGGAACATCGGAAGCTGGGCCAGTCATAGAGTATGGGAGGTGAGGGGAAGGGAAAGCGCTGCTGGCCGACGAGATGGACGGCGACGTCGCGTCCAGGCACTCGCATTCATCGGAGCAATACGCCCTCGTTTAAGGATACAATGGGTAAATACTTTGAGAGCCTTAGCGGATGGACCGAAAACTTACCCATCGCCTTCGATAGGCTTGCCGCATTGCAGGCAAATTTCTTCAAACATGCGGCGAAGAGTGTAATGGGCTATAGCCGAGAAGGCTGGGGAGTGCAAGCGACGACTGAGAGCGTAATCTAGCAGGCAGCTCGGGGGTCGGAAGTATTGTGGACAGGGAAGCGGGAGGAAGGCAGGCTTTATACAGCCGCAGGAGGTGACTAGAGAGCATGACTCGCCGTGACGGTTACGGGCAGTCACAGCTTCCCGAAGTGGGTGGACCCCGGTCGGACGAGGGCCCCTTGGCACCACATGTCACCGTTTCGGCCTTGTCTGCTCCTCCGTCCCAATCTAGATCTTCCGCTGCAAGAAAACCGTTGAGGTACGCACGTTTCCGCCATTGTCCTGCGTGCCACCCTGACAATCCCCACCCCAGGCCCAGTCCTGCGTCGTGGCTGGGCTCTCCGTTCCAATCTTTTGCCTCCTCTTTCTCCGGAGGCGCAAACGTGCAAAACGGTAGGAAATGGAATATTCTGCTTCCTGATCCCTGTCTGTCCAGCTGGTATACCGTCGGCAGTTGGCATCCAGTCCTGTCACGTTCGTGCATCACGTTCATTGAGCTGGGGCCAAGCCCCTAAATTCCCCATTATGGCGATGCCGAACGATCATTCGACATGTTCTCTTCTCCTTGTAAGATGTCTCAACCTTCTGGTGCCCAGAAACGCGCCATAACCATTGTCCATCTTTCGCGATTCCGTCCCCAGTGAACGTGTCCGGATGTTCTTCATTTCCCGCAGATCTGTGATTATGCTTTTTGACTCCATGCACGCGTCTTCGACGCGCTCATGGTGTGTATGTATCACAGAATGTCGCGTCGTTCCTGCGCGACATCACATCACCGGCAATTACCTTGCATGGACCTCGGCGGTCGCGTCTCCACTCACTGCTCTCAGAAGATGCGGGATGCCAGTCACAGCGTGTGCTCGTGTGTGTCCATAATTTCCATTGTATTCGGACAGCTTCGAGAATTGAAGTCTAATGCGGTCGTCTTGTATCGTGAGTATGATCATAAAGAATAGGCCTATTCTTGGGCGATGCCCGGCGTATTTCGGTACTGTACCACCGCTCGGCCGCTGACCCGAGCACCCTCAAAACTAACTGCGAAGGTCTTCCAACTGCCGGAAAGAGAGCCCTGCGCTTGGACTCGGAGTTAGCTTCGTGAAGAATCCATCGAGGTCCATCGAATGTTGCCCATGTCGGTGAACCGGACATCGTCACGGTCACGAATTCCATCCCACCTGCTTACCGACCTCGCTGGAACGGAAGAGGATGCCTGTACCGTGCAAGCAAGGTATTTGGGTACGGTCGTTGTAGCCCAGGTCCACTTCGACGAACCAAACGATGACGTCTGCTCTTCAACGCTATCCCGACGCATTCCTCGCAGGATCCGTAGCTGAACGCGCTGCGTCATTTCTCAGGTGACCTTTGATTGCACGGAACCTGGAAACTATATTCGTGCTTCAGGCGCACCCGGTTTCCATGGTCATCAGTGGTCATCATGGTCACGCCGTTTATCCTGGTGATCTCGAGTGGGATCCCGCAGTGCGGTGCACCCACAAACAACTCTAATTCCTGTCTGACCAGCTGCGAGCATGGTCACCAGATGCGCGCACCCCAGCGGCAGCATCCCCAACTGCTGAGAACTTGAGCCGCAGGGTTGATCCACGGGGTGGCCCTCGTTGTTCGAGCCTGTGCGTTCGGTGCGCGCCGTGGTATCATAAGCATCATAGTTCTGACCTCTTTCGCCATTCTTAGTCACGCAGTGCTGTGGGCGCGCAGTATATCTGCGGCGGGGGCAGCACCCCAGTCTCATTTTGCAAAAGGTGGCGGAATCATCCCCCTCACCGCTGCCTCTGCGCGCACTCAGCGCTCGGCACCGATTGTCCAGGCTATCAGGCGCATCTAGACCGCCCACTCAGCGTCGCTTGGCTCGTTATAACTGAGAGACCGGCCCTCGTAACCTGTTCAGCCACCCGAGCGCCCTCAGATGACTTTCGAAAATATCGTCAGGGTGGACGCGGGGACAGGACAGGAGGCGGAGAATGACGCCATCCTTGCGGATATAATTCCGGTCGTCGATGCTGTCGGGATCCGATGGTAGGGACTTTCAAGTTCGGTAACCGACATACTCAGCATCGACCGGAGAAACTGTCACAGACTGTCACACATATACGCGCAATTGACGTTGTTTCGGTCGTCATACGCGTCAATACAACGAGAATAACTTGATTATTGCTCATCGAGCGTCGCACGATCTCACACGTTACCGGGAGGAATTGGCGTAGTGTGTGGCCTGTCAGGTCTATCCTTGGACACGATAGTCACTGACAGCGGCCCCACAACGCCGGATTGCACCACCCATCCCGCATTCTCAGGTCAGAGTCCGTTGACGTTGGTGCATGATGTATGTCTACGGGTTTCCTACGGTGGATAGCAGAGCTGATACAATTTTATTCTTGTTATATTTGCGGTTGGTCTAGAACGGGGACCGTATCTATGTACCCCACGTTACGCGTGAAAAGGGGTCTTCTTGCACTGCACGACCTGTCAAGAAGCGCGAGGAATATGCTGATCATCGTTGCTGTGCAACTTACCTACTTTGGGTCTACAATGCGTGATTATAATGCAAGCAGACAATGCCCCTTGTCAAGGGTCGAGATGCAACTCAATCTACCATATAGTGGCGGCAATCGGTCTTCTGTGAAGTATGTCGCGAGAGGAGACTCAGTTACCCGGTGGACGTCGATGCGTCTCTGCCGGCAGTCCTTCACAGCAGCATATGCGCATTTTCGCATTGTCACCATATCCCATGTCAGGAGGTGGAACATCACTCGCATCCACTATAAATAAGATATCCGTCCATTACGCACAAGAAGTCCAATATATCATAGCTTTCGCCGAGCCTGAAGCGTGAAGCCTCCTCAAATAGCTAGGCACTTCATCGAAACCGATAGGCTTCGCTCCTAAAAATCGACGGCGCAGAGTTATATCGAGCGGCCACAGAACATTTACAGCCCATATCGCGGCAGCATGTGACGACAACAGTCCGCATCATGGAGCCGACTGTCCCGGAGACTGGACGCTATTTTGCTCGACCGGAGACGTAGATGGAAGACCGTCATTCGGACGGGGTGTGTCTGCCACCTCCTTGAAGCCGGCCTTCTCGGGAGGTAAAGGCGCTGTACTATTTGCCCCGTTGAGCGCACCATTCGCGAGCGGGGGCGTCGGGGTCGGTCCGAGAGAGGGTAACGGCTTCTCCTTTTCTGGAGACTTCACGTCCCGAGACGCCAGCATGTTCTTAATTCGTTGATTCGCTGTAGTCCCTGGTAAGCTGGTAGTGCTCGAATTGAGGTCCTGCCTGCGAGCCACGGACTTCTCTGAAATGATAGTCTCTAACATGCCACTAGGTGCACCGACGTCCTTGAGGGCTGAGAGCTTCTGATGCAGATATCTAGCGTCTGCCAGCAATCTATGGAAGGTATATTAGCGACCAGTCAGATGGACAGAGGCTGACATGACACCGTACCTATCTTTCGCCTCTTGGGAGGGAAGGTCAATCTTCTGGTACTCTTCAGACAGCCTATGATTGATTGCTGCGAAGACTTGAGTCATCACGTACTATTGCAGGAGAGATGCCAGTCAGCAATAGTCTCGAGATGAGCTCGGAAGTTGGCTTCTGCCGTAGACGAACCTCGACTATCGGTGTTGAAAGATAGCGTGATAGCACCTTGTGCAGCGTGACTGTCTCTTTCACAAGCATCTCCATGTAGCCGTTGACGCCGGATGGCGACTTCGGTGCATTCCAATCGACTGTCTGCTTTGCATTAGTGAGACGCGTGGCGTGGTGAGAGTCAGACATGCCTGTAATGTTCGGATATGGGCTTGTAAGCGGTCACCCATAATCGCGATTAATTTGGCATGAATTTCGTGTTGATGCTCTTGATAGTCCTGGAAAGTTCACCGATCAACACTAGCAGATAAACACTAACCGATATCAACAAACCCGCTTCAGCTTATCGAACTCCACGAGCATGACTGCCTGCTTCGGACTCAGATGCCTTCTAAAAGTCTCGCGCACGTAGGGTATCAACGCAATCATGATGGACAGAGATTGCGAAGCCAACGCTGCCCGTTAGTGTATCAGCACTTTGAAAGATCAAAAAGAGCGCAGTACCAAGGAGTCATAGTACACTCACCAAGATGCTTAGCTGTGATGTTCTTCAGGCCTGCGCTCCTCATCGCGCCAGCGCCAAGCACGACCTGGCATGTGCGAGAATTAAAAGCCTTAAGGAACTCGATCACTCGACTCATCGCGTCTGTCGTGAGCATGGTCATGTTGGCGACCAACTTGAGATAATCCACGAGGAGAGCAAGGGCCTGCAGGGTGGCGGGTACAGCGAAGTAGGTATGGTCCTCGATTCTCAGGCGCTTCGTATTGGCGAGAGTCTGCCCTGACGGGCTGGGTGACATGGCAGAAGTGACCAAAGTAGAATCGGAGGTCGATGGTGAAAGGAGTGCGGAGGGAGTGTCTGCTTGATGGAGCTGCAATTGCGGTGGATCCCGTACCGCGCAGTCTACAAGTATATCTGCTACAGCTTGCGAGTCGGGCGACACTTCAGCGGCACTCCATTGCTCGTCCTCCACAAGCTTCGCCGACTGCGTTAGCCTCTTCTGGTGGAAGACTTGTAGGAAAGCCTTTGCTTGGCTGACAGCAGCTCCTCGTAGACTGACAATCATGCGCTGACATGCGATTTCGCACTTGACGACAAAGTCCCAGGTGAGCTGGAAGAGGTCCGCGAACTCCTGCAATTCCAAAGCGCTGTGTTGTTCTGACCGGTGATTCAAGGCTTGGGCGCAGAGAACGTTGGCCGTCTCGGCCGCAGTCATTAAGAGATCGGAGAGCGAAGACTGAACAGTCTCCAAGGACACTGGGGACGGGCGTGACGGCGCAGTGGGCGTTGCTTGAGGCCGAGGCCTGGTGGTACCAGAGTCAGCTAGTCAATAACCGTTGGGTATGCTCCCGACACGCACTGCATTCTCTCCAGTACTTCGACTAGGATCTTATTTTGCGTCTTGAGACCCTCTAAGCAATTGAAAAGGTTCTCATACACTTTCCGTATCCAACTCATAAACTCTGCCTGGCTGAGTAACTTGAAGTGGCCAGCAGCACTTGATTCCTGAAGGTCACTATCGTCCACATTGAAGCCAGCAGGCAATTGCTGATACACAGTGAAAGAGAGTAATGACTAACTGGAGCATTATGTAGCACAAGCTCACTTACTCGCTTGGTGATTCCCCGGACTTCGCCCAACACTACATGTCGCCAGGATTCTATAACCCTCTCTACGCTTCCTTCGCTGGTTTGGCCACCATTGGCGGTGCCGTGAAGTCTCGCCCGAACTAAACCACTCAGTAGAGGTCGTAGCCTATCCCTTAGTGCTAGGTCAGTGTCGTCCTCGATCCGACCATTTTCGTTAGCCAGTTTCGGGGACGCATCGATCCGACCGAGGATATCAAGACGAAGAACCGTGACCACTTCTGAAGTCAGGGCCGTTGCTATATGGAGCGTCAAATCTCGAAGATGGTCAGGGAGTGCAGAGAAAGCTTGAAGGGTCGAAAGAGGGAATGCCGAAACTGTCTGTTGCGACAGGCCCGTTCTTGAAGCAGAGGGTGACGGCGACGTCGGTCTTGAAGCGCTATCCGATTCCGGTATGGGTGGGAGGGGGGATAATCGGCCATTTTCTGAAGGCAGCAACGGCAGCGACTTCACCGTAGAGCTAGAGGAAGGCTCCGCCCCCCACAGTCCCTCGAGCCCTTCGATGATACCGAGCGCATCCTGCCATTGACCGGCATCTACCAAACCTCGTGCAATTCCCAGCATCTCCCACACTTCGCCTACCCGCTTCACGCTCTCTTTCACGACACCCAGGTTCTCTTTCTTCATTTCTAATCGCACGCCCTCTGCACCTCTCTTTGCAGTCCCTTCGTCAACCTCTTTCAGGAGCTCACGCAACTGTGATATCCGAGAGAGGCATGTTGAAGATTCGGTCTGCAGGTCTTGCAAATTAGACAAGGCAGCAAAGAATGACGTAGAACGGAGGGAGATTTCGTGGGTCAGATGGGCTTCAAGGGTGTCGGTATAATGTGAGAATTTGTCTAAGAGCGGCAGAGTATGTGACAATGCGGTAGAATCAGAGAAATCAGCACCCCCGAGAGAAGCAGGGTCCTGCTCGGTCACCCATGCAAAAGTCCTAGGGTCCCCCAAGTCGAATTTAGGCTCAAAGAAGACGGACGGAACAGTTTCAAGCGGTGGAAGGGACGGCGCTGGCGGCGCACCAGGTGTCCGAGGTGTTCTGGCTACTTGGCCAGTACTACTAGACGCCTCTCCTTCAGGTTCGAACCTTGCGTTTCGCTCGAACCTTTCCCATTCGTCCGAAACGGCTTTCAGGTACGAGTCAAAGTCTTTCCGGCGTACCCGAGGGATCTCGGCGTGTGGAACTGCGGGGAGTCGAGAATGAGCTTTGGGAGGAGCTCCCTGTTTGTGGGGGTTATTCAGAACAGTAGAGATAGCTTGGGAGAATGACAGAGAACGGGTTATGGTGGGTGAACTCTAGAAGGTCGGAGTGTGTGATATGCGTACCATGGAACCCATGCTTCGAGCTACTCCATTCCGGGGGTATTGCGCCGAGTGTTAGCGAGGTGGTCGATGCATTCAGTAAGCCGTGTAATGGTACCGTCCCGCCAGCCGCGAAGTAATCGCCTCCTCGACCTTCAGTCGTTTCGGAGACACTACTAGGACCGGGTCTTCGAAAAGACGGATCCCAATTGAATCTGTACGGTCTAGGAGTCGCCTGGTTATCCGGTAGAGGTGGTGGTGAACCCGGCCGTGACGGAGGTGCCGAGCTGTATTCAGACATAACGTTGAGGCAGCAGTCTCAGGCGCTCCAAATGCTATGACCAGTGGAACATAGATGCCAGAACAGCCGAATAGGAGACAACGCGCACTGTCGAAAGTCTACGTATGTGCTGCCGTCCCAAGTCAATAGGCAACACAGGATGGACGCCGCCTGGATTACGATTTCGAGTTTTTGAGTCCTAGACCACTCTATGCCCGCAACGGATGATGTATCGAAGTCGCTGGAGCAGAGACTTATAGAATGAAGGGACACGTTGCTCTGGAGTAGTGTATGTTTGACAGACATGAATCACTCTGCCGAAGCGTGAAGCCCATTCAATCACGTGACCAGTATTAATAGTAAAGATTAATTGACTTCGAAAAGACCGGGATACTCATATTACGGAAAGAGGGGAGCCCTGGGGTCTTCATGGACAGCAGGAAACCCCGATAGTTATGATTGTGTTCCATCAAATACAGGCATCATGCCGTGGTGGATACATGCCAGTCAAGGATATCTTCCCACTTCCCTGGCAGCAGCTGCGATATCTGCTCGACATCCTTGTCCCCCCGACCGGAGAGACACTAGAACAAAGAAAACATCATTATTATTCTGCCACGGTATCAGTACACAAATACGCACCACTACAATATCCTTGTCCTTCGGGAGGGTCTTAGCCAGGCGCACGGCCTCCCAGATAGCATGTGACGACTCCAGAGCTTCGATTGCGCGTCAGCACAGGTAGTGTATAAAAATGCGCCTGAACTGACCAGGAATGATACCCTCCAACTGAGTGCACATCCGGAAACCCCGCAACGCCTCCTCGTCGGTCGCCACGACGTACTCCGCCCTTCCAGAATCTTTTAGCCAGGCGTGCTCAGGCCCTACACCCGGGTAGTCGAGGCCCGCACTGATGGAGTGCGTCTCTATGATCTGGCCTGCGAGGGACTGGAGGATGTAAGTCCGCACACCGTGGAGGACACCAGGCTGCCCCTTCGACAAAGTCGCGCTGTGACGGTCCCCATCGATGCCTGATAAGATGAACGTCAGCACACCGAAAGGTACTCGATGTCTGGTTCAAACTCACCTTCGCCGCCAGCTTCCACACCGACCAGCCTCACGCTCTTGTCCGGGATGAAATCATAAAAAGTCCCGATGGCGTTGCTTCCGCCACCCACGCAGGCGACGACCACGTCTGGCAGCTTGCCCGCAGCCTCGCGCAGCTGCACCTTAATCTCCTCGCTGATAACCTTTTGGAAGTCCCGCACAATCGTGGGGAACGGATGCGGGCCGATGGCAGAGCCGACGAGGTAGTGGGTGGTCGAGAGGTTGGTGACCCAGTCGCGCATCGCCTCGTTCACAGCGTCTTTGAGCGTGCACGAGCCGGAGTGGACGGGTACAACCTACACACGAAGCGGGCAACTCGTCAAAGAGGCATTGAGGAGGTTGACGGACTCCGACCACACCTTGGCACCAAGCATCTGGATCCGGAAGACGTTGAGGGCTTGCCGCCGTACATCCTCGGCACCCATGTACACAATGCATTCCATGCCGAACCGTGCGCATACGGTAGCTGTGGCTACACCATGCTGCCCAGCGCCCGTTTCCGCAATGATGCGCGTCTTGCCTATCCGCCTCGCAAGGAGGATCTGGCCGATAGCATTGTTGATCTTGTGCGAGCCTGTATGATTCCTGCGAATATGTCAGAGTGCACTTCACGGTCGCGGCACAGAAGGACTGACAGGTCTTCCCGCTTCAACCAGATTCTAGCCCCTCCTGCATGGGCGGTCAGCTTCTCGGCGAAGTAGAGATTTGACGGCCTGTTCATGTAACCGTACAGCCCCCGGAACTCCTTCCAGAACTCGGGGTCCTCCATCGCGCTCTTATGCGCCTCCTCAAGCTCCATCAAGCAATCGAACAATGCCTCGGGGACATACTGCCCACCGAACTGACCGAACCGCGCCGGCAGCACGATAGGGTCGGACGCAGTATTCGACACCGAAGGGCCTTCCTTGTTCACATTCACGACTGGGGTCGTGACCTTGCCGTTGAGCGGCGTGCCGCGCTTGTGCGGCTGGCCTTTCAAGCTGATCTCTTTGCAGTAGGCTTCGACCTTCTGCGCGATTTCGGCGGCGGGGGCCTCCTTCATGACGGAAACGAGTCGGCTGCCTACGACGACTGCGTCCGCGCCCGCGTCTGCGACGAAGTCGAAGTGCTCCCGCGTGGCGACGCCAAAGCCCACTGCGAGCGGGACGTCGGTGTATTGCCGCACTCGAGCGATGATGTCGGGAAGAGCGCTGTTTATTCCGACTTTGACAGACGATCCTGTGGTACCCATCTGATAGCGAGATGTGAGCGGGTCAGCCGTTGAGGCAGATGGCGTTTACCCGCCTTTGAGACCACGTAGATAAACGAATCGGCTATTGAAGCAAGGAACTTGATGCGCGGGAGGGACGTCGAGGGGGCGATCAGAGGGACATACGACATCCTGATCGTCTATATTAAGGTACTAGACATATTGAATTGGAAGTAGAACGCACCCGGCACTGGCACACCTATCCCTGAAAATCTTGGCTTCCTCGGGCGGAAGGTCGACCATGATAAATCCATTGGCACCGGCCTCCCTGGCGTCGTGAATAGCCTTTTCTTCACCGTATGCAAGCATGGGGTTGTAGTAACCTAAAGTAAAATGAGTGAGCTATGTAATGCGACCATTGTGAAGGCACTCACCCATGAGCATTACTGGTGCAGTCAGACCCTTACTACGTGCTTCACGTACAAGGCCCAAGACAGTCCCATACTCGACGTCATTTTTTAAGGCAACCTGAGGATACTTGAGCGTCAGATCAGCATCGAGGCGATAGAAAGCTGACAGTATTTGTCTCTTGAATCGCAGGTCCATCGGCAATGGGGTCGGAGAAAGGTACGCCCAGCTCTATGATGTCGGCACCACCCTCTTGCATAGCAAGCAAGATAGGTACTGTATCCCTAACGGTCGGATAACCAGCAGTCACAAAGGTAACTAATGCTGGGCTACCCTATGGATATAGTCAGTTACAGTCGTAGTAGATGTACTTGGTCGACCTACCTCCGATTTCTTTGCTTCAAAAACCTTTTTGATGCCCTCCATGTCCGCAGCAGACGAGTCTGATATATAGAACCAAGCGCAATAATCTAGAGCGTGCTGATTCTGCACCAGTCTCTGAATCGGAGAACAAAGGACCTGGGAAGGTGAAGGGTGGCGTATATATCGCCTGCTGAATATTCTTGATTGACTCGACGGTCGAGTGAGATCTTATCGGGAGAGTCACGTGCTGATTCCTTGATCTAACCGAGACGCGAAGAACGCGCATCGCACCTCACCGCTTGCTTGTGGCTATCGCCTTCTCCTCATTATGGAACTCTCCCAACCGTCAGATGAATCAAAGGTGCTCATGATATACACCGGCGGGACGATAGGAATGCTTGTGGGGCAGCAGGGCTATGTCCCTGAGCCTTACTTTCTGACCGAAACTCTCCGGAATCAAAGTCGTTTCCATGATCCCCTCGAGGACTCGCTCTTTTCTCATTCATCCACCGTCGAAGGTTTCAGAGAATGGAGCACGCAAAGTGGAAGAGCGAGCCCTATAGCTGATTCCCTAACGCATCACTCTGCACCGGTTTCGCCGCCACCGTACTTGTCCGCGCCGACATTACAGGTTCGGTCGTCGCGTCCGATCGGGGCACCGGAGGCTCTGAAACCAAATGCACAATACACTGGTACTCGACGGCCTATATGCACGAAGGTGTCTGATAATGTGTTTGAGGCACATTTGCCCTGCCTCGTCACCCCGCGAACCACCGCTTCTGGTCAGCGCGGTTCGAAGCGCATTCGTTATGCTATATTAGAGGTGGGATTGATGAACGGTCAATGAGATGTGTATCGACTTACCAAATCTTACAGTGGAACCCTCTTCTAGACAGCAGCAATATCGAGATATCTGGTAAGCATCATCAAATAGCCTCCTCATGAATCACAGCGCTCACGGCATGGTAGAATAGATTGGATACGGATAGCCACAGAAATCGAACTCAACTACAATACTTTCGACGCATTCGTGGTTCTCCATGGAACGGACACTATGTCCTACACTTCGAGCGCTCTTAGCTTCCTCTTGGAAGATTTAGGCAAGACGGTGGTATGGCGCTTGTCGTTCTATGAATGTCACATCTCAACATACATCCATAGATCTTGACCGGCGCGCAGATTCCTCTGTCTCAGCTCCGAAACGATGCGGTTGACAATTTGCTCGGTGCATTAGTGATAGCCGGTAATTACATTATACCTGGTACGTTGACACCCAACTGCCGTAGATGGATGCAGCCATATTTGTTGCGTCTGTTTGTTTCACATTAGAGTGTTGCCTTTACTTCAATCATACACTGTTCCGGGGGAACAGAGTATCAAAAGTATCATCTTACGATTTCAATGCGTTCCATAGTCCTAATTTCCCTGCTCTTGTCAACGGTGGGTTCTCATGTCTCGCTACCCCGATAAACCCTGATGGATTATATAGTTGGCATCGACATCGTGGTCAACTGGAACGATGTCATCAGGCAGACAAGTCTCCGAAGGTTCAAGGCCCACAAAGGTGCGCATCGCTTCCATCCTCCCCTGCGTTTTATCATAACAAATCATATCATCAGTGATGAGCCCTCACGTCGGTACGTCTCCCGCTCACTCCCAATATCAGACACGAACATCGCCCTCCCAGCCACGCTTCGCCTCTTCCCCGGCATCACCGCATCCACGATCCGCGCATTCCTCGCCCCGCCCGTGCAAGGCGTGGTCCTCGAAACCTTCGGCGCGGGCAACGCGCCCCAGCGGCAGGACCTCATGTCCGAGCTGAAAGCGGCGTGCGACCGCGGTGTGATCATCATCGCCATCACGCAGTGCGTCAAGGGCAGTGTGGGTGATGCGTACGAGACCGGGCGGACGCTGCTGAAGTCCGGTGTCGTCCCTGGCGGTGATATGACGCCTGAGGTGAGATCCTGTTCTAAGCAGTTCCCCTTAATAACATGAATATTATTAATTTCAAGTGTGCGCTGGCCAAGCTCAGCTACCTCCTCTCGAAACCGGAGCTGTCTGTTTCAGAGGTACGAGACCTAGTGATGTCCCCTCTCCGTGGGGAGATCACCCGCAACCGGTCATCCCCTACAGCGCCGTCCGCAGTCACCGCGGACGAGACAATCGGAAGTAACCTGCAAAACATCTCAGGTATAATATCCCAGATCGTGCGCCTCTCCAGCACGACGCCCGGCCTGCCCCTGATCACAGCGGCACCTTCGCCGTCCTCGTCTACACTGGATGAGACGACGCAGAGAGCCACGGCATCGTGGTCTTGGACGGCTTCGGAGGCTTCTTCGACTGAGGCGTCCCTGCTGCCCTTCCTGATCCATCTGGCCGCTGCGAAAAATTCGTTCGAGGGAATAAACTATTGCTTGACGGCTGGCATGAGGCCCGAGCAGAGTCCGGTAATGGGCTCTACAGGTGCGGGAGTAGTGAACAGCCTTGAGCCAGGCTCGGGAAGGTCCCCCTTGCACACAGCTGCCTTGAATGGCGCCGCGGAATGCATCAGTAAACTGCTAGAGGCAGGCGCCCTGGTCCATCTACGAGATTCGTTGGGTCATACTGCGTTGTACTATGTGCGTCTCATCGAGTGTCACGATCGTGGTTTTCTGACTGTTGCTTGCTTTTTTAGGCAGCACGGCAGGGCCATGAGAATATAGTGGATATCCTGATGAAAGCGGGGGCAAATTTGGGTGGTTCGGACGTCGAAGGCGGTTTCGTTGAATTGGCAGTTCAGAAGGCAAGGAGAACGCGAGACGAGAGGGCACTCGCAATCTGGCAGAAAGCTAGTGGATTCAAGTGACGCCAAGCAGCCAAACTCAAAAGTATGAATACAGTTCGTTAGAGGTAACCGCCAAACCCGTAGACAAAACATCAGTGAATCCTAAGCAAGAACTTGACCCGCTGGCATGTGTGCTAAAGCTCATTCAGGGTATACCAACTCCTCCCCACCTTGGTTTTCACTCGCGTTATCTTGATCCGCTGCTGCGTTCTGTACGGTCTCGCCCAGTGAGCGCAGGAAAACATGTAATTGTGATCTCTCGAAAGTGAACGGCGTGTTGAAGAAGCCGAGCTTCTCCCGAAATTCGTCTGTTTCTTTGTCCAGCTCGTACGGCGTATATTTGACTTGGTCGATCAGGTCGTCAGAGCCGTCTGGTGCTGGTTCGGAGAAGAGGCGCAAACTAAAATTGAGTGCTGATGGCGAAATTGAATGAGTACAAATCAAGGGTAGGGAGGAGTTCGTCAGCACACCGTTGCTTGTTTCTGCGTGCGTGTAGACACAAGAAAAGCACCATTCGTCCGGCAAACCTTCGTGGGGGCTCTTTTCCATATAATGCTTGGGCACCAGCAAATTCGTGAGGTCTTCGTAGAAGCGTATAACACGGCCTTCCATGCTGGTTGGCTCCTTGCCAGGGCCTCTGAACTTGCCTTTGGTCGTTGAGCCCGGCCCGTCGCGGGACGGACCTTTGGCCGCTAGGGACTTGGACCGCTCGATCTCTGCATTCAGTTCGAATCGTAGTTCTTTCTCTGCGAGAGGTCAGCTTGTAACCATGTATAGGTAACGTGCGCGCGCGCACCTAGCTGTTCCAACTCGGCTCTGCGCTGTTTTTCCTGGTTCGCGGCTTCCTTCCATTTCGCAACTTCCTGCTCCAGGCTCCGCTTTTCCTCCTCTACTGCTTCACGCGTCATGAAATGTAACGAAGACGTCTGGCCGGACCTAGCAAGCGGCTCCGAGCGCGCTAGCTGCGTTGATAATTCCTGAATAAGGATATCCTGTGCTAGAATAGAACGATGAGTATGGTGTAATGTAATCTGCAAGGGTGAGGTCCCGCTGACTTTTCAGTCGTGCTTCATAGTTTGATTTCTGCTGCTCTGCTAGTTCTTCTGCTTCGGTGTATCTGACGGAGTGCACCTCTTCGAGCTGCTTAGCTAGGGCATCCCTTTCGGCAGTTAACTGTAGAAAAGGTAAGCAAAGGGCACAGCAGAAAGTAAGGAGCTCCTTCGTACATCACCGAGTCGCTTCTCTAACCGTCGAACGGTTTCATCGCTCTGAGACGTCTTTGGCCGCTTACTGGCGGGACCAGTGGCAGTCTCATCGACCATATCAACATCTTCATCAGCGACAGGGACGGGGGCTGCGGGAGTCTTCTTCGCCGTCCTCTTCCCTGTTGCTGCTTTCCCCTTCCCCTTCTCAGCCGTAGTTGTATGGCCGTTGACTCCTTTGACCGGCACATTCTTTCCCTTGCCCTTGGCTGCTGCAGCCACAACCTGCACACTGGCCTCGGTATCCGAGATCTCTATCTCAGCAACAGGCTCCCCCTTGCCATCGCTGTCAGAAACCTCGGCTGTCGCTCGTGTCGCTCTGCGTTTGGTACCCGCCGCTCCTTTCGCATTCGACGGTCCTGCGACTGCTCGCTGGTTCGCCTTGGCCGAGCGGGTAGTGGCCGCCTTAGTCACAACCGGAGACTCATATATTTCTTGATAGAAGAAATGGGTTAAGTTTATACGTCGAGGACATTATCAGGCAGGACTGGGACTGACATACCGCCTAGTTCGTCGTCTGAAGACATGTGTGACGGTTGTATGTGACAAGAAAGACGCGTTGACCACGTGAAGGCGCGTCCCCCCTGAATCTTTACCGTGAGAAATACTGAAGTGAGAATGTCGCGCAAGGACGCGTACCCAGTACGTCAAGCCTGCAGACTTACTGTAAGTAGGCTTCAGCCCATGAGAGGATACCCTTGAAAACTTGCTGAATCTGCTGTAATTGCTTGCTCTGAGTCTTTGTGTCTATATGCCATGGCTGGTGCAAAATGCGAAGAGCTGACTCCGGAAGGTAGATACTTCGGACGAATACTTACTTGGACGGCTTAGAGCGCCACAAGCCCTTCACTTCACCGATATGAAGGCAGACGGGCCTATTCTTTGAACCGAGGCAATGTGCTGGAGTGATGTCTCGACTGGAGCGGCATTTAGGTGCCATCGACCTTACGTCTTTACACTAGGATGCTACAGAATTCTTCTATCCAAGTCGGTCTCTCCCCTCTATTACACCGGAAGATGAGGGGGAAGGGAGCTCTCTTCACTGTGGTAGGGCTTGCGCACGGCGGGGTGAAGCTACTTGTTTTGTTCTTCTCATCCCACCCCGGAAGCTAGCTTTAGTCGAACTTCTGTCAGCATCTGCTGCAACACGACCCGAACACCATATACGAATTGTTGAAACCTGTGAGCCATGGGACTGAATTTGTCGGCGTCCGCAAGTCCGAGCAGACCTAAAACCTATTGTTGCTGCGGGACTTGGCACCTCGCAGGTAACTGTCGCTGTGGTTCAGACTCGGCACAATTGCCTCCATGGGGCACGTCGATTCTTGAGTATGGTGCTCAAGCGCAGCTCGCGTTTCGAGCACCTTGCCCAGCGAGTATGTACGTGCCGAGGCTGCGGAGAAATGGCGTAATATTACCGGCGCTCACGCTACACGGATTACCACCAGGTTCTAGCAAGTACGGAGCTACAATCGTGCTCGCAGATAACATATACTGCATGATTTGTGGTAAACAGTCAAGTCGGTACAATGTGTGCAGCAAGAGAGGATTTGCAGGTGGACGCAGGAAGCGCTCCGCCAGAACCGCCACCGACATGTTAGTATTTATTTGGCAATGTGACACCAGTCGGCCTTCCCATCCGACACCGCTGCCTCCTGCTCGTCGTCTTTGACGCTCTGACTGCTGCTCGACCCGACGTACGGCGTGCTAAGTATCAGGTAAGTTGCAACGAAGGCTGTTCCCTTGCCGTGCCCACTTGCATCCCCTTCCTCACCACTCCCGATGCCTCTCCGTCAGACCCCGATCTCCTGTCCCAACTCCTCCATTTCCCAGTCATTGCTTGCTGACAAGCCCTTGAACCAAAAAAACCTGAACCGCGTTATTTGTCCTGATTGGCGATGCCAGAGAACACTGACACTACGCGCAAGCGGTCTCGTTCGCCCTCTGACAGCAGTGAGCACCCGAAGACCCACAAGCGCGCGAACACCGGTGCTGCGTCCGCTTCCAATGACTCGACCTCCAGCTCTGCCCAGGGTTCCGCCCATCCCGCAGCCGCGAATTCGACTGCACCGAATGACGTAAAGATGGAAGACGCGCCTCACGCCTCGGACGACGGGACTGCTTCCACTCCCTCACCTACCCGTGCTGGTGACTCCATGAATCCATCCGTAAAAGCCGAAGAGTCTGGTTCACAAGCTGGAGGACCCGAAGGCGATGGCGCTACTACGTCGGGCGGTCCTTCGTCGTCATCCAACCAACCCCCTCCTCCGTCAGCCCATATCCACATGCGCTGTCTCATCGTAACCCAGGACGCGTCCATCATCATTGGGAGAGGAGGAGCCCATGTCAATGAGATCAGAGAGAAGAGTGGCGCTCGGGTTATGGTATCGGAGAGCATACCAGGTAACCCGGAGCGGATACTCAACGTCAGTGGACCGTTGGATGCTGTGTCCAAGGTGCGTGCTTCAAGCCTCGCGTGTCACAGGTGGTAATTCATATCGTATCATACAGGCGTTTGGTCTAATAGTCCGACGAATAAATGACGAGCCCTTCGACAAGCCGTCAGTACCCGGCAGTCGAGCAGTGACTATTAAGTTCATGATTGCCAATTCTCGGATGGGCTCCGTCATAGGGAAGGGCGGCTCGAAGATCAAAGAAATCCAAGAAGCCAGTGGTGCCCGTCTGAACGCCAGTGAAGGCATGCTACCGGGTTCGACCGAGGTGCGCGTCATCCCACTCTTCCTCGGGCTTGCTGACTCAGACGCCGCTCTAGCGCGTCCTGAGTGTATCCGGAGTAGCAGACGCCATTCATATTGCGACATACTATATTGGGAATATCCTAATTGAGGCGAACGAGCGCATGCCTGCTCATTCTCACTCCTCCTACCGACCAACCAGCAACGTCCGAAGGCCACCCGTGGGTGGGTCCTCGTTCGTCCCTGGCTATTCAAACCCGTACGCCCAGGCTCCCCCGCCTCCCCAAGGTCCGCTCCAGACACAGCAGATCTACATACCGAACGACTTGGTGGGCTGTATAATCGGGAAGGGGGGGAGCAAGATCAATGAAATCAGACACATGAGTGCGAGTCAGATCAAGATTATGGAGCCTGGCGCAACCGGTGTCGCTGTCAACGGGGCTCCTGCTGCGAGCGAGGGGGAGAGGTTAGTAGTTATTACGGGTCAACCTGCCAATATCCAAATGGCAGTGCAACTCTTGTATCATGTAAGGCCTACGTCCCCATCTCGTTCCCCAGTACTCAACTCATCGTTTGTATGCAGCGGTTGGAACAAGAGAAGCAAAAGCAGCTGCGAGCCCAACAGCAGGGGACTTCATCCTCAGCTGGCCCGTAAACCCTTACATTATCAGAATCTAATTGCTTCATTCTTCTTGGGCATGGTATGGTATGCTGTTATCATACTTTCCGTTGTTCGTCTCTTCGCTTTCTCTTGGTATCCTGGCATCTGAATCATCCCCATCCCCATCCCCAACCCCCCATCGCCACCTTACCATATCGCTAGTATGCTTTGTCGTCTGTACAAAAGACCATGTGCTGACTTCGTTTCTACACACTGCTGTATGCCTGTCGGGCGGTTGTTAGTAGTCGTTAGCTGGCCTTTAGCTCGAATGATGAGATGCCCCTGCTCTGCAGGGTTTTCTGGGACCTCAAAATGCATTTTCCCACTTTACCGGCATTGGCCGAGCCTAGCCACACTGCGGCACTGAGCGTCAGCGAACAGGCCCGACACAAGTATACAAGTACTTAAGGACAGCAGAGTAGCATATAGTAACATCAACCTCAACGGTCCTACACTTCATTGCAGGCAGCCAGAGCAGGGGCAAAGATGCCGACGTGAAGTCGACACTTCCCAGTACATACAGTATGGACCAAAACATATCTCGATCGAGTAATAGCACGTGGCCGTAAATGATCGACGCCTCCGACGCTTGGAAAGTGCACCTTGCATTTCTTGCAGTCCACATTCTTGCCTTCTAACGCCGACGCTTCACTACCATGGCTTCCGTATTAAAGGCTGCCGCCAAGGCGGAGAAGGGGAAAGGCAAAAGGAAGGCAGACGATGCGGAGGTGGACGTAGAGGAAGACCAAGCCTTACAAATGCGACCCAGGAAGAAAAATAAGCAAAGGGTGCTCATGCTGTCTTCCAGAGGAGTAACACATCGGATGAGGCATCTCATGAACGATATTGAGGTCTTATTGCCTCACGTTAAAAAAGGTACGTTGCTGCCTCGCGATCGGGCGGCTCTCACTGACGGAAATCCGCTCCAGACGCGAAATTGGACTCGAAGAGCCAGCTGCACCTCCTACCCGAACTAGCAGATCTGAACAACTGCAACAACACCCTGTACTTCGAGGCTCGTCGTCATGAGGACCTGTATCTTTGGGCGGCGAAGACGCCCAATGGGCCGAGTATTAAGATGCACGTGCAGAATATCCACACTATGGACGAGTTGAAGATGACGGGGAACTGCCTCAAGGGGAGCAGGGGGATCGTGTCGTTTGATAAGGCGTTTGAGGAGACGGACTGGGGGAGACTGACGAAGGAGGTATTCACGCATGTGAGTGGGCTTGCAAGAGGGCTCGATATCCCTCACTAATTCGGCGCGCCCCTCAGATTTTCTGCGTACCTCCTCAAGCACGGAAAGCGAAACCGTTCATAGACCACGTCTTAACATTCTCTATCGTGGACGGGAAAATATGGTTTCGCAATTATCAGGTACGCGTTATCCGTTGATTATTTTATCAGCAGTTGACTTACTGGTTCCTGTAGATATTGGAGAAAGACCCATTACAGCCTAATGGACCACCGCAAACGTCGATGGTGGAGATCGGCCCTCGTTTCGTATTGACGCCCATACGAATTTTTGAGGGCGCCTTTTCGGGTGCTACTGTGTTTTCAAATCCAGGTACTTTATTACGGTCGATGTTATGCACAGCAATCCTCATCTTGTTCCAGAATTCGTTTCGCCCGCCGCTGTTCGCTCCGCGGCGAAACGAGCGAAGGGGGACAAATACGGGATGCGGAAACAGGCACAGCAGGAACGGAGCGACAGACAAGAGCTGCGCCGGCTGGAGGAAGACGAGTTGGCCGTCCCGAAAGTGTTTGCTTAGCGTGGAGTCTGTGTACGCACTATATCAAAGTCGTGTTATGTGGCGGCCTGCGACGGCGGGGAACCGCTTTGACGTGCCAAATTGGCTCGAGATTCGGGACTACTGCATGGCTTCTACTCGCCCGCCTTTGACTGCATTCGAGATGGGCGCATTTGATGGGTCCAGGCTTGGTGCAACCCTTAAATACGATCCAGCAAGCGGACAATGGATGACTACCTCGTGTCGATTATCCCACTTGCACGCGTTGATATATGTCAATGATACAGTGCTCTGTTAGTATCCAAGGACGTAAGGAAATGTCAACGGATGCTTTCGTTGAGATGTAGTTCTGCAAGAATGGCGCGGTCACACATGATGTTACAGTACAGTGGGCATAAAACCCGACTCACTAGCAGCAATGGCTAGGCTGCACGATAAAAACAACAAAAATGCTTGCTCTGATGGAATGCAGGAATAGTGTCGTGCTGTGGGCGTCGCAGTCGCCCAGTTTGTAGAACGTATTGTATTGGGTGAGGGTCTTAGCGCTGGGCCAATGCTTAGTCAGCAAGTAAGAACGCTGCTATTGTTCCCGAAGAGGCCTAACAAAGGTTCCTCTGGACAAACTGAACGCCATTCCGAGAATGCAAAGGTTCTGCAATCAGGGCCCGATGCTGTCAGCCATGCGCATCTATGTTGTCCAGGGGAAGAGAACAGCGATGGAAGAGTTTTTATACGTCACTCCGCGGACGCGTCGCTTTGTCTCTAGGACCCTTTTGTTCTAGCCAGTTCGCCGTATATAGTCCCGGCGATGCATCTATGGTACCTACACACCTCCCCCTTCGTTGATTCGGTCCTCGTCGTCTGTCGCGGGTTAGACATGTCTGTGTCTCTCTCTATCCATCCTTTCTCTGACTCTCTGGAATTATATGGCCATCCTGATCCTTCGTAAGTCCTCCAGTGGTTGCAAGTTCAACTCCCTCTTATCTCTCCCAGTTCGGCATATTCTCTTTCAGGCCATGTATCCATAAGCTTGGCTTCCACTTCATCTCTCTTCGAGCGACGCAGAGCTGTGCGCCTGCTGCTCCAGTCCTTGACCATCACATTCGAAGGACAGACAGAGCTCATAACCACCGAGACCGGCTATTCGGGTATGCGACTTTGCTCCATCACTCGCGAGTTGGCTCCCAGTGACCCCATCGAGCTGAGTAACGAGGGTCAAGAAGACTCCGAGGCGCCTTGCTTTTGGAATGTCATATTTAACATCCAAGTCCCAGGGTGGCTTCCGCCATCCGAGAGGTTTGGTGATATTTCAGAAAGCGAAGAAGCCGGCACTTCGTACGCGTTGTACGCCACCGCAAAGTTTGCGAACGTGTTTGAGCCTTCTGCGGACCAATCATGGTTACTCTCCACCTTATGCTCGTCTTTCCGCTCGAAGCCGCGTGTCGTGAGCGCGGATAGGTGCCCCATCTTTATCCGGCGTTTCATGCCTGCCCCGTCGATGCCCTCTTCCTCGACATCTTTATTCCCCCTGGCCAGTTTCGCCAATGAGCCTCTCGCCAACCTTCCGGAAGAATGCCCAGACTCTTCCTCTATACCCCTCAACGTGCTCTCTAAGATCCAGGTGGTTGCATCGGTACCCAATCATATCGACGTCGATGAGGGATCTATCCCACTGACGCTACGGCTGCGGGCGCGCGACCTGCCTGAAGATGTCGCTGCGAGACTACGGCTTACCAAGTTCACTGCAGACGTCGAACAGACGGAGAAGTTCCGGTACGTTTGTCTAACCAGTGTGGGACGCATAGTCTGATTTGCTTCTTTAAGCATCTCGCCATCCTCAGAATATACTGCGCAGTTCCCTCTACCCCCTCAATCGGAGCAACCTCCGTACAAGTCATTGCGGTCCTGTCACCCCATGGGTGCTCTCTATGATCTCGGGTTCGCGACAGACGGACCTCGTCGTTCAGTCAGTCGATCGTTCTCAGTCCTCTCGCCCGAGCACTCCGGTTCCTTCACCCTTTCAGGCGGAGAGCACGTCTTCTCCGAGAGTGATCGGGGGGATGGTTCGTTGAGCAGTTGGTGGTCGATCCAAACGGAAGTCCCGCTCGGTATGTCTGACGAGGATAAGACCAAGAAGCATTGGGGAGGGCCCAGGAGGCTCAGGCCTACGGCGCAGACGCCTCTGTTCGATGTTCGACACAAGCTGCACCTCGTCTTGGCTTATACATACGACCTCGATCAAAACCAGGGTGACGCGAGTGAAGGTGATGCCTTGCTTACCGGAGACGAAGCTAAGCCCAAACGAGCAGAAGCTCGCGTGAAGTTCTGCATCCCTCTGGACTTCGTTCGCGTGGAGCCTCAAGCTGCTTTATACACTCCGCCACTTTCTCCTGCGTCCTCTGTCTCATCTGTGTGTTCCTTGACGACTTCCCTATCCATGACCAGCATACCGTACACCTCGACGCTCCCACCGTATTCGCAGTTGTACGACTGCAATGGCGAACGGAAGATTGATTACTCCACTCCTCTTCCCCTCTATACGCCTTCGCCTGTATCCCCATTCTTCGGAGATGGTGACGACATCCCACCCGCTGGCAGTATCAAGGATGCCGACTGATCCACCCGGCTCCACGCCTACCCTTCCTTGACCTGTCTGAGCAGCTCGGTCTGCTACCACATTCTTGCTTCTCTCTAACGACCAACATATTGCTCATACTGCATTTTCGCCTATGTATTGCCCCGCTGTTGTCTCAGTTCCGTTGTCCAGCTCTGCATCATTGTAGCCTAGTATTTGCCCCTGCTCTCGTCGTCATTGTCTGTTTGCCCGATGTCCTCGCTTGGCGCTTGCGCAAGTTGTATCCTTATCTATGTTTTTTGTCTGGCGACTATCCCCAATTGTAATTCTATCTATACATGTCTGGTGTAGATACACCAGTAATTCGTTCTTTCCACCTAATTACATTCTCTGCCCAGGCGACCTATTTGCAACTGCTACTAAAGCAAGAAAATTCTCTCCAGTACCTGCCACTCGGATACTGGTCCTTCGCATTTCGCGATCCAGATCTCTCCGCCTTCGAACCCCCTCAGAACGTCTCCTTCACCGCAGTCCAATTCGACAGCGTCTCCGTCGAGTGGCCGAATCTTCCCTTGACTGACCAGTTCATCGCGTATGCGAGTCCTCTCTTCCGGTTCAGAGTCGTCAATATAGAACATCGACATGTGGGGGAATGACGGGGTATTCGGCTCCATCTTAATCCTCTCGTGGATCGCCTTGTGCAGCTCAAGGAGCTGGGCACTGGGGCGGCAAGCCGCGTACACAGACCTGAAATAAGTCGGGCCCACGTCCACTGATTTGAACGTCACCGGGATCCTAGCCTGGTTCGCCGGTATGGCGTTCCGTATGAGCGATATGTCTGTCATGGCGGGGAAAGCAGATAGGGTGATGTGCGGGTCGAAGCGAGGGTATGATGAAAGTGACTTCGCCTGGGGAGGGCGGATATGCATGATCTTCGTCAGTTTCTGGCATTCCTGGTGACTAGGAACGAGCCACAACGAGATACCTGACAGCATACAGTTAATCAGGCGGAAACTAGTGAGTATTGGCACGCACCCATAACGCAATCTGCAGCAGGTGGGTTCAGACAGAATCAAGGAAACTGGCTATGTGATCTCCGATTCTGACTTGACCATGAGGGCATTGCATGAGGAGGGGGATATATTTAAAAGCAGAGCAGCGATGAATATCAAAGTACAGTCCGCAACGACTACGACTATATCTGTACATGCAACCTACATTGGAGCGAAGATACTTGGTTTACTACACATTAACACCCGGCAATCATACATACATGTACACCCCTCAAGATATCCTTTACACACGCATACGCAAAAATCAAGGAGCGTCGATGCTGGCATGCGATTCTGACGTCTTGTCCTGCAGATTCACCCAGCTCTCGCTTACCCCACCGGTGTCGGCGTTGCTCTCCACGTCTGCCTCGGATGCACTGTCGTTATCGCGGCGGTCCCGGTGCTCTCCTTCACTGCTTGGGGCAGAGTAGTCGCTTGCAGCCTTTACCTCGGTCTGTGGCGGGACCGGTGGGGGCATCGTAGACTCTGCCGCAGCAGAATTGGGCAATGGGACTCGTGGTGGGACGGGAACGAGAGCATTCCGTATCGACAGGAGGAAGTGGGGGAGGTTCAGTAGTCCGTCAAGGATCAACGTGGGGAGGTATGACGCTAAGGCGTAAGTGCGAGCCCCAGCGCCTACAGCAAACCGTTCTCCGCGAATCCAGTTCCTAATCTTGTCCAAACCGATCTCGAACCCGAGGAATGTTGTGCCAGAATTCCGCCCGCCAGTGATCACGGTGACGATGGAGTCGACAAACTGCGCAACATCGGTAGGCTTCCTACGTACACCGCGGTAGTGGCCTTCTTCCACAGCAGATAGGAAGGCGGATCCATAAGTGTGCTTTTCGGATGGTGTCCAGTCATCCATCGAGTCAATAATATCACGCATGGGGACGGAACCGCGCCGCCTGGGGCTAGCCACAGCGCCGATGTCTACTGCCACCACTTTGATGTTCTTCATCGACTCAGTCGGGTCCGATAACGCAGCAATGCGAATCTCCCGCCGGAGGACTTCAACGCCGCGGAGAGTAGCTGCGGCGCTCATGGCCTGCTCGCTAGCGAAAGGAAGACCTACGCGAGCGTCCATGGCGGGTAGACACACGATAATACTCTTCCTTTCTTTATGATTCGCGAGACTATCCCGGGATCTTGCTGGATTCGAGCGAAGCATAGGGAGAAGTGCCTGGATAACCTGAAGAGGAGTAATATGGGTAGCCGTCAGGTACGACAGGTAAGAATCCCGAAGGGATATGTGTTCCAGTGGCGCGGGGACGGGCTGTGAATTGGGAGATGGGAGGGTTAGAAGGCAGACTACCGAATGGATGTAGGGACCTGTTAGAGGCGAGGCGTAGGGGTCACCGGCTAACGTGATGGGGAATCGACGGGATAGAGTGGACATCAATGAACGCAGGAAAAACGTCAGAGTGTCGGGCTGTAGTGCTGATCAGGATGTATCGATCGGGCGGATGTCATGAAGTACCGTACCTCTAATGGGTCCAAGACAAGAGCGCGCACAAAGCCGTGACATTTATGCTCTATGTCGTCTACGCCCTCTTGCGTAGACACACTTGTAATAACAATAAATCCTTGTTTCTCGAGCTCGAGAATCAGAGGAAGGCCCAATGGGGTATCTCCACCGAGTACGACTACGTAGATTGCCTCAGATACCGCCTCGAATTGCTTGTGCAAACAGACGCACCAACTACCTGCCTCCTTTCATCGGCTCTTGTCTGTACTCTCTTGCCTCTCTTGTGGTATGTTCGGGCGACGAAGGATCCGTAACCTACCCATAGCCCGGCGCCCGCGAGACCGACAGCGATTCCAGCGGTGGTCTTCGGATGGTCGGATATCCAGTCGAAGGACTTCTCGATCGCCGACTTGGGCGGTGGTGGTGGCGGCGGCGGCGGGCGCGGAGGTATTTCGAAGTCTCCCAGACTAGGCAGATGTATGTCAGGGAAGGACGACCATCCTGGAGGACCGAAGCGCGAGATGTCGGCCCAAAGGCGGTGGACGGCGTCGCGGACGTTGGGGAAATCAGGAACAGACGACGTGGAAGACAGAAAGAGCTCTTCGATAGATTCCAAGTAGCCCTCGATTTCCTCGACTGTGGGGATCATCGTCCTCGCCTGGGTACGAGTCGCATCCAAGAATGCGTCGGCCTCCGCGCGTGAGATTCCCTTCTGGGCTCTGAGGGTAGTATTTGTGCAAACATAGTACTACTACAGAATACCTAAAGCATGACAGCGTGGCCGAGTGGTTAAGGCGACAGATTAGAATCTGATCTACCATCTGTTCCGGTTTCCGGGCGTAGGTTCGAGTCCTACCGCTGTCGTTTTGATTTGACTGTGTTTGATCTTTCCATGGATCGGTATATTTATAATTACTATCATTTGGGTAGTTTTGCAAAATTTGCAAAACTACCGCAGCCCCTAGAGAGAGCTCTATACCAAATAAAAAAATTCAGAGACTTCTTAGGCATGTAGATATAGACTAGTAGATACCCTCTGTGAAGTTGGTTTAGGGAAATATCGAGTGGTCATGGAGAGGGAGGAAGAGGAGGGTGTTTGCAACTGCCTACAGACCGTGTGAAACCTAGATCTGGTACCCATTCCATGATTTTTTGCCGGGATTTTGTTTGGACTATACTGGTGTACCATACATTGAGCCACCTAAGCAGCCCGATTGTGGAGAGATAGAGGATGTAGCTATAGCAAACCTGTTTTGCAAAACGCCGAGAGGCGGATCGTGACAAAAACGTGATGAATCTCGCGGGGATGTCACGCGTGACAAACTTTTGCAAAACCCCCTGCACACCCCGGCATCTGTCCAGCATCCTCTACACCATGAATTAAAATACAAAAAAATTACAGTTGGGTACATAAAAGGGTGCTACACAATGCCATAAAAACGTTTTGGCGCAAGAGCTAGCGAATTGGCCGCAACACGTCGATTTACAGAGAGTTTTGCAAAACTACCCAAATGATAGTATACTGCATGTGACGGCGCAACCTAGGATGCTCTGGGACGTCGTACTATTACTTAACCCAGTACTACTTTGTACATGTCCAGCTTTACTCCATACATGCCCAAGCTCTGATTCCCCTCCTGCTTCCCGATCACGGGAAGTTCTTGCATAGGCTGCATGGAGTCCTCCTGAAGGTACGACATTATATGCTGGTCCAGGTTCGTCAAGGCTTGCAGGTCCACATCGGTCCCGGCGGGAAATATTGGACTTCTCTGACGATATCCTTTCCATCTATGACGCGCCAGACTCTTCGCTCAGAGTAGTCCTTGAGAACTATCTTTGCGTTTTCCAGTTTGATGCAGGATCGACCAGTACGTCTGGCATCAAGGATAGTTGAGATAGACGAATCCGCAGGAAATCCATTGGGTTCTTTTATAGTTAGTTTGATCGAGAGCGTCTCCAGGCATGGCACAGCAGTAGCAATTGGGTCACGACAAGGAGCAAGAGCGCAGAAGACTTCTTCAAATGAGCCCGATATGCGCGTCGAATAGTCTCCTGAGATGTGGAGTTCCCGCAGCGACTGCAGTGGATCCAGCACCTGGGCGAGTTCAAAGCCACTATCCACGATACCTGGACATTGGAGGCAGAGCTTTTCTAACGGGCATCTTGAGGCCGCTATCATCGTCGCCAATGAATACAGTATCGATACGTCCGGGTCCCCCCAACGATAGGCTGTAAGTGATAGCTCGCGCAGCGCAGGAGCGCTTATTAACGGTAATAAGAAGGCGGGTTTGTCGTCCCAGAATGAGATGGTAAGGCACTCAAGATTTGCGAGAGGCAGGATGGGCGTCTCGGTGCAATTGATCTGGGTGAACCGGATATCCAGAGACCGGAGAGATGTGCACTGTTCAAGCACGTCGAGCAAAGACTCTTCGACTACGGCATCTTGCAGAGAAAGTCGGGTAACTTGCGCCCAGGAGAATTCGTCACCCCGACATACACTGGGATTGCCTCGGAGTACGCAGTCAGACCCGGGCCAGCGAGGTGCGAACGAAATGCATGCACCCATCGCTTCGCCATCCAGCTGGAGAGATAGCTTCCTGAGGAAGGGTAGTCTCAGTGGACTCTGAAAGAGAACGTCAATCATCCCCGTCGTCGCAGTCAATGACACAGACTCGGCGCGGTTCATCCATCTCCTCCAAGCATGCAGGCAGTCATCGATGTCTTTCGACGGGTGCCCCCCCATCTTGAAAGACAGATTCAGCGGTAGAGCTCCAGACCGGGAGACGTACATCTCCATGAGGTTTGTCAAGTCTTTGACCTTTTGAACCGCTAACTGGAAATCGTGCTTCGTGAGGATGCCAGTGGATGTGATATCCACGTTGCGCCAGAGTTTCGGAGTGGCCACTGCACATTGCTTCCATCGACGACATACATGTGTCAATAGCAAGGGCAAACACTGTGGGTTATCGGCCCAATGAGGACGCTTGAGATATTCCACGAATATTTCGGAGAGTAGCTCGACCGGCAGTCGATGTATCAGCGATACGCGGTTTGACGTGCCAGTGGAAGTCATCCCTTCAAACAATTGCATTTCAACAACTTGCTGTGGGCTAGAGACATGATCAGTGACGAATCAGAGGAGATGGGTAAAAGCTGTACGTACAGCAGAACCTATTCGTAGAGGTCTTGATAACATTCAAGTAGAGCGCCACACCCCTCGCCGCTGAGGTCAGCTAACCCAGACACTGCAAAATATACCCCTTGAAGTGATAGATCAAGCCTGAAGTGGTGAGCGTCTGGTGCAGACCGTTGTTCGTGCCACACCATAGCCACATCCGTGACCACAAAGCAACCCAATTTGTCACGATTCGATGGCTCCGCGCTATTTGATTGGCTCGTCTACACTGATATCTTCGAAAGCACAAAGAGGGACACGAGGTATATGAGCAAATTAGAATGCGAAGAGTATATCATTTTGTATCCACACATCGACACACCACCACACGCAGCGTCTATCAACTATGCATAGCATCTAGAACTATGAGCTGCCCATCTCCTTCGCCAACTGCTCAGCCTTGGCCTTAACATCGTCAATGGTGCCAACCATGTAGAAGGCGGACTCGGGGAGAGAGTCATGGTGACCAGAAAGAATCTCCTTGAACGACCGGATGGTGTCCTTCAAGGGGACGAGCTTGCCCTCGTAACCGGTGAAGACCTGCGCAACAGCGAAGGGCTGAGACATGAAACGCTGAATCTTACGAGCACGCTCAACCTGAACATCAAGTTCGTAAGCTAATAGCTGCTAGCGGTAGATGATGGCAGATACATACAGTGAGCTTGTCCTCCTCAGACAACTCGTCCATACCCAAAATGGCAATGATATCCTGGAGAGACTTGTAGTCCTGGAGGATCTTCTGCACAGCAGTCGCGACGTCATAGTGCTCACGGCCGACCTACAAGGCCCATAACGCGTCAGCAGACAGAACACCAGGTGAGCACAGCCTACTCACGATACGAGGGTCCAACATACGAGACTTCGAGTCAAGAGGGTCGACAGCTGGGTAGATACCCAGCTCAGCAATGCTACGGGACAACACAGTCGTGGCGTCCAAGTGAGCGAAAGTCGTGGCAGGGGCAGGATCCGTCAAGTCATCGGCGGGCACGTAGACAGCCTGCACGGAGGTGATGGACCCCTTCTTGGTGGTGGTAATACGCTCCTGCCTAAAACCGTAATCAACAATCACCGCTTTGCAGCCACCACATCGTGGACTTACATGCCACCCATGTCCGTGGAGAGCGTGGGTTGGTAACCGACAGCGGAGGGGATACGACCGAGCAGGGCAGACACCTCGGAACCAGCCTGGGTAAACCGGAAAATGTTGTCGATGAAAAGCAACACATCCTGGCCCTCCTCATCACGGAAGTACTCCGCAATGGTGAGACCAGTCAGAGCAACACGGGCACGGGCACCAGGGGGCTCGTTCATCTGACCGAACACAAGAGCGACCTTAGAGTCACCCTTGAGGTTGATGACACCGGTCTCAATCATTTCGTGGTACAAGTCGTTACCCTCACGGGTACGCTCACCGACACCTTTCAGACGACTTAGTCTGTGGACTCACTTAGTCACCGCCGGAAAGGAAGCTTACCACAGAAGATAGAGAAACCACCGTGAGCCTTGGCGACGTTGTTAATCAGCTCCTGAATCAACACAGTCTTCCCGACACCGGCACCACCAAAGAGACCAATCTTTCCACCACGAGCGTAGGGGGCGAGGAGATCGACGACCTTGATACCGGTTTCGAGCACCTCAGCGGTCGTCGACTGGTCGACGAATGCCGGGGGGTCAGCGTGAATGGGCAAGAGCTTGACACCCTCGATGGGGCCACGCTCGTCAATGGGCTCGCCAATGACGTTCATAATTCTACCAAGCGTCTGCCTGCCGACGGGGATTTTGATAGGCGCACCAGTGTCAACGACCTTCTGTCCACGAACGAGACCCTCGGTACCGTCCATTGCAATGGTGCGGACCGAGTTCTCACCCAAGTGCGCAGCAACTTCAAGGACTAGACGACCGCCGTGGAAATCTTGCACCTCCAGGGCGTTCAAAATGGGCGGGAGGTCCTCCGTATCGAACTGGACGTCGACGACGGCACCGATGACAGTCTTGACCTGGCCGACGGCGCCCTTGGCCTCCGTCGCATAGCTGCGAGCTAACAAACACCTCGTCAGGATCCCTTACGCGTCTCCCAGCTAAATCCTCAGCGCACCGGTATGGGGGGCAGCAGTGCGAGCGGGACGAGCGGCAGAGCTGCTCGTTGCCGCGGGACGTGTCAGGTTGACAGCAGCCCTCGTGAGCACGGGGGCGGCAGCAGCGGACGAGAAGAACGCATTGTTCCTCTTCGCGTTTTGTACCGCTCTGCGGGATAGGCGAGTGACGCCGCGCGAGGTGAGCATCGTCGACGACAGTGGTGTTGAATATACCAGCGACGTCGGTCGGGGTCGCCTTCGGCCCATTTTTCAGTTGGCACTCCGCCCAATCTCCGACGGCTCACCCGGCGCGTTCCGATCTAAGTACCAGCAAGTACTGCTGCACGCGAGGCGTGTTCATTGACGGCAAATATACGTGTTTAGCTTCCGTATAGCACAGTGACGCAGATGATGGAATGATATCTAGTCTATAGTACGAAAATCCAGTCCCCGACTTCTGGTGGATTCACGATGAATGCATTATGTAGACCAGTCCAAGACTATGACCTCCTTCAGGTATTACCCCGCGCTACCCCCCCCCCCCTTTCGCATCTATTGGGACTTCGATTTTCCTGATACCCAAACTTCTTCGCAGACCTGATATACCAGCCTGGAGTTAGCACTCGACCACTACCTTATGCAGTATATTCAAGTCCTGACATGGAGCTTCCCTCTGACTCTCGCAACATTCTCGAATACCACTAAAAGTATTCACGTACGTTAATGTTCACATTGGTTCTGCGAGTCGCCGCCTTCCTGTTGAGATTTATGAGTTATTTATATATAACGCAGAAGCTCAAGTACATGTAACAGGCCACCGTCAGAACAACTGCGAGGTTCACCCTTGAACCGTCCGCTAGGTCGCGAAAGATCACGACATTTTATTCCTGTAGGTGCAGGCAAACGAATTGAAGCCCTCCCCCCAGGACGTGAAGTACCATCAGGCTTCTTACCTTCTGCACAGGTAGGGATGCGCGTTGGCTACCGTGTTGCCTGATCAGTTGCAGCAGAAATATTAGTGCCTTTCTATGTATAAATCAGTCTAATCAGAGTAGCTCCTTGCTGCCGTGACCGAACATGCGTGCAGTCGTAGCAGAATCAAGATAGGAAGTGATATTGAATAGCATGCATGCGTTAGTATTGTCTAGAATACAGCGAAGACATTACGATCACAAGTCATCACAACACATAACGGAAGTCGAGATTTTCTCTATCGGTCAAATCAAGAAAGGCCTGTAATGACGACCAGAAGTAAGTATTTCTTTCACTGCAAGAGCCAAGCAGGACACGTACTTTGTCCACCTTCTTTTCTACGACTGTCCCATTTTCGTTCTTCACTGTCACGTACACGTCTTCATAGTTCTCGTCTCGCCGCTCATTATCACGGCGCTTGTTCTCGGACACACAGTATGCGCGTATGCCGAGAAGTATGCAGCAGTACACGAAGATGCACACGGTGATGACAGCCCATGGGACGTGGTTCCTACATCGCCCTCGGTGAAATTCTGAACCAAGTTTCCTGCACGCATTGCGCTCACCTTGGCTGGTACTTCTTCTTCCACATGAAGGGTCCTGGTCACGGAATTCGGTGAGGACATGGAAACACAGTAAACGAACCCACATACCTGCAGCATTCCCAATACCGTAGCCGATCAGAACGATGGCATTTGTCGTAGTACCTGGTGGCAAAAGAGTAGGTGAATTGTGCATTCACCCCCGTTGACCGAAGTGCGAACGCGTACGTTTTGTATGCCCTGCTGTGAGTTGTCCCACCCATGCCAGGAAAATGACGAAGGGCGTGATCCCAAATACTATAGGTGCAGAAAGTTAGATTAGGAACACAGCAGGTAGGAGATGATCGCAGACTGACTCGAGAGCCAGTACGAGAACAGCAACCCGACCCGGTTGTGGGACGGCAGGGTGTTGACAAGGATACAACCCAAAATGGCCGGGATGCCCATGAGAGCACCAGCATATGCGCGGCCATTTGGAATGTACGTTGCGAGGGTGACCCCAGCATAAATGGTGACAACTGCTACCGCTCAGTAATCGTAATATCTCGATGCAGTAGCTACACTCACTCTCAACGACGCCATCTACACAGCCCAGGAGGGTGGTCTGAATGGTGCTGAATCCGAACTCATTAACAATAAGTTGGCGTTGGTTGGTCAGCTAGATGACGTTGTCAGCGGGTGTACTGGAAGGGACAAGCAGCGCATGCATACAGAATTGATAACTTGGCTGAAAATATGCTCGAGTCAGATACGCGCCTAAATCGAAGCAAACATTCTACTTACGAGATGGCCGCGAAGAAGAAGAACATATAAGTCTTGGGATCCTTGAAGGACTCGATGAGCCTGTGTGGGTATCAGCCAAGCCGGCTGAAATGAGGTCACACGATGATGCCCACTGTTCTTTCTTGAATCGCTTGTTCTCTACACCCGCTTGGTTGACCTTGATCCGCTCAACGGCGAGCACTCGCTCTTGTTCGGTGAGGAACCAAGCATTCGCCGGAGAATCGGGGAAAAGGAACCTATCCGATTCACTACAGCTATGCTACCAGCGATGGATGGAACAACGTACCAGAATAGCACGGCGGTGATCAGGGTGATGATACCCGTAATGATCATCAGCCTAACAGAATGTGAGATGTGTAACTTGATCCCGGGTGCCTGAGCCATAATCGCTCACTAACCATTGCCACGGCATAAAGTTGTCGGTCTGGGTGTGAAGCACGCCGAAGGCGATGAAACCCAAGACGATGACTGCGACACCATTCATGAGGACTATGCGAAATTATTAGCAACTGTCCCAGCATGTTGGTGCGTTTCACATACACCAATAACCAACCCGCTGTGTCTGTTCCCCCCGGGTGTAGAACATGGACGTCACAATCATGAAGCCAGGGGTGATAGCACCTATACCCATTGAAGTTAGATTAACTGAGGGCGTTCGTCGGGCAAATCCGATTACCTTCTGCCATGCCCATTATAAATCGAACAGCAAAAAGTGCTCCGAACGATTTACAAGCTGCATGCGAGCACAATGCGATTGCCCATATGAAAATGTTAATACTGTTATTTGGAGAGATCAGACATGCGACGAGGCAAGAATCCTGCCCAAATACCTCATCCATTTGCCAACTGGGAACCGTTGAAGGGCCAGATTCTGTGGCCACTCGAATGCAAGATAACTTAGATAAAATATCGTTCCTAGCCAGTTGAACTGGTTTTGGTTTAAGTGGGCGCCAGGTCTATGTCAGGATCAGCTGATATGCACGGTACTTCTCCTACTCCCACTTACAAGATGCCGAGTACGGCTGACTGTCCGAGAGTCGTCTTATCGGCGAATTGCATTCTGTATATGCTTGAGCTGCGTAACCGATAGTAGCTGGAGGGCGACTTACAGGTACAAGACTTGCCAGAGCCAAGTGCGAGGTCAGATCGACGCGTTTCCTCGTACCTGATAATCACTTACTGCACATGAGAGGCAAAAGATGCCAGTCTATCTTTCGTCTGTTTCACAAGTCAATACTTGACGGACGCGTTATTCTCCGCATAACTCACCTCAGTCGTAAAGCTTCTTGTGGGTCGAGCGTGACATCCTTCCCGGCCACCAGCTGCGCGGCCGCATCGGCCTCGCTCGCGTCCACCGCGATCGGCGCGTGCTTTTCTGACCGGTCACTGCTCGAGTCCATGCAGGCGTATGTCAAGACGAGAGCGAGGGAAGGGTGTGGGACTGGTTGCCTCGCCCGCTGTTTATAAGTGATGGAGATAGCTCAGCCGAGTCCGAGTCTTCTTCTTCTCGGACAGGTCAACCAACGAGCATAGACGCTTGCTGGCATGGCGCATGTTTCCTGTGGATCCATGATCGATTGTACACTTTGAGACCTTTACACAATCTCCGCCGAGAACGGCGTGATGACGGCTCCGGAAGGCAGTAATATAAATACTGTTCCCAGCCAGCTTGACATGAACAATTCCGGCTGCGCTAGGCAAACGCCTTGTCTGTGACTGCGTTCGAGAGGAGGGCACAGATTTCTCGTCCTGGTAGCCGAGCTTGTGCCTTGGGCTGACACTGAAAGACCGACGCTTGGCTTGTGCACCTTTCATTTGCCTCCGCTGTCCGAACCTGGTTCGAACACGTGGGAGCAGTCTGTTATTCTTATTCTGCAAATTGAAACAGACCCAGTCAGGACCCAGTCTGCTCAGCTGTTCATCGTTCTGATTCGACAAGGGCTTGTCTGAGACACGTTCCGTGAGCGCCTGAAGCTCTGCTGGATAACGGCTTTGCGACGGCCGGTGTATGCAGAAGCTTCATATCCAGTTTTCATCTCCTCAGAAGCAGAGTCGCGAAGATTTTCCAGCTTAGTCCCGGTCAGACATATATAGGACACTGCAGTTCTCTCCACAACGAGGCCGATGAGCATGGACCCGCAGGGCACTGCGGCGCCATCGAAAGAATGGGTACTCGCGCCTGAAACAGAATACCGGTTCGAGCTGGACGCCGGCACATCCTTGGCTGTGAAGGTGCGTTTGGACGTGCAGTCAGAATTACGCTGTCGGTCTTGTCGCCAACCCATCGCAATGTAACGCCTCGCGTAGCTCACAAGCGGGCAAGCAGAAGTCTTCGGAGCGGAACTGGTGGAGGGCAAAGCCTATGTCTTTGGATACGAGTGTAAGGCCGCGGTATATACCTGGCTGGGATGTACCATAGAGATGAGTGCAATACTATCCTTGCACGCTGCGCCGTGTGGGCTTATGGAAGGTATCCCTGCACGTTATCGGCCAGCCCTCCACAGAATATGTCTCGGAAGAGACCCCTATGGCCGCCTATGCTAATGTGCACACCGTGTTTGAACAGAGGCGCGTTCGTGCACTGCAAGCAATACACGGTTCACCCTTGTCTGATGGTGATAGTGGACCGTCAGACCCGCCCCGGGCGCTCGTCCTAGGCCCCGAGAACTCTGGCAAAACTTCCGTGTGCAAGATATTGGTCAACTACGCCGTTCGAACAGGGCAAGACTGGTCCCCTATCCTAGTCAACGTAGACCCTAACGAGGTGCGTACCATCGGCGGCTTGCGCTCAGCCTGAACCAGACGACGTGAACAGGGAGGGTGGGCCGTCCCAGGCGCGATTTCCGCCGCATCAGTGAGCACCCCGATCGCGACCTCCTCGCCCGCGAACACGCTCGGTTCAGCAGCCTCATCCGCACCAGTCACGCACTCCTCGAACGCACTCCTTCCATTAGCGTACTGGTACGGGCACGCAGAGCCCAAGCGCAACCCGCTGCTTATGGACAGGCTGATCCGCAACCTCGGGCAGAATGTGCAGGACAGAGACGAGGAGGTCGAGGCCGTCTGCTCGGGTCTCATCGTCGATACCCCCGCGGCGTTTGCGTCGACCACTGGCTCAGGCCTGAAGGAAGATCAGAGACAGGCGCTGATCAAGTCCTGCGTCGACGCTTTTAACAGTGAGTGCTAGACGCGCTATGGCGCTCTCGGGGGATCAAGCCGCTCAACCATGCTTTTGCAGTCAATGTCATACTAGTCGTCGGACACGAGAAGCTCACAGTCGAAATGCAGCGCATATACGGCGGTCGCATGGACGTGGTCAAAATACCAAAGTCAGGAGGTGTACGTTGGAAGTCTCCCTGTCGGGGTTTGCCTCACCGCGGCTCAATCGGACATACAGGTCGTCGAGCTGGATCGCAGCTACCGCGAGCGCATCCACTCCTACCAGCTGCATACCTACATGTACGGCCTGCGCATCGAGCCCCCTTCTGGCGTCGCCGACGCCACGCTCGGCGGGGAGCCTATCACCGACCTCACACTCGCGCCTTCCTCCATCCAGATCTCCTTCGACGATCTCTCGATATTCCGCGTCGGAGAAGGTGCGTGGACCATAACCTCCGTGCTGCCCGGCGGGAAGCGAGAAGTAAGAAGCCCACACTGACACACCCTTCCCATCCATCCCCTGACAGAATCAATGGCTCCCCAATCAGCCCTGCCAGTCGGCGCGACGCGCACGGTCTCTGAGATGCAGCCCGTGCAGGTGGATCCGGCCAAGAGCGGCTCGCGCCTCCTGAACGCCGTCCTCGCGCTGCTCTCCCCGCCCCATCCCGACGAGTCCGAGCGGTACGACGAGGAGATCCTCGACCTCACCGTCGTCGGCTTCCTGGTGATGTACGGCGCTTCCTTTCCCATCGCTACATAAACTCTGAGGAGCTGACCTTCCATTGTCTCTGAAGCACCGCGCTGGACGTGCCCAACCGTAAGATGACGATCCTCTCTCCCAATCAGGGTTCACTCGCTGGGCGAACCGCCATTGTCGGTTCCTTCGAGTGGTCCGAGCAATAGCGTAAGTGACGCGACGATGCCAGACGGCGTTCGGACAAGAAGTTATGTATAAGAAAAAATTACATCTATCCTACATCCGAGATATAATGGTCGACTGGGCTGCAAAAGCCCTTTTGCATGTACGGTATCGGTGATCTAGCCACATACATAGACATCGTATCCAAACCGTTCGGCATCACCATTCAAGTCCGTCGATAACTGTCATCGAGTCCAAGCTCTCTGCCTCTATCAGCTGCCCCTTCCTTCTCCTTATCACAACCGCGACAAATCCCGGCCCCAGACACCACTGTAAAACATACTCAACACCAAAGCACGCAACCGCACCACCTAAAACCACTCACCGAATGACCCAATCAATCATCAACAGGGCCCGCGTGCGCATACTCACCTGCTCGCTCCAGTACACGCTGCGCCAGGCGTACATGGCGACGAGCCCGCCCATGAAGCTGTACTTGCCTAGGTCGAACACGGCCGCGTTCCCGATATACGCGAGGCTGCCCAAGTGCGCATACTTGAACGGCTTCGCGACGTCCTCGTCCTGGATCCGCACAGTGCCCTCCGCTGACTTGCTCTGCCGCGCGATTTTAGCGAACTTTTGCCCAAGGTATTTGCCCTGCTGCGAGGCCACTTGGGCCGTCTGGAGTGGTTCAGTAGTTAGTTAACAAGGATGTGCACGGGGATGAGGAGGGAGCACGCACGGCGGGTAAGGCGGTGATCTTGTTGCTGATTTCTTGCAGCATGACGGTCAGCTCGTTCAGCGTAAGGCTGTTGTCCCGATCCGAGTCGTACAACTCAAACAGCTCCCGGACCTGAACGAATAAACATCAGTCGCGACTCGAGACACACACTCCTTGCTGCATACCTTGTCCAGATGCTTCTCCGTCATGGGCATCTTCTGCTTAATTCGCGAGGCTGTCAGGAAAGCCCGTCAGCCTACCATCCTACTCATAACCGAGGACTCCCCCGCTCACCCATCAACTCCCACTCCTCAAAATCGATCTTCCCATCCTTATTCCTATCACACTGGTCCACCAACTCCAGCAAATACCTCAACACACTCGTCTCGATCGTCGCGCAGTCCCCAATCGCGTACACCTCGCCCGCAGGCGCGCCCTTGACCCTTAGATGCGCGTCGACCTCGATCGCCTTCTTGTGCACCTGGTTCGGCAGCAAGTTCGACACCCGCTGGGTGAACGGGTTCATCGCGATCCCCGTCGACCACAGCACAAAGTTCGCGGGCACCTCGAGCGTCGCGATCGACCCGTCCGCGTGACGCTGCGTGAACACGACCTTGTCCGGGTGCACTTCTTTCACGCGTGCATTCGTAATCACGTTCACGCCGTCGCGCGAGAATTTGTCTTCGGCGTATTTCCAGATCGCTTCAGAGTACTGGGGACCTGTGTTAGTGCGGGACAGAGGGGAAGAACTGTATGCGTACCGTGTTGAGGATGTGCTCACGACTTTGGATGACGTGGATGGATACTTGCTGTCGAAGGAGTTTGGGGTACTGTAGAACGCACATAAGCCTCTGGTAGACAAATGGACTGAGACACCCACATAGTTCATCAGGTCTTCCTGGCACAAGTCATAGATCTCGGCGGCAGCCTCAACGCCAGTCGGCCCGCCTCCACAAACCACAAAACTCAGCAGCCGCTTCCTATCCTCGGGATCGCACGTCGGCAAGCTCGCCGCCTCAAAGTTATCAATGATCCGCCTTCGTATGCTCCGCGCATCGCTGATCGTCTTCAGCTGGAAGCAGTTCTCCAGGCCCGGCACGCCGTGCGTCGACGATACCGACCCGCACGCGATGACCAGCTTGTCGTACGGGAGGTACATGCGCTGCGGCTCGGTGCCCGGGACCGCCACGGCTTCGATCTCGAGCAGGCGGTCGTGCATGACCAGGTCGACGGCCTTGGCGTCGATGAAGTGCCCGTGCAGGCGGGCGATGACTTTGCGGAGCGGCTCGACGAGTGAGCGCGGTTGGACGGTGCCCACAGCGGCAGCTGGGAAGAGTTATGGCGGGTAGTCAGGAAGTGGAGGGATACTCACATGGAAGGAGAGGGGTGAAGGTTGTGTAGGTATCTGGAGCGACTACTGTGACATGGTAGTCGCCCGCGTGCAGTGATTGCAGAACGGAGACTGCCTGAATGGGAGTCAGACCAGTTCTCTACACTGCGGACAAAGACGAATGTCCGACTGTCGAGCATGCCGGAGCATCTGCCGGGAGGGAGAACACTTTCATGGCATGGATCTTGCTGCTCCATGACCAGGACATGAAGAGTGTCCTTGAAATGGACAAACAAATGTCTGCAGGACATTTACAAGTCTCCGACAATTACATCCGGCTCACGTATTCTTTATCTCGTTATCATGTTCCACTGAGGATCACTCAGAGATTTCACTGGGGACAAAGAACGATGCCCGGTGCTGGACAGTCCAGGGGAGAGGGGGCACCCGCAGGACAAAGGGAGCATCGGAATATAATCCCCCCCTCCGCAATGGAAGTCCGATGTCCTGCGGCGGGCGACGGAACATCGGTCTTTGCCCTCAGTGAAAGTGTTCTCCCACCCATCCGGTGAAAGACCAATGTCCGGTGACGGGACATCGGTCCTGGGGCAAAATGCTAATGAGAGGTGATACTCACTCCCCAACCGCCGCCGACGATGACCAGCCTCGGCTTAGCAGCAATCTTCGCATACTCTTCGTCCTCGTTGTCGTCCACTAGCGTGCTAGCGATCGGGAGATTCTTCGGGCCTCCCCTTTCCGGGTGCAGCGCGAGGGGACTGACGGGGACGCGATCGACGTGGGCCTCGGTGTACGTGAACGCGTCGTGGACAAAGATAGCGCCGGTGATGAACGCGAGCCCGACTACGGACGACGCGACGAGGTAGCCGCCGTACCTGGCGACGGTGAGGGTGCGTCGGACGAAAGGTCGTGAGCGGAAGCCGCGCTCGGGGGCGGTGGACGCGAGGCGGAGGTGGCTGAGGCGGCCATTGGGGACGCGGGCGGGGGCGGAGAGCGGGCGGACGAGGGTTGTCTGGAGGAAGCGCTGTCGAGGAAGCATCCCGCCCAGCAGTGAAGCACTCACGACGGCGGCTCTGGCGTATCGTTCAGGCGACGACGACGACGTTTACTCGAGGAGCTGAGTCTGACGTCACAAGGTCTATTTTTACGTTGCCGCTGTGGCACTGACTTGTGCTTTTACCAGGAGTCCAAGTTCACTCGTCCAATATATGTCGCGGCTCTGTACGAGGGACGGGACATACTTTGGGCGAAGGTCACTGGCTTTGTAAATATCGACGTTCGCAGTCGTCGACTTCCAAGTCTCTCTCTCTAGGGGCTGGATAGTCATGTTGACCCGCTTCCACCAGGTAACGAGAAATAAAATCATGCGCTTGGCCATGATCTGCACGAACTCTGGCTTGCCCAGCGGTATGTCTTGTTTTGTATGACCTGGAAATCACTGAGAGTAGACCACCATACGAGCAATTTCCGTCACCCACGATCACAATTTATGACCTTGCATGCCACGCGAATGAACGGAGAGCCAACCCCCACGTAAAGTATCTATGTACCCTACAGGTACGATGTGCGCTTCGTGCCGATGACTATTGACGCCATGGGTCGGCGTTGCGCATAGATCTTCGTTCGCGGGTTAGGCTTTACAAAGTCGACAGCCAGAGGGAAGGCACCATGTCCTCTCGAGGGTCGGTGAAGACTTGGTCTCTCAATCTGATGGGAGGCCCTTGTCCTTCAACCAGTGGGTTCGGTGGTGTCCTTCATGCATATGCCCGACACGGATGTCCCATGCAATAGTTAGTTTGAAGCCAGACGTTGTAAATGAAATGTAGCTCTGGACCATTGTATGATCGAGTGATACAGGCACACACTACCAGTGCCAGCCTGATCAGGGGAGCTGCTCTCCAAATATCCTGCTACAGCTTTAGTAGAGTCCGGTAGCAGGCTAAAATAAAAGCATTTCTCCAGTTCTTGCGGGCAACACGTCTGAAACGGCTGCGCATGCCTGGCAGTTTCCTGGCGTAACGATCCAGTATTTCTCTTGGACTTCGGACCCCAATTTCCACCCTTCCTGCCTCTTACCACGTCCACCATGAGCTCCCAGATCCACGACACGCCGACGGCCCCGCTGATCAAGCTGAACCTGCCCTCGCCAGAGGAGTACTTCAAGCGCAAGGTCGCCCTCATATCCGGTAACGGTCTCTGCTTTTCCCTCGATACGGCATCTCACTCGCCGGGACTGCGGCAGGCATCACGGGCCAAGATGGATCGTACTTGTGCGTTGACCAGCCATCTCGGCTGAGATATCCGTCTTATCTGACACTCGCAGGACGGAGCTTTTGTTGTCGAAGGGATATGAGGTCCATGGGATCATTCGGCGGTCGTCCAGCTTCAACACTGGTCGTCTGCACCATTTGTACGAGGATCAGCATGAGCGTACGTGTCCGATTCTCATCCTTCAAGGCTGTCTGCTTATATATAGCAAAGGTCCCGGCAAGTTCAAGCTACACTATGGTGACCTGAGCGACAGTACGAATTTGGTCTACATCATCGCCCAAGTCCAACCTACCGAGGTGTACAACCTGGGCGCCCAGTCTCACGTCAAAGTCTCGTTCGAGATGGCCGAATACACAGGAGACGTAGACGGTCTCGGGACCCTGCGTCTCCTAGACGCCATCCGTACCTGCGGGCTGGAGAAGCACGTCCGCTTCTACCAAGCCTCCACGTCCGAGCTGTACGGCAAGGTCGTCGAGACGCCGCAGAGCGAGACGACCCCGTTCTACCCGCGCAGCCCGTACGGCGTCGCGAAGCTGTACGCGTACTGGATCGTCGTGAACTACCGCGAGGCGTACGGCATGTACGCGTGCAACGGGATCTTGTTCAACCACGAGAGCCCCAGGCGCGGCCGGACGTTCGTGACGAGGAAGATCTCCCGCGCGGCTGCTGATATCCACCTTGGCAAGCAGTCGTGCTTGTACTTGGGTAACATCGACGCAAAACGTGACTGGGGCCATGGTATGTCCTTGTACTCCCTACGTTCCTGTGGCAGCTCTAACCTCACTTACCACAGCTCGTGATTATGTGGAGGGGATGTGGATGATGTTGCAGCAGTCCGCGCCGGAGGATTTCGTGCTCGCCACAGGAGAAACCCACCCCGTACGAGAGTTTGTAGAAAAGGCCTTTGGCGTTCTGGGTACCCAGATCCGGTATGTTTGGTTATTTAAAAATTGAAGTTGAGCTAATCGCTATTGCCGCGTACCATAGCTGGCAAGGGTCCGGGGTAGACGAGGAAGGCATCGACGTCAAAACGGGTAAAGTGATCGTCAAAGTCGACCCTCGTTATTTCCGTCCAGCGGAAGTAGAGTATGTGTTCACTTCGCCAATCTATACGTACGTGCTGAGCGCGGTCTCTCTAGCCTCCTCCTTGGTAAACCTACCAAAGCGGAGCGGCTGCTTGGCTGGAAGCGCAAAGTCAACTTTGATCAGCTGGTCCGGGAGATGGTGGAGGCGGACCTCAAGGCCGCGAAGAGCCTTGTGGAGGATCAAAATTAAACATTGCTCGCGCCTCGCCGCGATGGTGTAGGTCACTAATGGACAGACCTGCTGGTATCTTCGAAGGACTTATATAGAGGAAACGATACCAATGTAATATTTTGAATGCACGAGGACTGTCGAAGGTTTAAGTATCTACTGTGCTCTCAGTTTACGTATCTAGGAGAAGAAACAGTTGCTAAGATTGAGCTCAAGAATTTCTTCAAGGCAATCCGTTGTTTGTATCTCCCTCCGGATCAGTTTCGAAGCAGCTGCAATTATGGACACATGTAATACACCGGACCACGGTGCCGACCATTATACAGAGAACTGAATGTGTACTCCAGAGACCGAGAACCGCCGCGAAACTAGCCTGCGTCCGCAGGTAGCCAGCAACAAAAGCAGAGAGCAGTGTTGAGAGAGATGAGATGAGGATGATAAAAGGATATAAGCGAGTCTAAAAACAAGGGCAATGGCTCGGCCAGGCCGAGAGGAGAAGCAAACGAGCGTGGTGCGTCCGCGGACGAAAATACTTCCATAATGATACGAGATACCCCTCCCAGCCAGCATGGTGATAGCGGTGCCGATGATATGTACGGCGGTATGAATTTTGCCCGTCCTTGCCCTTCCGAGTCCGGCGCCGCGGAGGGAGGAGTGATGTGCAGACGGGACGCATAGGGTCTATGGGGGAGAGCATATTCACATGATTGTGCAGTTGCAACCCTGCGCTGGAGGTGCGTATGGGTCTTCACCCTTGCCGACTGGACCCCATACTGAAGGTACCTAACGGAGAACGTGAGTAAATGCAAGAGAGCAACGTCAAGGGCAAACGGGACAGCGCGGAGACCGTCATACGTACAAGCAGATCCTTTGTTGTCTTGCAATAACGAATTAAGCTGGAGTGCCGCGTCAACACCAGCTCAGCAGAGAAGAGGAGGGACAAAAGTCACACACCTGGCACTCGCCTCACTAACCCGTATCCGTGGCCGCGCCAGATCCTCCCGCAAACGCTGGTTGTGTTCCGTCAACCTCCTCAACTTCAGCTCGGACATCGACTGCTTGTGGGGTCGAGAGTTCATGTTGGGCGAAGAATATGATATAGGAGTTACAGCGTCGAAAGCGAGGCAATCGAGCCCAAGGAGAACAACTTGCACGGGGCTGGAAAAGAAAGGCCGCCTCCTGCTGGCGATCGCACAGTCAGTGCCCGCCGCGCGTGTCGACGCCCAGGAACAGCGCACGCACCTTGACAAGGAGAACAAACGAGAAAGGGGACGGAAGGGGGCAATTATCTAGCTAGCGCTGGGGGAGCTGGAAAGGACTGGCGCGGGTCGGTCCCAGAACGAATCGAATCCGTCGGACTCTGAAAATCCTATTTGGCGTATCTTCCGCCGCGGCCGGCCTTGCCTGGACTTGCTCTGCAAAGGGGTGCTCGTTTACTTCCGCTTTATCTGGTCAGCTTGTACCTCGCAAAGGGATTGAAGATGGCGCGGTTTTACACGCAATATGTGGAAAAGGCGACTCCCTCAAAGGCAAGATCGTGTCGGTCTCCCAAGAAATCAGGTACAACTGCCGTAGTTAGGCTTTGTTTGAATCAGGCGCATCACGTTCATCTGCAGGGATAAGATTTGAGCAACGTTCCCCTCTCGCGCACAAGACAGGTCAGGTCAAGCCGAAGCCTTTCCCTCCTAGCGCTGTCCGCGTCTCGAAGGTCAAGAAGGATCGTGAGCCTTTCAACCTGTCCACGAAGAAACGAGGGGAGGAAGAGCAGTCTATGTTCGACATCTACCGTGACTTCGGGCAGCAACATGAAGACGAAGAATCTGAAGGATCCGACGAGGAAGACGAGTTTGACTGGGACGAAGAGACCACTCTTGTCGCGATGCTCCAAGAAGAGTGGGTATATGCGCGGAACGCGCAACCTATCTTGACCCTCATACGACATTCACAGATCTCCTTCTTCGTCCGACTCCGACCTTATTGCTCTTGCGGAGCAGCTGAAGGCCCCGATGACTGCGCAAGGCACTATACTCAAGCAGGATCTCGTTCAAACCCTGGTCCCGGCTACGAAGCGCGTCAAGGAAGCACACAAAATCATAGAAGGCAATATCGACGTCGAGTACGGTAAGGGACTGCTCGCGTTCAACGAGGCCAGCAAGAAAGTGGAAGGTATGTGCATACAAGACGAGGAGGACCTCAAGGAGGTGTATGTCAAACATCAGGTTGGGCGTTGTATTGCGGTCACGCAGAGGTCGTGCTGATACGAAGCCTCGTAGACGAAGATCAAGGACTTACTTACTCAGTTGAAGGCGGCCTATGTTCGACGCGACCGCATCTTCTCAGACTTCCAGAAACTTGTGGACGAGAGCGGTACATTCTCGCTTTTTGCATGTCCAGTGATATCGGCAGCAACTGACCGCTCGTGCGTATGCTCTACTGACGAAGCCGATCGTGCCTGCGCGGACCTACGGTCTCTTCCGGCTACTGTGGACCGGACGATCAACGCCTTAGAGAACAAGAGCAAGGAAGTCTTCAAGGACACCGGCAACGCCGCCAAAACCAAGGAGAAGGTGCTCAAGGGCCTACTGGAGAAGCTCTGATGTCTGTTGCTGGTTGTGACTATCCTCTACTGATCTTGTTGCTCCCTGTGTCTTGCTCTCGGCTACTCTTGCTCTTCTGGTCGTGCTCTGCAATGTATTCAGCTCATGCCACGCCCTTCCGATAACTGTTTACTGTACATGTCTATCTGTATAATATCCTGTGTAGCAAAATTTAGAAGCCCTATGTGTTGTTAATAGCCCCACAATTCGCAGCGAGATGATTGTAAGTAGATAGGGCAGCCTGAGCTTTCTGTAGCGGGTTTCCCCGCCTCGTCCTCCGAACCCTAACCCCAGGCACTACACACCACCATGTCCACAACCACCACCTCCCTGCTCACCCTCCCGGCCCCCCTGCGCACCTTCCTCGCCTCCTTCCCGCTGCACACCTACCCGGCCATCCCGCCCCCGCGCAGCAACAGCCTGCACGACCCCGCGCAGCCCACGATGTGGATCCACGCGCCCCTGGCGGACCCGGAGCACAACCTCCTGAGCGCGGACGTCGAGTGCCTCAAGTGGCAGGCGCACGTCGCGCTGCGCGGCGTCGAGCGCGTGCGCGTAAGGTGGGACGTCGCCGCGGCGGGCGGCGTGGGCGGGCGGCTGCCGAGTGTGTGGGTGCCGGTTGCGCTGGGGCTCGAGGGGAAGGGGGGAAGGGGGGCGAGGGGGGCGAGTTGATTCCGGCGCATTTGATACCCGCGTGGGTGGAGAGGGAGAGGGGAGGGGAGGGGGCGGAGGGGTATAGAGACGAGGCGGCGAGGGACGAGAGCCGCGCGTGGGTCGCGCTGCTCGAGGGGACCGTGCACGCCGCGCTCATCGTGCGTTCGCCTCCCATCATTTATACTCACCGCGTATTCATTGCCGCGCAGACGTTCCACCCCGCGTCGACGACCGCGCGCGTGTCCTCGCTGGCCGCGACGCTCGCGCCGCCGCCGGCGCCGCTGACGGGCGTGTCCTCGCTGCTGCCGCCGTACGGCGCGCGCGTGCCCGCGGCGGAGCTGGAGACGCGGTACGCCGAGGCGGTGGGCGCGCTGAGCGAGCGGCTCGGCGGGGACAAGTGGTTCCTCGGGTCTGCGTGCGTGTTTGCTCTTTCCTTCCCTTTCTTTCCTCCCTCGCCCTGCCCCGTCTCTTTTGCTACAGGATATCCGCTTGCGTATGGGAAGGCTTGTGCTAACGTCATCGTGCGTAGGTCCCCGACCCCGCTCGACGCGCTCGCGTTCGCGTACATCCACACGCTGCTGCACACGCCCGCGCCGAAGCTGCGCACGCAGGTGACGCGGCGCGTCAACCTCGTCGCGTGGGAGCGCCGCGTGAGCGGGCTGGTCCGGGCGGCGTTCGTCAAGGCGGGCGAGGAGGTATAGGTGTCGGCACAGGTCTAGGGGGAGGGGCACGCGCAGGGGGGGTGGTGGCCCTGCGGCAGCCTTGCCGAGGAGACGGCGAGAAGGAGCATGCGTGCTGATGGGTCGAGGTCAGTGCGTTGGATCGTACGCCTCCGTGCAAAGCGTCGGGGTACGAGACTCGGAGGACGGCGGCGCAAAAGTATATGTACTTCTACTTTTTGTCTATACCGCAAATCGAGGAAACATTCGCATCCTATCCTCACGCAGGTAAACCACGCAAGAGCCATAATAGCTTCTACTCGTCCTTTTTGGGCACCCCACCATTCTGCAGCTGCGGCACCTTGACGGCGTTCCGCGGCGCGCGCTCGGGGTTTTGGAATCGGCGGCGGAGGGCAGAGATCATTTTAAAGAACCTACGCGCGCGCGAGTGGACGCATCAGCCGTGATCTATGCATGGATCGTCAAGTAGGAGCAGACGCACCAGACCCAGTTGAGGAGGTTCAGCACGACATTTCCTACGCCGTACACGACGAGGAAAGACGTAGGGAGGGCGTCCGCGACCGCACGCAGCGTGCGGAAGAACTCGACCGACTGCACCCAGCCCGCACATCAGCATGATAGATATTGGAGGAGGGGGGAGCGCACCATGACCCCGCCGTAGACGATGCGCGCGCCGAAGAAGGCGCCGAGGAGGGACGCGCCGTTGAGCAGCTGCCAGCGCGAGCCGGTGAGGGATAGTTTGTCGAGGAAGTAGTGGATGTTGAGGAAGGGGGTGCTCCTGAGGGGGGGGTTAGAGGGGAGGGGGAGGGGGAGGGGGGGAGGGGCGTACAGTTCCCAGAGGAGGAAGCGCGGGCCGTAGTATGCGAGGAAGGGTTTCTACTGGGCGGTCAGCAAGGCCAGGGGGGAGGGGGGGAGGACGTACGAAGGCCATGGCGTATATCGCCAGACACGCGAGGCCTGCCCACGGTCAGCACGACCAGCATCGCGGAACAAGGAAAGACGCACCGTGCACGACGAAGCCGACGTCCTGGAAATACAAGATGCTGTCGAGGGCGTCCCAGAGGAAGTACCCGCACGCGACGGCGAGGACGGGCCCGACGCCGTGGGCCCAGCCAAACGCGGGGTCGGCGGCGAGCGCGGGGAGGTGGAGGCGGGAGAAGGCGAGCGGGAGGATGAGGAGGGAGTGCGTGAGGGAGGTGACGTGGGTGGACCTGCGCGGGTCAGGGCTTGGGCGAGCGGAAAGGGAGGCGGGTAGGGCGCACCAGTTATGCAGCTCCTTGCGTTTTCGGTGGGCTAGGGAGGGGTCAGCTGCGGTGATGGCGGCCCATTCGCGCTCCTTGCCGAGGAGGCGCCAGGACCAGGGCCCGAGGAGGGACTGCACGGCGGTGAAGAAGAGGAAGGAGAGGAGGATGGTGGGCAGGTGCGCGGGGAGCTGTTGGAGGCGGAGGACGGCGCCGAGCGAGGTGGCGAATGCGTTCATGTTGAGGTGGGGGCAGGGCGGGTTTCTCGAATGCAGCGGGTGTCAAGTCGTCCGGGGCGGATCAGGGTGCGTACGTATAGTAACACGCAGTGGGCCTTCACTCGCGTTGTGGGACGAGTACAACAGGACACTGTTCAAGTCTGACGGCCAGATCCGAGTCGTAGCAGGCCAACTGCACCTTTAAACTTCTCGCCAGACACAGTTGAAGCACACCGCATATAACACTCGATTCCTTGAACCCGCCCACAACGAAACGACGAACCACATTCGCAGCGTAAGTTACAGTCGGCCTTGGCCAGAGTACCTGGGCACAGCCACACCACGCTCCCACGGGCAGCGCCGAGGCACCCCGGGCGGTCGCTTCGAAATGATCTGTTCTGCTCGATTTCCACGTCTCGCCGTCGCCCTGCTTTTCTCTCGTCCCCTCCTCCCCGTCCCGCGCTCGCGATCCGTTTCTTTGTTGCATTCGGCCTTGCGCACACCTTTGAATCCATCACACTCAAGTCGGTTGGTCAGGTCGGAAGCAAAGTAAAGCGTAACCGCCCGAGGTGGGTTCCCCGCCGTTCGTCACTCTATTTCCGGCGGTTGCTCACGCTCGTCTACCCTCTGCCCGCCGCCCTCAGTCCGCAAACACACCCACCCCACCACCACCATGGACACCCGCCGGCATAAGCAGTCCATGTCCGAGCTCAAGCTGCGCCGCCTGATGGAGCACAACCAGCGGCTTCGGGAGGACCTCGCGCGCCCGCGGATACGGGTCAGCGAGGCCAGCGCCAGGTGCGTTTCTTCCTCCCTTCGCATTCCATTCGTGATGCTGATGCGGACGGCGCGGGGCAGTCTGATCCGGTACTGCAAGACGACGAAGGACCACCTCGTCCCGAGCGTGTGGGGGCCCGTGGGCAAGCACGAGGACCCGTACGCCCCGCAAAACGGGGGCAAGTGCTGTGTCATACAGTGATCCCTGTCCCTGCCCCGTCCGCCTGCCTTCCCCCCCCCTCCCTGCTCCCACTTCCACTTGCCGCCGCCACACACATCACCGCATGTGCAATCTTATCTTCGCTTCCTCCTGGGGTCGTCAGGACGTGGGAGGGCGGACGGACTTTACTTTGTTTCTCCTCTTCCCATTCAGTTATCGCGCATCGTATTCTGCCTTGTTCTCGCATCGTTCCTCCCCGCTGGCGTCCGTGTCTGTTGTTCCCATCTATCATCTCACCCGCGTACATAGCGTCCCTCCTTTGCGTTCTGCGTTACATTTATGCTTGCGTCGGTTGTTGTTGGTTCTCGACTCCTTGTTTTGATTGTGGATAGTGTAAACCTCTATATCTCTCTCGCGTTCTCGTTCTCGTTACGGGCAGTTGTTGTCTGGACTGCATGCTAGTACTACATCGAATCGAGCAATACACATCATATTGCATCATATCCAGGCTCGGGACGTGTGCGGTGGTAGAGAGGTGCGCGAGCGGTGCTATAGTCCGCCGAGGAACTTCTTGATCGCGGGCTCGGGGAGCGCGCCGACGAACTGGCCCGCTTTCTCGCCGTCCTTGAACGCGACGACTGTCGGGATCGAGGAGACCTACGCTCCGGGTGTCACTACCTTGCGCGACAATTTGGACGGGAGGGGTGCATCGGTGGGCGCATACCTTGTATTGCATGGACAGTTCGGGCTCGGCGTCGACGTCGACGGTGACGAGGTCGACGGGGCGGCCGCTCCCGGAGGTGAGCGAGGGGGAGGAGGTGAGCTGTTCGAGGAGGGGGGAGAGCTGTTTGCAGGGGCCGCACCAGCTGCGCGGGGGGCGTGGGGTGAGTACGTCGGGAGCGGGAGGGGAGGGAGGCGAGACGCGCGCACTCGGCGTAAAAGTCGACGAGGACGACGCGGTCTTTGGTGTGCTCCTTGGAGGTCACGCGGGCGAATGTCTGGGCTGGGATCGTCAGCGCGCGTTCGGGGAGGGGCCAGGGGGCGTAGCTGACTGACCTCTTTGTCGGCGTCGAGGAAGTGCTCGAGGGCGCGCGGGGTGACGTGGAAGGCTCTGGCTTGGAGGGGGCGGAGGGCGAGCGAGCGTAATCTGAGCGCGGAAGCCATGATGGTAACTGGAGGAGGTCAAGGCGATCTCGGGGAGGGAGGGACGTGATTGGTCGGTGTGGACGCCAGCGCCGGAGCCTTTTCCGGAGGTTCAGGATCACTTGGACTGGGGGCACCATCATGATTGCGATCGTATGTCTTGATGCATATCGGTTGGGGAATTTATTCGTATGTACTTGCAGTCTTTCGCGTACGGGTGCAAAGGCATTCGCATCTCACGGCTCCCGGGAGCCGGAGACCGTCGTCCCTGACCGCGGACCACACTCGGGATGCGTGGAATCTTGGGCCAATCAGCGCGCGCAGCGGGTTGCCAAGGACACGTCTGGAGGGGATATAAGATTTGACAGGCGCGTCGCAGTGCCCACCCCTTCGCCCTTCGCCTCCGCCCCGTTCTTCGTCGCATCTACGAGCAGGGTGCGTCCGCTCCTCTTTCTCTCTCATTCGTGTAGTGCTGACAATGGGCGCACAGTCTCGTCTGGTTTATTGCCCTTAGCCTCGCAACCCCCTTTCGAAAAGACCTGTCTCTGTAGCTTGTAGCTCGCCTCCTTCGTTCGCTCTTCCCTCGTTCAAGTCAAGACAAGATGATGTTCTCTGCTGTCCTCGCTGGTCTCCTCTCCGTCGCCGCTGTGTCGGCGCAACAGACGATCACCGTCGTCGTTGGCGGGAACAACTCGCTCACTTTCAACCCCACCAGGTTAGTGTCTACTTCTGGGATAAGAGATCGGGATCCTAACATGTGGGCGAACAGTGTGACCGCCGCCGTTGGGGACACCATCGCCTTCCAATTGTGAGTGCCATCCCATCCCCACTCGGTTTACAAGTCATCAACTCAGCGCGCTCTTCCATCCGTCCAGCCAATCGAAGAACCACACCGTCACGCAGTCGACGTTCGCGAACCCGTGCGAGCAGATGACGACGCCGACGATGGGCATCGACTCGGGCTACGCGCCCGTGCCCGCCAACACCACCGCCTTCCCGCAGTGGAGCTTCACCATGACCAACGCCAGCGCCCCGCTCTGGTTCTACTGCAAGCAGACCGGGTGAGCCTTCCCTTCCCCCGCCCGATCGTGCTTCCATCATACTAAGCGAGAATTTCAGTCACTGCCAGAAGGGCATGGTGTTCGCCGTGAACCCGACGGCGGACAAGAGCTTCGAGAAGTTCCAGGCGGCCGCGATGGCGTCGACAGCGTCCAACTCGACCGCCTCGACGGGCACGCCCTCTGCCTCGGGCACCACCGCGAGCGGGAGCGCCGCCGCCGCCGCGCAGAGCGCGACGGACAAGGCGAACGGCGCGCGCCGTGTCGCGGGCACGTCGGCGGGCGCGCTCGCGGTTGTTGGGTTGGCGGCGGGGTTGCTGTTGTAGGGGAATGACATCGGGTGGTGAAGAGAGAGGACTCTGGACTGGACTGTTTCTTTTCGATTGGTTGTTTTCCGTGTTGTGTAATCTACTGCTGAGGGCGATATGCTAGCTGATGCGACCGGGTTGCTTGGCTGTTGACTGCGAACTATTGGTTTGTGGGTGTGAGCTCAAAGTGTGAGGACCGAAAGGAATCGCAAGTATCTGTTGTACATAACACTCGTCAGTTGGACGCAGTGATCTCGAAATAGAACAAAGAGCGCTATTAGGAGGTAGGCGCCGGCATTACGCATCTCAAGCCCGCGTCCACAACACCACATCTCATGGACGCCATCCGTGTAACCAAGGTTCGTTCCTCGTTAGACCTACCTACAGATATCTAACTATTACCAGGTCCAGAATGTCCTCTGCTGCAAAGGGGGCAAGGTCGGCTCGGGCTCGCTCCACCTGACCGCGCACCATCTCATATTCCGATACGAGGATGAAGGCGAGGAGGAGATGTGGGCGAGTCCCCTCCATCCACTTCTTAGCGATATGCGCTGATGGCTCTTCCCTGCGTGGGGGATACGTAGGTCCCGTACCCGCTGATATCGCTCGTGACGCGCCTGCCGCAGACGCTGCAGGGGCGCTGCCCGATCACGTTCCGCTGCCGGACGTTCGAGACGTTCTCGCTCGTGTTCGATAGGGAGAGTGTGGCGGTGGATGTGTTCGAGAGCGTGAAGGAGCTCACGGTTATCAGTGAGTGTACATGTATCTCTATCATTGTGCACAGCGGGAGTAATGTGGTATCTACTAGCCTCCGTCGAGCAGCTCTACGCGTTCTTCTACACCCCCAACCCGCCCTTCCCAACGAACAACGGGTGGACGCTCTACTCGCCGCGCGAGGAGTTCGGGCGCATGGGCGTCGGCAGCCGCTCGAAGGCGTGGCGCTTCACGGAGCTCAACCGGGACTACAGCGTGCGTGCGCGCGCCCCGTCGCGGCCGGCCATTTCACGAATAACCGCCAGTTGACAGTTCTGCCCGACGTACCCCGCGCGCCTCGTCGTGCCGACGAAGATCAGCGACGCGACGCTGCAGTATGCGGGCAAGTATAGGAGCAAGGCGCGGATCCCGACGTTGACGTATCTGCATTGGGCGAATTTTGTGAGTGCTTTCTGGTACATGCCAGGGGTTTGAGGGGTTTAGTGCCTCTACGCAGGGCAGCATCACCCGCTCGAGCCAGCCGATGGTCGGGCTCACGCAGAGCCGCTCGGTGCAGGACGAGAAGCTCGTCGAGGCGACCTTCCAGTCGCACTGGGCGCCCGAGTCGCGCGTGGCGGCGGGGCCCGTGTACGGCGCGACGACGACGAACCTGATCGTGGACGCGCGCCCGACGACGAACGCGATGGCGAACACGGCCAAGGGCGCGGGCTCGGAGAACATGGACCACTACAAGGACGCGCGCAAGGCGTACCTCGGCATCGACCACATCCACACGATGCGCGACTCGCTCGCGAAGGTCGTCGAGGCGCTGCGCGAGACGGACGTGCTCGCGGCGAGCGTCAGCGGGGATTTGCCCGGGGAGCGCGAGCCGCTTGCGATTCTGGATCGGCAGGCGCTGAGAAGGAGCGGGTGGTTGAGGCATATTTCGGCGATTATGGAGGGGACGCTGTTGATCGTGCGCAACGTGCATGTGAACTCGTCGCATGTGCTGATACACTGCTCGGACGGGTGGGACCGCACGTCGCAGCTGTCGGCTCTTGCGCAGCTGTGCTTGGACCCGTTCTACAGGACGATGAGAGGGTTCGAGATACTCGTGGAGAAGGACTGGGTGTCGTTTGGCCACAAGTTCTTGGACCGGTGCGGCCATTTATCGTCGGAGAAGTTCTTTGTGGCCCCCGTGGAGAATACCGGTGCGGGTGGGGGTGCGGAGGCTGCCCAAGCGTTCTTTGCGTCGGTGCAGAAGCGGTTCGCTTCGCAGGCTGATATCAAGGAGACCAGTCCCGTTTTTCACCAATTCCTGGAGGCCGTTCGGCAGATCCAGCGACAGTTCCCGGAGCGGTTCGAGTTCAACGAGCGGTTCCTCCGACAGCTGCACTATCACCTGTATTCATGCCAGTTTGGGACTTTTCTCTTCAACTCTGAACGCGAACGACGCGTCGGGGATGGTGGGCTGCCGCCTTGCGAGCGCACCGTCAGTGTCTGGGATTTCTTCAACTCGCCAGAGGAGAGGGAGAAGAACCTCAATCCGGACTACGATCCAACGCTGGATGATCCATCGAAAGCCGACATGGGCGTCTTGTTCCCTAATCCTAAAGATGTCCGGTTCTGGTACCAGCTGTATGGACGCACAGACGAAGAGATGAATGGCAGAGTCGTAACGAGCCAAGCGCGTGGAGTGGAGATGCTGGGTCCGATAGAGACATCCGACGAAGACCCTGCTTCTATAACCCCTGCTGCTGTTTCTTTACCGCCATCACCCGCTGGTACACCTGCGCCTATTCTTCCTTCGTCTCAACCACCAGGCTCAACGTCCGAACTAATCAGCCAGTCAGCACCCCAGGCTGCAGTGCCGTCGCCTTTGTCATCATCACTCCCTGAGTTGTCGCAAATGACACTCAACGAAGCAAGTGCGGCTTCAGGATCTTCTTCGGAATTCTCAATGCGTACTACTGGTGCGCCTCAGCGAGTGCCTTCACCGAATCCAAGGCGAGCGCCTACATCTCCTCGACGCCCACCTGACTGGGCTGGTGGTGTCCGGTCCGTCTGGGGCAAACTCTCATCAAATGCTACTGCAGCCTTGACAGCCGTGCAGGGCGCGTATGATGGCGTGGCGAGAGATCTTAGCAAGTCTCTCGCGGCATCCACCGATGATGGCGAGTCAGGTGTGAATGCAGGAGAACTCAAGAGTCGAGACCAGCTGAACAGTCCCTGGGGTGAAGATTCATCCCCCTCGACCTCACGCGCTCCGTCGTCTTATACCGTTGCTTCGTCCAATCCTTGGGATACCGCAAGAGATAAACCCACGATGCCCTCCCTTTTCCTCGACAATCCGTGGAACACTGGACGGTCTCAGTCCCCATCTCACGCGCCCCTCCTCAAGGAAGTACCATTCGGGGCTACACCTTCTGGACTTCCTCACGATCCCACAGTTTCCCACCCGAAGCCAATTGACCCTGGGCGGTCCTCGATATTGGGTTTGCCTAAAGAGGTTTCTCCCCCCGTCCCGGTCACACAAACGTCCTCTGCCAATGATTCTCCCAGCAAGGCCACCCAAACCGATCGCTCACAACCCACGCCTCCAGCCGAGCGTCGACCAGAAAATATTGATCCACTGGGTGTTGGGATTCTGTAGCACATAGTGTTCTTATTTCCTTCAATGCCCTGCGGTTGTACACACGGTTATGCCGTTAGCTCTGTATTAGACCGCCTCCTGGAGGCCCGATTGTACCGAACAGCGTATTTACACGATGGCACTACTAACTCGGGAAGGGAAGTTTAAACGGGTCCGGCGAATGGCGTGATAATTAGCTGAGATAAGCCGTGCTTCCACGCGTAAATGTATTTGAGCAAGCTTGAAGAGGACTGAGCTCTTCCCCAGGCTGTCCTTATCCCCCCTTCCTATCGCCCCTACATCCTCGCTCGCCGTCCTTCTGTTCTCCATCCTAGACAATGGCGCACGCAGCTCTCGCACCCGGCCACTTCCTTTTCACGTCCGAGTCCGTCGGTGAGGGACACCCTGGTACGTCGATCTCATCCGATTTTTTCCTGGCTGTAATCTGAGGTCGTGCAGACAAAATTTGTGACCAAGTCTCGGATGCCATCGTGAGTTGCTTGAACTGCTCTACGACTAGAGACGTACTTTACTGACCTCGTGTGTTGTGCAGCTCGATGCCTGCCTGGCGCAGGACCCCTTCTCCAAGGTTGCTTGCGAGACCGCGTCGAAGACTGGCATGATCATGGTGTTCGGTGAGATCACCACCAAAGCAAGCATCGACTACCAGAAAGTCATCCGTGAGACGATCAAGAAGATCGGCTACGACGACTCGTCGAAGGGCTTCGACTACAAGACCTGCAACATCCTCGTCGCCATTGAGCAGCAGTCGCCCGATATCGCCCAGGGTCTCGACCACGGTTCGCTGGAGAACATCGGTGCCGGTGACCAGGGTATTATGTTCGGTTATGCGACCGACGAGACCGAGGAGTACATGCCCCTCACCATCATGCTTGCGCACAAGCTTAACGCGGCGATGACTGCTGCCCGCAACTCCGGTCTCCTCCCGTGGCTGCGCCCCGACTCTAAGACTCAAGTTACCATTGAGTACAAGAAGGACAACGGTGCCACGATCCCTCTTCGCGTGGACACCATCGTTATCTCCACCCAGCACGCTGAGGAGATTTCCACCGAGGAGCTGCGCAAGGAAATTAAGGAGAAGATCATCAAGGCGGTCATCCCCGCCCACCTCTTGGACGACAAGACCGTCTACCACGTACGTGCACATTTTCGCATCTGCGTATAGAGTCTTACCTTATTCCACTTGCAGATCCAACCCTCCGGCCGCTTCGTCATTGGTGGTCCCCAGGGTGATGCGGGTCTGACTGGTCGTAAGATCATCGTGGACACTTACGGTGGCTGGGGTGCACACGGTGGAGGCGCCTTCTCCGGCAAGGACTGGTCGAAAGTCGACCGATCTGCCGCCTACACTGCTCGGTGGATTGCCAAGTCCATCGTTGCTGGCGGTCTTGCTCGTCGCTGCCTCGTGCAGTTGTCGTACGCCATCGGTGTTGCCGAGCCGTTGTCTGTCTACGTTGACACGTACGGCACGGGCAAGAAGTCGGATGAGGAGCTCGTAGAGGTTATTAGGAAGAACTTCGACCTGCGTCCAGGTGTCATCGTCAAGGAGCTCAACCTGCAGAAGCCCCAGTACCTTAAGACTGCCTCTTACGGCCACTTCGGTATGTGTCCATGGCCCACTTTAGTTGGGAGTACGACGCTGACTCGTTCCTAGGCAACCCCGAGTACTCTTGGGAGAAGCCCAAGAAGCTCGCCCTTTGAGCTGGTTCATTTGCACCATGCTACAAAATATCTGCTCGCATCTAACGGCATTCCAATATTGCATCGGAAGTTCATCCTTCCACTATCATTATTACGCATCGCATGACCCCACCGCATTCTCCCGAGATACCCCAATCCCTCTGCCGCCTTTACACCCCCACTAGCTGCCACGCAGTGCTGCACGACATTTTATGCATCTACTGTCACTACTCGGTTGTCCAGCACCGCGTACTGTGTTTTCTTAGATGATTACTAGGTCCTTATAAAATGGTAATTACCGCGTTCAACCGCGTATTGTAGCAATAAAATATTTTTGGGATTTACTGCTCAGACTTGTGAAACCGTCCGAATTGTGATGAGAGTGTATCGCCCTCCCTCACCGGCCTCACCACCGGTACCGTGGTCTGTTGGATGCCCGATGTTCACCTCGATCTGAAGCCGGATTCCCGACGGCAAGCTTATCTTCATCGTAAATCGGACCGATAAGATTGACTACAAAATTTGCTCGTTATGGCTCCCTTCAGAAAAGTTTCGAACGCTCCTACGCCTTCTTACGCTATAGCCAAGCAGGCAGCGCACGTTCGTCCTTGCCACGGACGTAACCCTCGCACGGGGCCTTCATTGTCTTCGTTGCATCCATAATTTTTATCCTAGACTTGAACTTGCTTGGTCGAAAGTGAGTCGGAGACCTCTCTTACCATAAAAGTACTCAGTGTCCTCCACTTCTTCCAGTGTGTGGCATACTCGGTCTGCTTTTGCACGATCCCAGCATAGACTGTGCCCCCGAGATCTGCGAGGGCCTGGCGCTCCTGCAACATAGAGGTCAAGATGCGTGCGGTATTGTCACTTGCGGGCCCAAGGGACGTTTCTTCCAGTGCAAGGGGAACGGAATGGTCCGCGACGTATTCGACTCGAACTCCATCTCCACTTTGGTCGGTGGGATGGGCGTCGGACATGGTAAGTAAGACAGCCGGGTGTTGGTATCGCAGGACCGTGCTGACTGAGAGACTGAACTCAGTCCGGTACCCCACCGCTGGAAGCTCTTCTCATGCCGAGGCCCAGCCATTCTATGTAAATTCGCCGTATGGTATTGTATTTGCCCATGTGAGTGGAGACATTACAGGTCCGCCCCCCCTGTACGAGCTGAACGCTTGCAGAATGGAAATCTAATCAACACCGAATCGTTGCTCCGTTTCATGGACGCGGAAGCGCATCGTCACATAAACACTTCGTCCGACTCTGAATTATTACTTAACATATTCGCCAACAACCTCCAGCAAACGGGGAAGTTCCGTATAAATGAAGACGATATCTTCACAGCCATTGGCGGTCTTATGCAGCAAGTCAAAGGGGCATACGCTTGCGTAGCGATGTTAGCTGGATTCGGCATTATTGCCTTCAGGGACCCTAATGGTATACGACCCGTGGGCATGGCTACTAGGAAATCTGGTAATGGCCGAGACTATTTATTCGCCAGCGAAAGCGTTGTGGCGGATGCCAGCGGCTTTGGTGAATGGCAGGACGTCGGACCAGGTAGGCTGAAAGGCTTGTTTCCCCTGCTCTGACTAAGTGTCTCTGTCTACCCAGGTGAAGCCATTATAATCACTCGGTCATCCTTATCGAGGCGGCAGGTCTCTCCTCCTGCCATATTTGCCCCCGACATCTTCGAATACGTCTACTTCGCTCGACCAGACTCTGTGCTAGATGGTGTCAGCGTGTACAGGAGCCGCATGGCGATGGGCGATGCACTTGCTGACGAAGTCAAACGTGTGCTGCATGAAAGGAATCTGTCTGTGGATGTGGTCATCCCTGTACGTTCAACAGGCCCCGGGATTGGTGCGAACCTGACATTGAGGGGATCAAGGTTCCTGATACGTCGCGAGTAGCGGCGCTGAATCTTGCGCAGAAGCTACAGTTACCGTATCGGGAGGGGTTCATAAAGAACCGTTATGTGGGACGAACGTTTATTATGCCTGGGCAACAAATGAGGTGATTCGATTACTTTCTTCTATTGACATATTTGTTGACAGGACATTCAGGAAAAAGAACGTCCGACGGAAGTTGAACGCCATGGCGTTGGAGTTCGTCGACAAGAACGTTCTAATCGTCGATGGTAAGCCGCTATCTATGTCGCACAGCTGATAACTGACATCCATGGTTCAGACTCTATCGTTCGAGGCACGACATCGAAAGAGATCATCCAGATGGCTAAAGATGTGGGTGCCAAGAAGGTCATCGTAGCAAGTTGCGCGCCTCCTATTCGGTCAGTAATGTCGAATCCAGATTCTCTCAATATTCTTATACGTGCCTAAACAGATACTCAAACGTGTACGGTATCGACATGCCTTCACGAGTTGAGCTTGTCGCCCACGAGCGCAACGAGGACGAGATAGCGGCCCAAATCGGGGCAGACCTGGTCATCTTCCAGACCCTCCCTGATCTTATATCTTCGGTGCGCCAGTTCAACCCAGTGATCGAGCAGTTCGATTGCTCTGTGTTCACCGGGGAGTACGTCACTGGTGGTGTGGATGAGGTATATCTGCAGCATCTGGAGAGCCTGCGCGCGGATAACGCCAAAGCTAAGCTTAAGCACGGAGATATCGGTGCCATTGAGGGAAAGGGTGGAGGGGGAATTGTTAGGAACGGCGCTACGGAAGAGAAGGAGGTCAGCATAGGGTGTAGCGGGCCCATGAACGGCGCGGACGATACGATCGGGCTGTTCAACAACTACAAGGGCCATTGGAAGGTCAGCTAGGATGGGTGAGGTTGCTCCTTTTGGCTGTCAAGTCAGGTATATCGCGGTGCTCATCCACGGGTAGGCATCTTGCTTGTACAGACAAATGTATTTTATTATGGACGAGTCGTGGCAACTCTGCCGTCGCGGTCACGTGCCTGCCGAGACGTGGTTCATTAACTTGATTAAGTTGAAGCGTTCGCGTCGCGTCGGTTATCATTCCTTTCCTCTTCTTGCATAGTACTCAGGCTGGATGGTTCGCGGTATCTCCTGCGTCTTTCTCCTGGCTCTGAACATTCTATCTGTGGGAGGCTCGAAGCACTCAGCATGGAATGGCCATACTACGCCCGGATCGACGACACCCAGCGATTTCACACCTTACTATGTTGCACCTGGGACCAAAAGCTATGATTCATCTTCACCATTCGTTCACTACTCAGGCAATTGGAAAGAGTCATTTTCGCCCGCCTATGTCCATAATACTGTTCGCTCGACCTCGCATCCCAAGGCAGCTGTCACCTTCACCTTCACTGGTACTGGCGTTGAATGGTTCGGTAACATGGACGATAGTCACGGTATCGCGGACGTCTACATCGATGGGGAAAAGGTCCAGACTGTCGACAACTACAGTGAAGCGCCTATGAAACAGCAGCGACTGTTCTGGAAGTACGACTTGCCTTTCGGAAGGCATCACCTCAAGGTTGTCAACACTGGTAAACGACGCGGATCCCAGAAGAAGGGTATTCTTGATGTTGACGCCTTTGTGGTTACGTATGGTACTAAGGCGATCCGGGGACACTCGGCTTCGTCCATACACTCTCTGCCCACGTCGGATTCGCGGAAGGCGGCGGACCTTGCCGAGGCCACTACCGCCGATGCATGGTCACTTGAACAAAAAGGCTCTACTGGCGTACATGCTATGCAACTGTCTATCATTTCTCCAACTCATGCGATCATTGTGGACAAGGTCGAGCATAACCCACTGACTGTATCTGGACATCCAGCTTGGGCCGCTCTCTACAACCTCAACACTCATGCCATCAAGCCCTTGAACGTGCAATCCAACTCTTTCTGCGCTGGCGGTACTTTCTTAAGCAACGGAACCTTGATCAACGTGGGCGGCAATCCTGTAGTCGAAGATCACACTTCAGCGGCGGACTTCGGGGACGCTGACGGGCTTCAGGCTATCCGCATTTTCGAACCCTGCGAGTCCAGTACTGGCGATGCATGCGAGATCTATGAGGACCATGCCCGAATTCGTATGGCTAGCCCCCGGTGGTACAACACTGTCATCCGCCTGCAAGACGGCAGCGCTATGATTATCGGCGGCGCCAAGAAAGGTGGATGGATTAACAACGCTACCGTGAACAATCCTACTGTCGAATATTGGCCTCCGAAATCCATCCACGGTTCTAACGGGATGCCTGTTCATATGCAGTTTCTCGTGGATACTCTAAACTCGAATCTGTTTCCCATAGCATTTCTCCTTCCTGATGGTAAAGTCTTTATGGCGGCTAATCAAGACGCGATGATCTATGACTGGCAGAACAACCAGGAGCGCAGGCTGCCTCAGATTCCCAACGGAGTACGCGTGACTTATCCTATGGCTGGTACTGGGCTACTCCTTCCTCTATCGCCTGACAATGGCTACACGCCTGAGGTCTTACTTTGTGGGGGGTCCACCGTCGACGACAGAAAGCCCGGCTATGAGATCTCATCTCAGGATCCGGCGTCGGCCCAATGCGTTCGGATGGTCCTCACGGACGCAGGCATCTCGGCAGGCTGGCAAGTAGAGCAGATGCCTCAAGCGCGAACCATGCCTGACGCTGTTCTGTTGCCCACTGGAGACGTTCTAATAGTCAACGGTGCTGGTACTGGTATCTCTGGCTATGGCAATGTCGTGCATCAAGTAGGGGCTTCCAACGCTGACAATCCTGCCTTCACTCCCGTCTTGTACAGGCCTGGGGCTTCTAACGGGCAGCGGTTCTCCTCGGCAGGTTTACCGACCAGTGACATTCCTAGGCTATACCATTCAGTGGCTACGTTGACTCCGAATGGAGACATCATGATTGCCGGGAGTAATCCGAACCTCGACAGGAGCGAAGTCGAGTACGGTACGGAATACAGGGTGGAATGGCTCAAGCCTCCGTATATGCTCGTTGGACGACCCGAATGGGTCAGTGCAGCTCCCCGCTTACTAGGTTACGGGCAGTCCCTACATATGGAGGTGAAGTTGCAGCAAAACGCTGCGCACAGCCCAGACATTCGAGGTATGGTCTTTGTCAAATCAGCCCTTCCTTTTCCAAAATTTGACAAATGGATACAGTTGCCCTGATGGACCTGGGATACATCACGCACGCCGTACACGCGAACTCCAGACTAGTTTACTTGGCTGCCTCGTTGTCAGTCGACGATAGGAAGACCTTGACCATTACGGCGCCCCCGAATGCGAACGTGTACCCGCCCGGACCTGGATGGCTGTATCTCGTTGTCGATGGTATCCCCACTACTGGTTTGCGCGTCCTGGTAGGTGACGGCAAGGGTCCCGCGGTTGACGAGAAGGCCATGGAAAGGTATGCCCTGTCTCTACATATTTGCAGAGTCTCGCTTACACCCATCGGTCTTCGAACTAGCATGTTGAGTAAGACAATTGTGGATCAGTACGACAAAGGCAAGGAAGAGAAAGGGGACGGCGCCGAATAGTCGGCTACTATCTCCTAATCGCATTTCGTCTCGTGTTTTGTCGCAACAGCCTATACCACCGTCGTTCGCGTTGATTCTCGTTCCACTCTATACCCAGACTCACTAGCAGAATATGTACATACCCAGACCTTGTTGTATCTCTCGAAGCTATATCCTTAGGGCCCATCACTATTGGCACAGATCCGGGAGTCAACCATGTTACCAACTCCTGTTGAAGATCCTCTATGCACCATCATACGAGCGTACAACATGACAAAGCCTGGAGAGAATAGACGAGACAGCTCTAGCGAAGGGCGAGTATTTACAACGCTCTCTGTCGCATCCTGCTCGCGACGGTCCGTAGCCCAGCATAGACCTTGCCTGGGGGAGAGCCGAGGATGAGAGATACGATCGCATCCCTGGCGATTTTGATATTTTGGAAAGAACCAAGGATATGGATTTTGCTGCGTTTATAGGGTGAGTCACAGTACACATACAGATTCCACGCTATGAAGACGTACGTATCGGCAAGTATGATCCTGGTCCGGCTAGCATTCTCGATCGTAAATTTCGTCTTACCGTCGTGCCCTGCTATACGGCCTATCGACGACATCAGATGGCATTCCTCGACGGAACGGCCCGCACTCACCGATTGCACGAGATAGATGGTCCCCATGCAAGCTCTTGACGTCCTTGATCTCGAATGAGTCAAGGTATAGGTCGTCTAGCCTTAGGAGAGCGATGGCATCCTGCAGTAGAACCGCGTAAGAACGGAGGTGATGAGAGGGAAAGGAGAATCATACGTTCACATCAAACCCTAATGCAAAAGCTTTGACAAAGTCTGCGCCCTTCTGCAGAGCACCTACTTCTTTTGTATGTTTTGACGTCTACAGGGCACTTCAGCTTACAGAACTCAGTCGAACTGGCGAATTGCACGCACCCGCATCTCCACGCATCTCCGCTGCACGTTCATTCGCACTTGCAGCCCAAGCATCTCCGTCAAGGGACCGAAAACATTAATCCACTCTTTCTTCAACGGTGTCATGCGATGTGGGGGAATCGGGACCCTTCTTGTCTCGGACTTGAGAGGGCCGTCTCCTGCTCCAGCAGGTAATGGAGGGAACACGGGTGCGGCGGTTTGGTTCGATACATCGGGGGCGTCCGTGTCAATCATCAAGTCATCGTCGCCAGTATTTGCATCCTCAGGCGCAGCATTTTGCGGGGTGGCGGGTTCCTGCTCGTCGGCCATCGCAGCCTCGGGGACCTCCTGCGCGATCCTGGCATGCTTCTTCTTCGCTATCGAGCGACGGTTTTTCTTGGGTGGTGTGGATGTGCTGGGCTGCGAGTGTGCGACGACCATTGCAGATGGCAATTGAGGACGAGGGCTGCCTGCAGGTTTCCGCTCGTAAAGTGAAATTGAAGTGAAGCGTTACTGATGTCACAAGCAAGTACGATTAGATAATGTCACACTGGCCTTAGTCTGCGGCGAAGCCAAACTCCTGCAGCTCCCCTGTCTGTCTGCTTGTCGGCGTCGCATCACCATGGCTGCTCCCGGGACCACACAAAATCTGAAAGAAGGGAGGAGTCAAGGTCCGTGTCCTGTCCGTTCGAGGCTGGGGTGTGCGACTTAACATCATGGATAGTTATACAAGCGTTCCTCAATTCTCTCTCTTCAGGAGAAAGCAGTCAGGGTGCAAATGGGGGCAGTTTCACGCCCGATCAGGTTGAGAGATTGTCGAATAAACTAGGCCAAATTCTTGGAGACATCGAGGACAACTCAGGCCGTCGGAACGAGAAGGGTGAGGTACGCCTGGTTGTGTCTTACTCGAGCTTTACTCATTCACGTTGAATACCCAAAGCTTGTGAATGAAGAAGGTCTACCAATTGTGGATATTAATGAGCCCACAAACTCATCGACCGAAGGACCCGGGGAGTCTGTACCCTACGAAGAACCTGATCTACTACCTCTGTGGGCATTGGGGCCAGCCGAGCGAGACCGACGGCGACGCGAGAGAGACCGATTGTTGGACATGTTGGAGGAAGAGGAGCGTGCCGAGCAGGAGCGAGATGCTGAGAGGGAGGAGGAACAGCGAAGACAAGAGCTAGAGAAACGTAAGGAGGCCGCCAAGGCAGATCTGGAGAAGCTGAAAGCGGCTCGGGAGTTGCAAAAAAAGATGGGGAAGGCCTTACTGCGGAATATGGCAGACGCCAAAGAAAGGGAGGAGCAGGAGAAGCGGAGGCAGGCCGAAGAAGACCGCCGCGCAACGGAGGAGAGGAAAAGGACCACGACGCTTAGGCCGCGGAAGAGCGTAACCTTTGCGGACAAACCTGATCACAATGCTGACGAGTCGAAGCGCCTCACACCCGCTGAGCCAGCACCTGATCTCGGGGATGTGTCTCTCGCGAAATTAATGCCTCCCCGCCGTGGTCTGCCTACTCAGAAAGAGCTCGACAGCAGCACTATGAAGATGAATGTCGTCGAACGGTTCCCCGCAGCTTTACGCTCGCCGCCTCCCCTTGGTAAAAATGACGCTGCCGACGAAGGGGATTCCGATGACGAGTCAGTTCCCGGCTCACCTGTACCAGCGGACTCCGATGAGGGCGACATTATTGAGTCAGAACCGGACTCAGACGGCTCTGATGAAGACGTCGTGCTCGACGAAGAGTACGATATAGACACTGTTCAACACCATCGTGAAATCGCCCTGGCATACTATGAGAAGCGATCGACTATTGGCGCGGAAGCTAAGAAGGCAATGACCTCGCATACCCATGTGGGCGAACATGAGTGGGATCAACCGGTCAGCCTGCTCCCGGCACTCGGTTTGGGCTGGTACGATCATTAACACTGTATTTTTAGGAGGTACCGCAGGAAGCGACTCTTGCGTCACCGCCGCCGAAGCCGCCTATATCTCGTTTCAAAGCGAACCGCAAGGCAGCGCACAACGTCTCTTCGTTGTCCTCGTCTGATCCAATGCTGGCATCCACCTCCCTAGGCGCGTTGGTTATTCCTGCTTCTCAGACCAGGGAGCTTGAGCGTGCGATACGCACCGGGAAGATAGAGAATGGAGACCTGATAGGTGGGGAGGAGGGAGAAAGTGGAAGTGATGTCGAAGCAGACGAGAAAATGCGGGAAGTCCTGGAGATGCTCAAGCGGGCTCAAGTGACGAACGCCGGGCCCTCTGGTGCCGGGGGACCCTCTTCCACCGTCGACTACTCCAGAGAGTCATCTATGTTGGGAGAGTCCGTGAACGCCATCCCGGTGTCAAAGGTCAGGCCTCAGACCTCTAGGTTTCGCTCTGCGTTTGCGGCGGCTCAAGCCCAATCGCCTGCCGAGTCCTCTCCCGGTACCCCCGCCACGCCTGTGAATAACACGGGTCGATCCTCACCCAAAGCCCCGGCTGTTAGCTCGACAATCGTTGAGCGTAATATGCCCTCCTCGGGTCGGTTGTCCTCGAGTTTGGGTCGTAAACCGGCATCGTTAGATGGTGCGGGACCGCTAACTGTAAGTCCCTGGCTTGTGGCGAGGAGTCATTTGTCTAACTTCTACTAGTCGCCTGTCGTTAGTTCCAGTGCTATCCCGTTGCGATCGGGCCCGACTTCGGTGTCACCATCACCCTCCGCCAACAATGCTGCTAGCTGCGTCCAACCTACCGTCATCGACTCACCGTCGTTCCAACCTGGCCCGAAGCAGAGTGCCGCAACACCATCAGCCACGATGTCGTCAATGACCGTCGAATCGCCGTCCTTCCCTTCGCCGTCATCGACAAGTAGACCGGAACGCCCGCCTGTCGTCATGTCTGCGCAAGTACGAGAGTCTGCAAGCAGCTCAAGGCAAAGCGATTCAGCAACGATGGGCAGCGAAGGCCCCAAAAAGGTTTCGAGATTTTTGGCGCAGAGGACTGGACATTAGCACTGAAATACGCTTGTCGTATCTATGCGCATGGGCTGCTTTCGATATCTCTGTACTATAAGGTTACTTCAGAACAGCGTCGCTTTCATCCCGTTTCAGAGGTAGAATCGACATGTGCCTTGTCCCTAAGATGACATATGATATCGGCCTATACCGTCTTGGACGCCGGAGCAGTATGAATTCACTCACTAGAATCTCACTCTGAACAGCTCCGCCTTGGGGTACGAAAATACCCAGAAATGATTCGCATCTTCCTTCACTTCTCCTGGTTTCGCATTTGGAAACATACTCTGAACGACCGGAATGTATGGATGGTTCAAGATGTTGGGCCATTTGGAAGTCGACCTGAAGTCGATGGCCTTGACAGCTTCATTGCGGCAGCTATCGTCGACGGTTTGTGGCAGCGAATACGGCATGTGATACTTATCACCCCGGATGGATACCGATTCCAATTGACTGCAAGAGGCTGCTAGTTTTACGAGTGCAGCGCCGGTGATGAACGGCACCGACTCCCAATGCTCCTCGTTGTCTCTGAAGAACATCCTTGTTAAAGCCTTCCAACTAGACGCCATTTCTTGCACAAGGGCATCTTCGCCTAACGCGGGCCATTCCAACATAACGTGAAAATCTGTGACCTGCTTGAAGCTGAGTAGAGGCCACAATGCAGCGGTCGGAATAACATCGTGCACCCAGTTCTCGACGTCCAATTCCATGTGATCATTATGTGTATCCACGTAGATTCGGAGAGATTTCACAGGGGCTCCGTAGCAGGATGTAGACACGCATGCCACAAATTACGCAACATCCTCCGCGTCAGCAGCGCAGTATGACATGTTCAGCTCTTGCACGGCTGGCAATCGCAGGGATTCCAAGAGGTGGCCACATGACCAGTCGGACAAGCCAGTGATGTGGCACCACAGGACACTGTCGAGCCGACAAACGAATGACCGGGGCTCAATGTAAGATTCATCAGTCGCGTCCTCCTGGTCAGAAGACCCTCCAAGGGTGATCTGAAGCGCCTCTAAGGGCGACGACTCCATCATAGAGAGGATCTGTTAAGTAGAACAAGAACCATGAATGCCCTGTGAAATGAAAGTACTTCAGCGATCGAAATGTTTTGCGTCGCGGTGGGTGTCCATGCAGGGAATTGGGTGGCACGGGCGGCTTTGAGAAAGGCCAGAACTTCACTGCCGGATGATTAAGATGGGGCAAATCTGAGAGCGTATGAACCGCGTCGATTCTCGGAGAGTTCATAGTGAATTCCAGCTTCTCGAGATTGCGAGAGATGGAGAAGAAGCGCGAAAGGTTGCCCAGGAATTGCGGGGGAATACCGTGGTCGAGGATAACCACCTGCTTTAGAGAGGGGCATTTGCGGGCGATGGAGGGCAAGATAAATGCATCCGTGGCAAATACATCCTTCCGCTGTTGAAAGGCAAGTGGAAGTAGGAGATATCGCAGACTTGAGGCCAGGAACGAATCTACTCAAACCTTTGTTAGGAACCGGCAGGGAAGACCGATGAAGCTGATAAAGACTGGGGAATACGGGCCCAGGAGAATAGACAGAGAGGGCCTTTAGGAAGCTTTCAGCGACCCCCGATGGGGGATCAGGTCTATATAGTGACCGCCGCGATTAGTAGGAAACGTTCAATTGCCGAACTCGTGGAGCATACAGCTTGAATCTGTTCCAGTCAGAGAGAACAGGAGCTCTACGCAGGGTCTAAACGTAGAAAAGGATGCATTATTAGCTGTGCCCGCCTCCATCTGCCGACAAGTCACTGTACACTGACCAGACAATTATAATCCTGGATCTTCCATAAATCCTCTGGCAGGTAGACAACAAAAGGATACTGAGATTGGGCAAATCCCGCCACACGAGATCCAGCGCTGTGTCAGTGAATACACGGCAGGTAAGGGCCACATCCAAGAGATCCCTCGTGTTCTCTATGCCCTCTGAATGCAAAGGCATTTAGCTGCCAACATAAAGACGGAGTCCCGTACTGAAAATGCAGCGCACGGTGTGGTTTTCGCTGACTCCATGGGGCATGGCTTCGAGTCCTTGGTCAAGATGGGAAGGTAAGTGTTGGAAACATTGTGCGGCTGCGCATAGACCACTCCTTTGTTCCCTACATTGACGGTCGATCCGCGCCTAGTTTTAAGAGCATGGTAACCTCAAGGCAGACAAATCGTGCTCAGCGGAAGCCTCATTGGCTCAAGTTGCCGTACTGCATCTGATCCCTGTCTTCGGTTTGAAAGAAAACGCGAATAGCCCATGCCGCCTGACCTAATCAATACGTAGACTTACATTAGGTATACAACGGGTAACACGGCAACGGTCGTAACTCCGTCTATGCTGCCGACATGTATCACTCAACAATAAATGGCAAGACCGTGGACATCCGCATCTGAAGTGTCCTGCGCCTGCTCGCGTGCCAGGAAGTATTCATCAGGTTCATGAGTCGCAGGTTCTTCATGCCGCGAATTGGACCGGTTGAACTCGGGGATAATAGAAAACAAGGCGTCTCTTCCGCGGGTCTTCGATGTGACCACGTCTGGCGTTGGGGAAGAGTCGCTGGAAGAAGGACAGGAACTCGACAGAATCGGTTCCGGGGGAATCTCCCAAGTCGACCAGCCTCACACTCTCGTTGGGTTGGATCGTATCGAGCAGGTCCATCGGAAGCTCCTCGAGTGCATTAATGCGCAGCGAAATGGTCTCTAGCTTCCTACAGTGCAATGCGAGTATAGCTAGGCATACGGACGTCGCACCGGGCCTCTCATCCCAATGCTCCTGGTCGTCTATGAGATAGAATGTCTTCAATTCTTTCCAGCTAGAAGCCATTCCTTGTATCATGGCGTGAGGGTCAAGCAGCGGCCAGTCGGCAGTGAAGAGGAAATGAGTCATGTTCTCGAAGGCGAGGAAAGGCCAGAGTACTGTGGAAGGGATGTCCCCGTCAAGCCACGACACTCTGGATTCATTATGGTCGTTCCAGGTGCCTATATCCAGCTTGAGCGATGTGAGAACCGACCGCGAACAAGCCACAGCTATGCTCTCGACAAGTGATCTCATGTCTTCTGTCTCATTCTCGGTATAGTAGAAATCCAGTTCCTGCAACGAGGGGAGTCCGTTGGGCGTGAAGAGATACTTTCGCCAGGCTGACGTTAGGCAACGGATATGCAACCACTGCAGAGTGGGCAAGGTGAAACGTATCGGCACAGGGGGTAGTACATTCGGATCGGCTTCCCCGGTTCCATTGACGCAAATTTGCAAAGCTTCCAAGGGAGAGGATTGCAGCGCCTGCAGGGTGTTCACCACGAAACCCAAAGAAGGTAAATCTGCGTACAGGCAGAAATACTTTAAAGCGCGGAATGCTTTGCGGTCCCGCAACATGCGCAGCTTATGAATCGCCTCTTCAGAGTCCGGCCGCTCGTAGGGAGGATGGAAAACAAGGAGTTCAAGCTGACGCAGGCACGGAAGTTCAGCAAGGGCGCATATGGCGTCCGAGTTCGGCGAGGCAGTGCGATAATCCAACCTTTCGAGGTTTTGACACGTCGAGAAGAAGCGGGACAGGTGGGGAACAAAATCAGGATGTGCTGTATTTTCCCCCAATAGGAGCTGTTTTAAGGACGGGCACTTTTCTGCGACGTCCTCCAAGATGGTTACATCTTGGAGGAAGTCTTCGCGCTGCATGAGACCGAACCTCAGGTCCTGCACCCTGGGTCCCAGAAACATGCACATGTGCGCGAGATCGATATAATGAATCGACCAATCCAGATGAACGAGATTCGGAAGAAACGGTTTCAAAGGATTGGATGCGCCCAGTACCGCCAGTACGCTATCACCGAATGCTGGGTACGGCTTGCCGGAGCTAGACGATTCTTTGCGCTTTATACTGGTGATACGAGGGATGTAGTATTGCAGCCTCTCCCATTCAGCGGGATGGAGTTCTCTGCTCAAGACCTACAAATCGCGACGTTTCGGACAGGTCAGCAACTTCCAACCAGACATATCACAATGGATTTGCGTACCAGTTTAAACCAGTGTCGTTTGAAGAGAGACTCAGGAAGTACTGAGATGAGGACTCGGAGGTCAGGGATCTCATGCCATATACGATCCAGGGCAAGGTCGGTCAGATCATGGCAAGTGCGCGCGACTGCCACAAGGTCCTTCTTGGGGACATTGTCCAGGATAGCGCCCGCGACCTCTTGAATCAACAGGGCTCGGTGCACCATCGAGCAGGCAGGACTTTTTGGAGGAGGGCAAAGTCCAAGTAGTGGAATAATCCTGGTGGAAACATTTTCGGGTAATCCGTGGGGGAGCCGTCGCGTTCATCTCGATCATCCTGGCGCCCGCCACCTTTGATGGCGCGCTGCATGCGCACCTGTGCCCTAGTCGCAATCCTCCTGCGCGTATTCATCGCTCTGTCGACCAGGACGTTCTTCCAGCCCGATGAATACTTCCAGGCGCTCGAAGTCGCGCACCAGCTGGTGTTTGGCTACGGCCACTTGACTTGGGAATGGCGCGCGTCGCGCCCAATAAGGAGCATCATATATCCACTGCTCAATGCCCCGGTGTATTGGCTTGCAAAGATCGCCAGGCTTGATGATACCGTATTCCTGGTAGGTGAGTAGGGCTTGAATATGCAGGGCCTAAACACAAATTTCCTAATGGTAGATCGCGGGACCGAAGGTCTTGCATGGCGTGCTGGGAGCATGTACGGACATATGGGTCGCTGAACTGGCCCAGAAAGTCCTAGGGGAGCGATATGTTACTACTGCTGTGAGTACCCAAGCCCTTCACGAATCCCGTAAAATATACTGACGGTGGCTTTTCCAGGTCTTCCTATCCCTGACTTCGTTCTTCCATGCGCTATCCCTCACGCGCTCCATGTCGAACTCTCTGGAGACGTCTCTGGCCACGATAGCACTCAGCTACTTTCCATGGGATCCTGAGAGGTTATTCGACAGGTTAGTCTGTTATGGGACGTTTGTGTTTATGTTCTGACATAGTTGCCGTAGAAGAGGTATCAGGAAAGCGTTCGTATTCGCCGCATTAGCATGTTCAATCAGGGCCACCAATGCTGTCATATGGGTATATATGCTGGCGGTTCTGATATGGCGTCTACGGACACAAATATGGCTAGTACTCATCGTGGTGCTGGATGTTGTTGGAATAGGGTATGTCTGAATGCTCCTGCATATATTCGCTGACTAAAATGTATCGAAGCACAGCGACACTTTCGAGTCTGGTCATCCTAGACTCGATCTATTATGGCCAGGTCACCTTCACGCCTCTCAACTTCCTCCTTACGAATCTGTCTTCGGTGTCACTGTTCTATGGTTCGAGCGATTGGCATTACTACCTCTCGCAGGGTCTCCCGCTTCTATGTACCACATCCCTGCCATTTGTACTTCACGGTGCATGGCTCGCCTTGGGTCCCACTGGCACCCCAGCTTCTCGCACGATGTTAGGACTTGTAACCTGGACCCTGACAATTTACTCCCTGGCCGGTCATAAAGAATGGCGTTTCCTCCATCCGCTGCTTCCCCTCCTCCATATACTCGCTTCAAAGTCATTAGTCGACCTCTACTATGCCTCCGAACGAACAGCTCCCCTCCAGCGGCCCTTGCTGCCGATACGCTTCACTCATCTCTGCATGCTCCTTATCACAGTACCCGCTGCCATTTACGTCCTCTACTTCCACGGCGAGCCGCAAATCAGTGTTATGCATTACCTGCGGAACGTACCTCCAGGAGAACTAGAGTCTCTCGGTTTCCTGATGCCGTGTCACTCGACGCCGTGGCAGGCGTACCTTCACAAATCTGAACTTGCCGATCCCGGAAGAATGTGGGCTCTAGGATGCGAGCCTCCGTTGTCAAATGAGTATGTCTCATTTGTAGTTCCAGTGACGATGTTTACTAACAGGGATGTTTAGCAAGGACGTCACTTCCAGCTACCGAGATCAAACGGATATCTTCTATCAGTCCCCTACAGGTTACCTCAAGGAACGGTTCCCGTATAGAGTCGATCCAACCTTTCCCCCATCTCCCTTTCCCAGCTCGATTCCTGGGGTTACTCGCCTGGACGATAAGAGCTGGAGGCACGAGTGGCCGAAGTATTTGGTAATGTTCGGCGCACTATCAGAGGAGAGCGAGGTTCGAACATTGCTATTGGATAGAGGGTACAGGGAAGTGTGGGCACGTAACACAGGATGGGAGGGGGACTCGCGAAGGAGGGGGGGCGTCCGGGTATGGAAGTTCAAGGGATAGATGAAATTTATTGTGAGGAGGTAATCTTAGTGTATCAGACATGAAAAGATAAGGGTACGACGGAAGTCCCAGATGTGCAGAGCATCTACTTGCCGATCTTGATGCGTGTCGCGCGTTGTAACTGAACACGCCGTCAATGACTGGGATACGCCACGCGAAACGATGGACTCACCCGTCTCCGCTTCTTTAGCCTGGAAGCGAGAAAAGCAAAATTGTTCAGAACTATGCAGAGATATTGGGTAAAGGCCAGGACGTACTTGTGCTTCTTCATCTTCTTTCGCCGCTTCCTCTTCGTGCTGTCAGCCTGGATGTTATATCCCGATAGATTCATCTCATCCGCTCTCCCTTCACCCTCGGGAAGATCGAGTCCTAATCGCTTCAGCGCGCCCTGCCATGATATTGTCCCTCCCACCCGATTCATCACCAACGCTCGTGAAAGTTGCCTTGCAGCATCGGCATCTGCTTCGGGCGATGCCTCTGGTGGTTCCGCTGACGAATCCGACCCAGCTTGTTCGGGCTCTGACGCAGGAGATGACAGCTGTAGTGATGGTGATGACTCGAACGCAGCCTGCGCAGGCTGAGAGAGGAGCAGCAGCGGCCGATGGAGGGAGAAAAACTGGTGAAGCTTCACGTCATGCGGATTCACCGGCGGGTGCACAGGCAATGGGGTATGGTTGATAGCGGGTATCGTCTCCGCTGCAGGCACATCTGCCTCCTTCGACGACTCCCCAGCCGTTCCAGATGCCCCTACACCGCCCGCCGCGTCTACCTTGGTCTTCCCGTTATTCGTCCCATTTGTCGACGCGACGACCTTGGGCGGCTTGGCCGAGTTGAAGTAGCGCCCGCCCCCGGGCTTGGAAGAGAAGAAGGAATACGCTCTCCTCGAAGCTGGCGTAGGCTTCAGCAGGCGGGAGAGCATAGATGTCGTAGCCAGGATGTGACTGGTAAAACCGCTCATAGCGCCTACTAGGGCTCTCCGGCAATATCCGAGTTCGCGATACCATACTTATTTCGCCCGGCGATGTTAACATGTTGTCTCCTCGGTTTTCAACTCTGACTCCACTTATCCTCTGGTCTTGCGTTTGAGATGGCACAATGTCATGCGTATTGAACGTCCGGGTTTAAATGCTTGGCTCTTAGTACAATAAACTCCGTGATCTAAATCGTAAACCATGGATGCGTGACAACTTCATGCGTTCCAATCCTTTCCCCCGGATGGTACTTCAGCATCCTTTCCAGTAGGTCTCCCAATAGTTCTATCTCATATTCGGTCAATTGCGTCCCGGACGTCTCTATCATTCGACCTTCGTAGCTGGATGGCGGGTCGTCCTTGGTGCCTATCGAACGCAACTTGACCCGGATAGAGTCCTTAGAGGACTGTAAGGGGACGCCAGCGGATCGCTTAGCCTTTCTGCTTTTAGGCTCTCCATCTTCCTCAAACCACTGAGACTGCCCTCCAAATGCACCCCACTATGGATCTGATAACCTCCCTAAGGTCTCGACTGTTTGCCGAAGTATGTCTCCGTCACTTCCGAAGAACGGGTCGAACAGCGGGAACCCCGCGCGGATCTCGAAAATGGTACATCCCAGCGCCCATATGTCGGCCTCCATACCTGCGCGTCCCTCAAAGCGTGTCTCTGGCGCCAGGTAATTCATTGCTGTGCCCGGTTCATAGTCCCTCGGTGGACCGGCCACAGCGTACGACTGGCCGAAGTCGGTGATAATTGACGTTTTCTTGCAGAAGCCGCGCTGCTGCTAGTCTAGAGGCCTCGATAGGCGCGACAAGTTCTGCTGATGCATGAGGGCCAGGGACCTGTCTGTCAAGTGTCCTGGTTTCTTCTGTCTCAGGTAAGCCTAGATAAGCGTAAACCTGATCGTCCGTCCATGGCAGGATCTGCTCTGACACGCGGAAGAGGATGTTTGACGTGGTCACATCTACGATCGCCTGAGCAGTCAGTGTCTGCTTGCCTAGAGACGGGAAATCAAGCCCGACCTCCATGGATCCAACCTGTTCCGTGCATCTGCTGTATCGCTGTCGCAGTCTCTTTGGCAATCCTCCTAGCCAAATCCCCGCGGAGTCGCCGGCTTCCAGATGTTCTACCCGGCGAGTCCGACATGGAAAGAACGCTCGGGCCCGCTAGCGGAGATATCAGGAATCGGTGGGACCCGTTCGGTCCATGTACGAGAAAATGGTCGATAACAGTCTGAACATTGGCTTTCTGGCGGCCTGCAGCACCCTTGGGACGATCAGCTCTGGAAGTTCCTCTGCGGGTTTGGACGAGACATCGGCACGCATGGCTTTAAGCGTCACTAGCCTTCCTGATTCCCCGTGCTGTTGGTCTCGTGCCAGCCATATAGTGGAAGACCCGCCGAAACCAAGTTTATGGATGATCTTATAGCGTTCCTGCGTGAAGGTATCACCGATGGATATGGGGTGAAGTCCTCCCGGTCGGTATTCTTCGACATCTTCAACGCTATCTAGTTGAGACGGAATGAACCGTCGGGCTGTCCTGAAAGAAACCCGGCGCGCGAGGCATGCATGCACAGATAGGTGCTTCTGACATGACAAGCTTTTCTGTACATGTCTGAGTTTAACGATGATGAACATGCAACGGTGATAATTTACACGGCAGACACAGTTCGCCGAGTAAGGGTTACCCTACTACTAGTAGAATCGCACCGAAGCAAGATGGCGTACTGGTAGTGGTTGGAAGATCGGGCGAGAATTTGGTGGTTACTCTGTGATGCCTTGGAGCTTATAAGCCCTGCGAATAGTCTCCGACAGAATCAACATAGTATTTCCATGCCAGCCATTGGTCATCAAAGACAGCGCAGCAGGTAGCTTGTATACTAGGGGTTATAATGCACAATACAGTAATCATAGTTCAGCAGCACATAGTCTTACACGTTCTCCTCATCATACCCTGGAGCGGCATGCAGAGCTTAAGACCGTCACAATCGTGGCACTCAACAGAAGATGTAGCATCCGAAATCCTGGAGATCAAGCCGGTCAGCACTCGTAACCCGCAAACAAGGTCCCCAGGCACGTACATCAGATGGATCGTTGAACCTCAGCCCTATGTCCAAGCGGCTGATCCTTTCCATCTCCTCGTTGCTCAGGACGAAGCCTCCCTCGGAGGATTCGCCCTCCGTCCCGCCGACGCCTAGTCCAACGCGTATGTTCTCTTCCATTCGAAGGCGATCATCGCTCTTCGGTATGACGGCCAGGCCGCGCTGCAACGCCCACTTCAGGATCACCTGAGCAGGCGTCGCGGATTTGTGCACCTTGCCGTTTAAGCCTTTGCTGTGGTCATGGTGGTTGGCAGCTATCTCAGTTATCACGGGGTGAGTGAACAAGGGCTGCGCATCAAGGGCTTTGGGCATGTTGAGAGCCCGGAAGCCGAGAGGGCCGAAGGAGGAATAAGCAGTCACTGCTAGCATCTGGGTGCGGGCGTAACCGAGAAGCTTGGGCTGAGCATTGTACGGATGAATCTCTGCAGATACCTGTCAGTGGATCTGGCATAAGCAGGTGTAATTCCACGCACCAACTTGGAGAACCTCAGGCTTGATTCTGGCATAGCTCAAGAGATCGGTAACTATGACGCTGCTCATATTCGAGATGCCCAAGTGTCGAATGAGTCCTTCGTCGACAAGCTCTTCGAGAGCACGCCATGTCTCGTATAGAGGGACTGGATCTTGGATCACTTGCGTCTGCTTGTCATCGAAGAACCAGCCAGGCGGATAACGCTCCTTTGTGGAGACGTAAGCGAGGGAAATAGCTATATCATGATATAGCGTGAGATATAGATACAATCGCGATGGAAGTGTCCGGGGTGTGTACGCACGGAAATGCACATAATAGAGATCAAAATATTCCACGCCCCAGTCTTTTAATGACTTCAAGACGGCCTCTCGTACATGCTGTTTGTGGTGGAAGGTATTCCAGAGCTTGGAGACAACCCAGACATCGGAGCGCGAAACTATGTTCTCGTCAATCGCCTTCCGGAGGCCTGCACCGCAAGCAGCTTCATTTGCATAATCTAGGGGATTTGTGATTTGAGCATCACGTATGGAAAGGGCCTCCTCAAGTCTTGCTCACCTGCGGCACAGTCTATGAGCCTGTATCCAACTTTCAGAGCACTGTAGACTGCTTCTGTTGCCTGGGGACCGACGTGTTTCCAGGTGCCAAAACCAATCTGAGGCAACTCTGCGCCTGAAGGATAGAGTGTGATCGATGGTGAGATGAAAACCATCGATTGGATGCTAGTCGTATTGGTGTCTTTTGAGTGGTAGTTAATGAAAGAAACTGGACCGGTGGGACGACCCAAGCACTTTATACTCACCATGGTGGGTAGCTAGAGCGTCCGGAATGCGACGGAATCAAAGCAAAGAACGACCAGAGATCTGCTAGAGCACTCTGGATTTCAACGGAGCGTCCTGGAGCGGACCCAGGGCAAGCCTGAAATTGACTGGTATATGTTTCCAGGAGACGGGCTTAGGCGGAATTAATGTAGCGTATACATTCGGTGCACCGCCCCGCTTCAGCGTGTCAAAATACCCCGACCGCCTAGCCAAGCAAGTTAAACATAACTTTGTGCTGAAGAATCCTGGCGGCGTTTCCTCGACGGAACTGCTGCTAGGCCATGCTCGGTTTGGCCAGAAGGGCACCGGGCCGCAAAGGATATTTTTGGGAGTGCCAGGGATTTCCTCGAGATCTCACAGGTCAACCTCGCCTTGTTAAGACCAACAATTGTCGTCCAGAGTGAATCGCGACTACTGTGGCTGTAGTGTGAAAGCCCCAGAGCGTCCGGGAAGACTTGAGGTCGTACAATTCTAGTGCAATTTACCCCGCAACGTTTGATGCGAATACTAATGCCTGGCCAATCAACCAGGACACGGTCTCGATTCTGCATTCTCAGATAATTGTTAGGGCTTTACTCCTGGGGGTCCATAGGTACATACACCGTATTATCTCCCTTTGGCATAGACTTGCGCTGTCTTCACATCGCACAGTCACTGCAGAGCCTGAGTCCTGGCTCACTACAGCAGTTCAAACACCTTTTGTCGTGGAAGTGTGTGTTTGTCATGTAGTGCTGATTCGAATGTAGAGAGTGCTTGGCATGAGTATGTATGGGATAGATAGGGCGCCATAAACCTGAGTACAGCATTGCGATCTGCAGGGAAGAAAGCTACCTTGCTATTACTCGCGTGTATAGCTCACGTCCGCAGAGAATGACGCTATCGTTATCACCGGAAATGAAGGTATAACACAACAGCAAATGGCGTCGGGTGCAAGTGATGGCATACGCAGACCCCTACAATGCCTCCATTCGCGGTACCCGACACTGACCATGCCGTTCTCATCGGTCTCCTTGAGTCCTTCGAAGCAGCTCATAGTCTGGGTCCTGCCATATCGCTAGCCACGACCAGAACACGGAAACGATTGCTCATTGTCCTCGTCTCCGAACTGTTCAACCCTTTCGATGGCACTGCTGAACATGGCGTATCCCCTACGAGCGCATGGGACAATGTTCAGAGGCTCCTGACCTATGTATATGTGCAAGCAACCAAGACTGCGCAGGACCATGACCGAGTCTTGATGGATGTCGACGTCCTACTGAAAGGTACACATGACCATCTGCCGGAGGCATCGGGCGATGGGATGCAGCGGTTGTTCAGGGTCGCAGGAGGTGCGCAAAGGAACTGCGAATGTTATATCTAAGTTGGGATGAACATGCTGTCCTGATAGACCCAGAACTCCGTACACAACTTCCCCAATCCGTGTTATCATTGCCGCAGACATGGCTACCTCCAGGAGGTCCTGCATATCTGTCAGTAGAGACACGCTCGAAGAGTGGTCCTAGCAACCAAGATGAGCACCTGCCACCCGTGTATCCTGTCGTGGCGTTAGGGGGCACATTCGACCACCTGCACGCTGGGCATAAGATCCTCCTGAGCATGAGCGCTTGGATTGCTCAGGAGAAAGTGATCGTCGGGGTTACAGGTGAGTTACTTTCTGTCTTATCCCTGTGATCCAGATTCAGACGTGGATCGATGCCATGCTCTAGGGGATAAGCTGTTGGTGAACAAGTCCAACAAAGAAGTTTTGGAGAAGCTCCCTGAGCGAGTGGCCCGCGTTCGGGCTTTCTTGGAATTGTTCAAGCCCGGCCTCGTGTATAACATCGTGGCCATCGACGACGTCTACGGTCCTACAGCCTGGGACCCGAACATCCAAGCGTTGGTCGTGAGCCAGGAGACTTTGCCTGGTGCTGCCTCCAGTACGTATCGTTCAACATACTTGCCTGAACATATCCTGAAAACGTGGGCGCAGTCGATAAACTCCGCAAGGAGAAGTCTCTGCCACCTCTGCGAACATTTGTCATAGACGTGATATCGTCTACAGAGTCCAGTCTTGATCACACAAATGCTGAACTGCTCAAACAGGCGAAGATGAGCAGTACATTCATCCGTAAATGGATAGCAGCACACATCGGTACCGGTAAGATATGAATGGAGGACTACCGCTTCACACTACCCCGCAGGTACAAGCCGTCCACAGGTGACGCTATACCGGACCATGCTTAATGGAATGTATATCAGAGATATGTAAAGTACAGAATTGGAACACCGTAAGCGGAAGTCTATGAGGCTACAGCAGGAGCAGCCGACGAGACGCGGCCTTCGACGCGGACGTCATAGCCGTACCCGGTCTTCGCGCTGCCAGGGACGTCGCCGGGTCCTTCGTAGTGCATCTTAGTAATATCGTAGTTGCCTGCACGCATGACAATAAGCTCTTCAGCCAAAACAAAAAGGCGTCGGAACACGCACCGAGGAAACGCCATCCATCTTCCTTGACATGATACAAGTTGCAAGTGTTACCTGAGAAGGCATCACGGTGCCCTGCAGCGTAAATACTCCGGCGACCTAATTCCTGGGCCTCCTCATCTGTGAGGTCCCACCGGTAACCTTGATCCAGAACACCGTAGGCAAAAGTGCTTCCTGAGCCGACGGAGAACAGGTCGCCCTTTAGTCGCGTGCCGTCGGAGTCTACATAGAATACAGCGGGTCCCTAGTGCCGTATCACTCAGCGCTGAAGAAGGGGATATCCTTTGGATGCGCGTACCGTTTTGTCCCATCCGCAGATCATGGTTCCCTGAGAACAGATGAACAAAGATCGATCAGCCGCCGACGGGTCGACGCACCATACTGAGACCCATGCCCTTGTAACTGTAAACAAGGTTGCTCAAATATTTGCTAGCGGCGGCGACGGAGATCCGTTCCCGGTTTCGCAGTTCGTGTAACCGGCATTGGATACCAAGGTACGTCTCCCAATATTGACAGTCGGCTTAACATATCGCTCAGTACTTGTTAGAAGGTAGAAGATAAGATTTCAATTACCGGCTCCTCCAGCCATAGTTCCGAGCAAGTACGGATTAATCTCAATGACCTTCTTCACCGTCCCAGATGCTGCCAACGGACGTGACTACGGAATGAAGTCGTAGCAAACACTGGCACGAACCGATGTAGCTTCCAGCTGTTGCTCTAGAGTCGACTGCCACGATCACGCCTCCTTGGAATCGGAAAGCCAAAGTAGTTGTTCCATGCTGAATCTTGATCCTGCAGTTGGGATCGGCGTGGTCGTCCGTGTGCAAGCGCAGAAATGCTGTAGGCTAAAAGCAGTGTTGGTACCTCCATTCAGGATTATCATCACTCCTTAGGCTACCGGATAACTCACGTCGTGGACAGCAGGGACAGAGAAACTTGGCACGCCTTTCGCTAAGTTGCCAAAGCCAGCCTCAGAACCCCATGCAGCATCCGAGAACTCTTCGTCGTCGTCTACAAGAGCCTGCGCCTTCCGAATGACACTGAGTGCACTGCTGGTAGAGAACTGGTTGACGAAAGTGTTCATGGCGCGTTCACGGCCGAAAGCAAAGTACAATATGTGTATTGAGCGTGAAGGTGACGCGGCTATTGCAAGCAGACGCGTCCCGTGGGAAACCGTGGGCTCAGCTGATGCTTCTCGAGATGGTTGCCTAATTAGGGCATGTAAGAACGAAGGTTCCCAGTTGTATTCTCATCGACACTCAGTTTCGCATCGGAGAACTCGGATCGATGTTGGCCATCCCGCTGTTCTGCACGTTCACCACGACGACCCCATGTTGTATCGATAACTGAAGGAACTCCGTAGGGGACGGGTCATGACATGACCAGCGGGTCCTGTGTCCAGCAGCCTGGCGAGGGCACATGCTTCAAGCTTGTCCGTGTTCCGCGTCGCAAGCAGCAGAACTGAACTGGCAATTGTTTGGCCACCGAACAAACGTGGAACCCCGCTGCCGCCGGCGGTGATAAGCTTCGACCTGCGGTGACTCCCTTCCGTTGGTGTGCGACTAGGTCTACATAGGTATGCTAGAAACCCATCTTCCACACCTTCTGCAGGCTAGAGGAGGACATGCCTAATGCCATTTATTCTACGTAGACAACTAGACTGACGTTTGTACGGTTGAACGTGGAAATTATTAGAAGCTGTTACATATTATGAAAGTGGAGAAGCATGACACGAGGTGCTAGACGATTCAGGCCGACCTTCGGGCGAGTATCTATGCGGCCTTTATAGCCCAAGCAAAATTCCAGCGGCTGTACAAGTGTACTCGCAGAGATTGGACCTCAATGGCTGCCTCGCGTTGCATCTTCTCCACTGTCTCAGGGAAATATCCCTCGCTGATATTTTGAATGTAAGACGTCAGGGATCACTCAGCTGGAGCGCAGTCAACTCTCACCTCAGTAGGAGCGGTGCCATTCCGTTGATATGAGTCAAGGTATTCGTGCGCATCATTTCGGCCATCTGTCTTTCTCTAGGAGAAGCAGCTGGCGGAGATAACTTAAGAGAAAATTTGACAAGAAGCGCACGACTCACTTTCGACCCAAGGCCCTATGGGGACGAATATTTTGTTCCAACCGATGTTGGTGAAGTGTCCGTCTTCCTGCAGCCATCTGGGCGTGAGGGTTGGAGAGTCGATGCAACCGCCACGATTTTTCATGGCATTATACGCCGCGAAAAATACCTTCTGCGTCCAAGTAAAGCCGGGCTCTCCCGGTTCTAGAGCTGCTAGTGGCTCTTTCGACTCGTCGTAGAGCTGCATCTCCCCGTCCGCCAGGAGTAGGACTCCACCAGGTCGAAGGGCGTTAGCAAACTCTCGTAGGAGACCTTTGAAGTCGTGTATCTAGAGAGGGGATTGTTACTCTCTTGTATCGAAGTGGGAGAGTTCATTGAGCACTTACGCCAGCTGAGATTGCACGAGCGTGTATGACATCAAAGTTCTGTCTATAATGGGCAAAACCCAAATTTGCCTGAATAAAGTCAACACAAATGGACATAGCGGGAGAAAGTGGAACACACATCATCGATTTCGAATCTGAAGTCGGACGTGAGATTCCGGAGCTACCTAAATAGACCAACCAAACTGACCTGACATTTTCTGGCAGTGGTCTCAATGAACTCGAGCGTTAGCAGGCGGCAAGGCGTGGAGGAAGTATACTGACCCGGTCACACGTATTGGTGCAAGATCCACACCAACCACATTGCAGTGAGGAAAAGCCTTCGCCATATCCAAGGCCCTGCATGTTGATCGGCGTAAATGACGCTGTCTAGAGGCTGGGGAAAAGATAGTTCACCAGCTTCCGCTGCCAGTACCAACATCGAATATGGCAGGCTGGTAATCATTTCGAGGTCGTAGGGCATGATGAACCATCTCTGGAGCTGTATAGAGATCCCCGAGCATTAGGGTGTAAATCTGATGCTGCAAATCCAAGCGCTGATGCTCTTCGACATCCTATGACGGAATCAGTCTATGCATTGGGGCAGGTGTTGCCTCTACGTACAGCAGGAAGCATGTATGTCTGCAAATAACACACAGTAAGAGCCGGGGGAGGGGGCCTTTGACTGCTGTAGGTTTACTTACTTCATTTTGGCTATTGAGGATCCGTCCGTGGACACTACGAAGCTGTCACGACCGTAAGATCTTAGTGGGCGACTCCTACGACAAGTACAAACCAACTTACTACTAGCCGCTCGTCGATGGAAGGGTGGAAGGAGTATAAGGATGGCGCAGGACTGCCCGACCTGACAGAGGACATATCGGTGTCATAGTCATCCTCCTGCATAGGTCGTGGAGCCAAGGACAGAGCGCGCTAGAGAGTGTCGACAAACACGCCGCACCTCCACTGCACTCAAACTATATAAACAGATGTACGGTAACTGAGTATGGTGGACATTTCTCCTCCGCCGGTGAGGCTGTGGGTCCTCATTATCTTGGGCCGAGATATTCTAAACGTGGTGAGATTGGTTATCTCGTATGCGGAAGCGTCTACGCAAATATAGAATCATGATCGTGTCTCCCGGAGATGCCACAGTTGTATTGTCTTCGTCTCGAATTCTTAGATGCCTCGAGGTTGACCATCGGAAGCCCATCGGCTTTTAGATTCTCGCTGCGTTGGATCTGACCAGTGGGGAAAGTAGCCTCGAGGAAGCAGGTCCGATCACATTCCATATTTTGCGAAGTACCAGAGTGTAGGCGGCTGCTGCCCAAGGGGCCGACGCCAGATGCCGCCCTTGCAGTCAGTGCACAGATCAACGCCAGATCTTGCATTTCGGTCACAATTGCAGTGCCACGTGCAATTTGTGGCCCGTGTTATGACTAAGCAGTGTGGATGGGAGTAGGATGCGGCGGCGCGTCTCAGCATTCAGGTTACTGCTTCCACACGCCAGAGAACGCGTCAGGATTGCAAAATCCAACATACGTATTCCAAGCCACCCCACTGAACTGTACGAAACCGATCGTCCCGAATGTCAGGAATCTGCAGAACACGTCTCGCCGAGGAGCGGAAGCAGTGGCGAAAGGACCATCCATTCGTTAGTAGAACCGCATATGCATGGATCGAGCGTGAATATCACGTATACTCACGCGTCTTTTAGGGCTTCTATGCGAAGCCTACCAAGGCCGCGGATGGATCCATGAATCTGATGGAGTGGGAGGTCGGCATCCCGGGAAAAGCTGGGGTGAGCTGTTGTTCTACCTTTCATATAAGCCAATGTTAATACGGGCCCTCTTTTGCCGACAGACACCATGGGAGGGCGGTGTATATAAGTTAATGATGATATTCCCTGAGGGTATGCTCACGCCAGCCAGCCCAGGAACCAACGATACTGATTGGTTTACCTCCAGATTACCCATCGAAACCGCCGAAGTGTGAATACTTTTGTTCTGCTCAGAGAGCCATACGCTAACGTCTTGCATCTGATAGGCAAATTTAGTCCGCCATTATTTCACCCGAATGTTTATCCATCAGGGACTGTCTGCTTGTCTATCTTGGACGAGGAGAAGGGGTGGAAGCCCGCCATCACCATCAAGCAGGTATGGGCTGCGGGGATCGCGGAAGTGGTCGTCCTTAACTGAAGCGGCTGTAGATCGTCCTTGGGATCCAGGATCTTCTCGATGATCCCAACGTGAATGACCCAGCGCAAAGCGATGCGTATACTATGTTCAAGTGAGTATATCCTTAATAGTCGCATATCAGTCCCACAGCTGATATCGACACCCTCATCAGAAATGACAAGGTGGCGTACGAGTACGTTTTCCCCAAATCTGCGTGCCTTCGCGGATTCTGACACGTTGGCAGGCGTCGAGTACGGCAACAAGCCCGTGAAAACATTCCTAAATGAGTGGAAACCTCTACAAGTGCTGTGCCTTGCTTTCCATCCTTCTCTCACACTTGCTATGTTCATGCTATATACTTTCCACGGGCTTATTCGGGTCACCACGTATTATGTGCAAGGAAACTGTATACAATAATCTTATGACCGACGGAAACCCGCCAAATCTGAGATATCATCTCAAATCGCCGTGGAGCGAGTGGCATGAACGGAACAAATTGCATGAGCCTCGTGTCAATCCCGCAAGGTGAGAGCAAACGTGTTACGGTGTGATCCTCTCCGGATCGGACGATGTGAAGATAGCGAGTCGCCCCGGAATGTGGACTCTGCCGCAACGGAAGATGTTCCCATCGGACACCCAGCAGCCGACCGGGTAACTTGAACTTCCTTCGAGTAAGCGATCAAGAATGAGCACTCGCTTCATGGGAGCCAGAACCAATACATGACTTTAGACTATAAGCTTCTCGATGGCGTTCTTAACCGTCTGAATCTGGCTTTGGAGCTCCCTGGACTCATTAGTGGTGACGCTCGCGGCAATGACCGGCCTGGAGACACCGCAGGCCCGACCAAGGGCTGTCTTCGAGGGCACAAACACATACGGAACGTTCTGGAGAGCGAAGACGTCAACACGGACCGCTTTAGCCAATGAAATATCGGCGTATGCGCACCTTCTCTTCACACAGTAATGGAAGGTGAAGCAGGATTTCTAGGGGCTCAGTGTCGGCGGTTAGGATGATAAACTCCGCAATACCGCGATTGAGGGTCTTGGTGGCTGAAAGACAACGTCACAAACGCCGCACGAAGAGTTTGTGGGATGCGCACCTTCGTTAGCCCCCTTCTTCAATTGCTTGTATTGGGAGGCCTGTTGTACCAGATCAAGGATCTACGCGCATGCGAGAGCTCAGGGTCATTATAATTGTCTCTAGCGTAAACAAGTTTGTCCTCACCTGGTTCGTCAGTTCCGCTTCAGCAAGGGGCCACGCTTTTCCTCTAGCCTCAGCCATTATGTTTCGACCTCACGTATAGGATGATCCTTGGTCAAATTGAAGGGGACAGTTGTCTTCTGAGAGACAGCAGTCAGTTGAAGGAAAGAAGGTGAACATGCACTGCAAAGCATTTTGTTGCGAGCCACGTGCCGATCGTTCCTCCTGCCAAAAACGGCCAAAATACGAGCGCATCAAAAACCGAGCACGCCTCTAGTCCGGCTTTCAGACTGTGGACAGGCCATTTTTCTCACTGAAACGAATGGTCTTACTGTCTTTCCTTAGGTATCTTTCCAACTAATATGCTTGCTGAGGCTGCCCAACTTTTATAATGATACGGACCACCCTCAGCCCCCTGTGACAAAGACGTGACCGCGGGTTGTGATCGAATAGCCGAGACTTCCTAAGTACGCGTTCGAACTTGATCGGACGCCAATAAGGTCCCACAGCTCTGGTCACCTGTACGCCGCATACTTTCTGCTCAGTCGTCCTGCTCTAAATGTCGTCCGACCTGTCTGTTGTCAATATTCATACCCCGAGTTCTTCCTTCGCCATCGTTCATTCACGTATGTGAGCCCGGGCTTCTGGGCACGAAATATGAAGCTAATATTCGCGGTTGCGCAGTTACATCTGATTCACTGCAAAGTCTCCTCGACACACTCAGTCGGAAAGCGCATACGGATTATCATGGCGAGCGAGTGGGACCGGGCTGGCTCAAGTATGAATGGAATGGCACTGTCTGGAATTTGGATGACGGTAAGCCTGTTACGTCTAGTGCAGGACGCGCAGCTCTTGAACTTGTTCATCCATTGTAGACTCGGATTACACCATCTTCAAATGGCGACAAAAGTCGGCATCCGAATCGTCGCTTGGTCACACGCCTACTCTGCACTTGCACAACCCCAAGCAGCCTCTGCCAGTACCTTCTTCCTACCGAAACCCCTCCTTCTACTTATTCCGGGAGAATGGTCCCACCGCCTCTTCTATACGTTCGCCGTCGAGATTAGGAGCACGCTCTGTCAAAAGTGGCAAATCCAGTAGACGGAAAAGCCAACTTCAGGAGGACGATGACGATGGAATTCCAAAATTCAAGAAGGAGTTTGAGAAATTCCATAGTGAGAACGGAGTACGAACCATTTTAGGGAGCATTGGACCCGTAAAGGATGGTGTGTATATCCCGTCGCTTACTCCCCCCTTTGCCGTTACTAATCCGAGTCTCCGCAGTACGCATGCTACTAAAGAACGGATACAGGCATGTCTACATTTCCCGAAAGTTTGCGCTAAAGCATGGATTTATCCCTGCTGATGCTGCGCCGGGTCACTACGGCTATAGTGGTCTCGTCAAGTAGGTTTCCTCCGGTCGCCTTAAATAATATGGCCTGACAAGGTGCTTTCAGCATCGGCAAGTGGCCGCTCACCGTTGGCCGCACGAAGACACTGCATTCCGTGTACCTATCGGAGGAGTCACATTTCGATGTCGTCTTAGGGCGGTCCTTTATGGAGATGCGGCAAATAAAGACTGATCCTACTGACCCCACGGACATCGTTTGTCTGGACACTGGTGAGAAGATCGATTGCGAGCTGGTCATTCTGAAAGACGGGAAGGGTGAGATTGTTACCGTTACATGATCTTGTGCTGGACATCATGGACTCTTGTATTTCATGGACAATGTATGTACTGTAGAACCTGTTCATATGAGTTATGTATTCTCTTGCCTGTCGGATTCAATAGCTAGCTTGTTACTAGTACTGTAGCTCCCTGACCTAAGACGATTCGGGTAAGGTCAAGCTTGTTACCGGCGGTAGCTATGAAATAGCCGTGTATGTTTACATGACGTGAAGTGACGCGTTGAGAGCATATAACGCGCATGCTCTTATACCCTACTCAACGCTGGTGGCGATCGTAGACAGTCTGCTTTCTGGCACTGGTCATGAAGCGTCTATTCTCCAAGTCCTCGAAAAGCCCACCGCCCGCAAAGCCGGTGACCGTCCCTGCTGTTCCGAATCCGATCGCAAGTCCGACCCATCTGCAGCCAAAATATGTCATCCCCCCTGTTCCCCATCCATTTCCGTACGAACATATCGCTGTCCTTGTAACGCGGCAGGGACTGCTCTTGCGACCGTTTGTGCCGGGACTGGCGCATCCCGAATCCCATGTCCAGATCAGCTGGGGAGCGAAACCTGTTGTGGAGGAGGTTCCTGGGGACGGGGAAGGCCCGGACGCGGACTGGTCCGAATGTGTGGTCGTCTACGGGATTGTAGGGCTCATGGAGCTCTTCTCTGGTACGGTCATTGTTTGTATAGGGCCTAGGGGCTGACTGAATATCGTATGTCTATGTAGCGGCATATCTATTTGTTGTCTCATCTAGGTCTGAACCGGGTCCATGTAAGTATCCAAAATGCGTGTGTTGCGAAGCGGTAGCTTACGCCCTTCCAAGTGCTCGATCCCGCGCATCCAGTGTATGGAGTGAAAGGGGTTACTGCTATCCCACTAACAGAGGAACGGGCTAGGATGGCTGTCAACACCCTGGCCTCGAGGAATACTGCAGTAGCCAGGCCATCACTTCTCCCCTTTTCTCCCGCAGACGAGCAAACGGACCCTATCCAGGCAGAATCCTCGGAAGTTAAGGGTGCGGAGTCAGGATCGCCCCGCGTGAAGTTCTCTGCCGAAACACAAACGAAACTGATGACCCCCCTGAACAAGCAAGAGTTTTCATTGGAAGACGACGATACCCCGCCATCGCCGACAGAGTCAGGTGCTTCTACACCCTCGTCCGTAATGTCAGATAATACCTCGGTCGCGAAGACGATCGCGAATCGACTATCATTTTGGAACCGCCTTTCAGTGCCTGTACTCCCCAAGAGGGGCAATACTTCTGAATCTATTGACTCCGAGACTTCGCGTCTGACATTAGGTGAAGAGGGCGAGGAAGCTCTCGAATCGACTGTAAAGGATCCGTCGCAGGAACCTGGAGATGCGTTGACGAACATTCTCACCGAAACCGCCCCTGACCCGACATCAACTGAAGAAAGACATACACAGCTAGAGGACAAGATTATTAAAGAGACCATTAGAGAATTCTCGATGGGTGCTATGTACTTTGCGTACAACTTCGGTACGTGCATCCCTATTCAGTCTAAGGTACAGTATTGACACCCTTTGTGCAGACATTACGAGATCCCTTCAGCATAAACAACAAGAGCTTGTGAAGGCAAAGAAGCAAAACGAGCTGTTGGCGAATTTGAACGTCCTCGGTGAAGATAAGCATGGTAGCCCAGTCGGTGATCGTATAGATGTCCTTGCTGAGCCCTACCCGACTCTGCCACTTTGGCGACGAGTCGACCGTCAATTCTGGTGGAACGAATGGTTAAGCAAGCCTTTCATAGATGCTGGGGTGAGCCTGCATGACCACTAGTTGTATGAACGACGCATATATCTCAGTAATTGTCTCAGCTGCATTCGTACGTGCTGCCCATCATGCAAGGGTACTATCAGGTAGCATCCTTCAACGTTCCGCGCGAACCTGTAGGATCGGAAAAGGGAGAGTACGCTCCTGTGGACTACATCCTCGTTTCTCGGCGGTCGAGGGAGCGAGCCGGCCTCAGATACCAGCGACGGGGCATAGACGATGAAGCAAATGTCGCTAACTTTGTCGAGACCGAGGCTATCACGCGAGTGGAGGTACGTTTGGGACACTTTCGTCAGGCAGGTCGTCGGCAGATGTATAAATGATCTTCACTTGAAGCGCGAAGGAACGCAAAACATATTCAGCTATACCATAATTCGTGGATCTAGTAAGTGATTCCTGGTGTAGACCCATGATAGGATGCAAACCAAACTACGCACTAGTTCCCCTTTTCTGGACTCAACCTGGCTACAGCTTGAAGCCAGCTCCTGTGTTATCCCCGGAGCGAACACATGATCAACACTTAGATGCCATTCGAAGGCACTTCCAGAAGCTGATCTCCAAGTATGGGCCAAATGTGGGTTTTCACGTTTCTCGGCTCGTCGCCGGAGGACGGCGAAATCTAAAGTTTATCTTCATACTCAAATAGACCATCGTCAACTTAGCCGAACAACACGGCAAGGAGGCCGTTGTTACCAGCGCGTACCGGCAGTACACGTCCGAGCTCAACATTCCAGAAGTACAGTAAGTGAAACTCACCTCCCCAATCCTGTATCGATTAATGATTCTTTCACAGGTACAATGACTACGACTTCCATACTGAGACGAAAGGGATGAAGTGAGTGCGGATATCTTGGTTACGAACGGCCAATCTGAATGTGGCTTTAGGTACGAGAACATCTCCAAGCTCATTGACAAGATGGAGCGTATCTTCGAAAGTCACGGGTGAGACTAGTCTTTTCTCTTGCAGGCTGTCGCACCGATTGTAACGACCCCAGATATTTCTGGGTCTCGAATGACCACCTTATGTCGGAACAGAAGGGTGTCTTCCGTGTAAATTGTATTGACTGCCTGGATCGGACGAACGTTGTGCAGGTAGGTCCGGAGAAGGCGATACGCATCCATCTGGCCGCTCACGACGCATTATGAGACTAGTCGGCGTTTGCGCGTCACGTATTAGACAGGCAACTGGGTGCATTAGCTCTTCTGAACCCCGCGGAGGGCATCAGAACAGAAACGGATGTGGTCTTCAATGACGGTATGTTATGGCTACCGTCGTATCTGCCGTTGTAGCTGATCTTACCAAGTATGGGCAAATAATGGGGATGCGATCAGCAGAATATAGTGAGTTATTCCGCACCGATGAAGTAGAGCTCATGGGTGACCCCCTCCCCAAGCGCCGGAACATCCGCCTTGAAGGTATGTCCTCTTAAGACTCGTCTTGCCCATGCATTCAGATTTGCCTTCCTCTTCTAGGGCGACTTCACGAGGTTTGGGTCTTGCTCGCATATTTCCTAACTTCACTAATGTTCCCGGAAGGACCGGCAAGCGTGACCTAGGCGGCATGCTGAACGACGGGGTGAATTCCCTTGCTAGGTTCGCCCTTTTGCTGTCCGCACTCACCCTCAAGGACCTCAACGTTGCATATGTTATAGGATGTACACGTCGACGTTCAGTGACTGGTTCTGTCAAGCAGTCATAGACTACATGCTGGGCTATCGCACACTCTCGGTCTTCTCCGAATTCCTGCTGAAGCTGCAATCCAGCGATCCTCGCGACCTGATCCGGTTGTCAAAGATCCGTGCGGAGGCTATCGCGACGTCTGTGTCTCGGGTGTTGCTGGAGGGAGAACGTTTACTCTCAGGATGGACCTTAATGTCCCCGCTGGAGCTAAATGCGAAAATAAGTCGAACCTTTGAAGAGAAGGTTGTCCTGTTGGTAAGCTCTTCGTCAGATCTTCCATGACTTCCGTGACACATTTCCTAGTCTGCGAGGGCACTGTACATAGTCGTAAGTTATCGTAAACGACCTCTGAGGCGGAGCATAACATGATGTGCTTCAGAGCTATGATTATAGCCTTGGCAAAGTCAAGATGTATACTCGTGTTCCTCTTGGGGACATTACCAAGATCAGCAAAGGCGAGTGTCATCACGTCATATTCGCAATCCTCTAATTAGCGGTATCCAGGCGCATACATCCTGTCACCGCTTGAGGAAGCCAGCAAAAACCCTCTACAAAATGCGGGGTTTGTAGTGACATGGCTGAACAATAATCAAGACACTCGCGTTACAAGCTACTCGATACGGAATAGTATCGAGACATTGTCTCCTCCATCATCTCCTATCACCTCCTCCCCAGGCAAGTTACCAAGCTCGCTGAGCTCACCACGAAAGGGATCAAAGCTGTCCAGGGTTTTGTCCAACGCTGCATCGGACGGCTCTAGTGCGACCAGCTACGCAGCCTTCAAAGTGCTGCCTCTAGACCCCGCACGAACACGGAGAGGATCGGGGAACTTCGAAGAGCCGGCCGATGACCTGACTGGCGCTACAAACTGCAAGGAGGCTGTTGACTTGATAGTTGACGCCATCGAACGAGCCTGCAAGGATGTGGGTAATACCCACGACAGTTTCGTGGTAGACGAGGATGTCGTGAGGTGAGTACGGATTACACTGGCCTCGGTCGCGATTGCTCAAGGACGTCCTTCAGTCTGGCTGATGCACAGAAGATGACAAGTGTATACTCGAAGATGGAGTATGGGATTAAGAGGTTGTTGTGGCTAGGCGCTGGTACCTAGAAGCACATCTCATCACTCTCAATGAACTCACTTGCATCATGGACATGTACAACTTTGCAGCTGTCGATTATACCAGTTCGAGTCCAGTGTAATAATGAGGAGGAATAATTTACAAAGGAGGGATTCCATTGCACGGAAAGTAAGATGTCGTGGAATGGATTGGGCGCGAGGTCGAAGAAGTGCGGTACTTAAGACAGACAAATATCCGAAAGATGATGTAAGTGGTGAAAGAGTAGTACAGTGGTATGAGTGAGGTCCGAATAATAGACACAAGCAAGGTATAAACCGTCCCGAAACGGAGCAAACGAAACCGGAAATCCGTGGACCGAAACCCAATATCTACCTGGCCAGTGGAAGTTTCGAAGTCGATGCCCGACCGGCCAAAGGCATGAATACTGCCCATTACCGCAGTCCGCTGCCACCCAATTGGGCTAAATCTATAAAGCGTGTGGTTCTCTTCATGGCCCTCCTCTCTCTCTCGTCGTCTTCGTCCTCGTCATCCTCACTATGGCCCATGAAGGCATGACGCTCGCACAACATCCTTCCGTCGACTTCGTAATATTCCTCCAAACGCTCCGTGCAGCCGCGAGGATGTTCGCAAAGCAGATGCTCAGGATGGTACCTGTCCCCAGCGTGCGAGACCGCACAAGGGCCTTCGATAGGCTGGCCGCAAGTGGCTGCCGCGCAGAGCGAGTCGTTGGCTTCGTGGTAATGATACGCGCAAAATGGCTTGCCGTCGAAGACATAGAAAGTCTTGTCCGGAAAGGGTTTCTGGGAAGGCGTAAGTTGTAGAAAGGCGATCAACAAAATAATAAACGCATACATGACAAGTATGGCAATTAAAGCATTCACGGTGATATTTGCCTTTCAGCTGGCCATCCGAGGAAGAGACGGCGTGTTTCTCAATCGGTAAGTTACAACGACGGCACTGTAACAGATAGTCAGTCTCTCAAAACTGGCAAAAGACGCGCACACAGCCAAGCAGATAGAGGGATCCGTGCTCACCTTTGGTAGATACATGTTCTTCCAGCACCTCTCACACATCACTTTACCCATATCCATCCTCACCCACCGGCCATCATCGATCCTCCTCTCGCACCGCACGCACACCCGCGTCTTCCTTTCCCTCTTCTTGCTGCTCTCACCAAGCGCATGCGTATGCAGCGTCGGGCTGGTATGGCTCCGCGTGGGCAGCTTCACTGCATTCACGCTCGACCCTCTGTTCGACGTCGTATTCGACTTCGTCAACCCAGGCGCGACCGCGTAGGACGTCGACGCCGTCGACGTCGTCGGCGACATCGGGTCCTCGAACAGCGTCTCCATCGCGTGCTCCAGGCCGCCCTTCGTGCTGGCGCGCGCCGAAGAGCGCGACGCGTCGGAGATACTCCGCATGGGCATGTCCGCTCTTGGCGGCGACGACGGCCGCCTGCCCGACGAGCCGGAGCTCGACGTCGACCCGGAGTAGCCGAGCTTCGCGGTCGACTTCTCGGAGAGCGACGGGAAACGGACCTGGTTGTTGTCCTTCGCAGCCAACGGCTTGACCGTAGGGCTGGCTATCAGGCCCCTCTCCTCTTCGTCCGTCTCGTCCGCGTATGCGAGCCCGCTCCCCGAGTACTCCGAGCCAGACTCGGGGTCGGGAGAAGGCGAGCGCGAAGTCTCTTTGTGTTCCAACCCGAACCCCGATACAGACGGAGACAACGGCATCTTGTTCTTGAATTTCTCAAAGAAGGGCATCATAGATCCGGAGGGCGTCATTGGCGTAGTAGGCGTCTGCGGTTGTTTGGCGTAGTCAGCGGGTGTGGGCGTCGGGGTCTGCGTCAGTCGGTCTATTTGAGAGAGTGTAGAAGGAGAGGGTGTTCTGGACGAAGCAATGGCAGGGCCAGCTGCAGGACGCGATGGAGACGAGGGTCCGCCGGGAGTTGCCAAGGGGAAAGAAGTCGGCGAGTAAGGTGAATGGGGTGAATGCGTGGATGAGTGTGTGCTAGGGTTGGGCGAGAGGGGGGGAGTGTTGGCTGCTATCAAAGCAAGGCGCAAAAAAAAACTCGAGTCAGCACGACATGCCATACTCGTATAAGAGAGGCCGGACAGGGTGGATCCGTTTCAGCGGGAGTTGGAAATCAGTGATAAACACTTAGGATCATGGGATGAGACAAGGTCAAAAGGGGCAGTGTCGTTGATGTACGGCGCAAAGTGACAGTCTAACATCAAAATTCGGACTTACCATGTAAAACGTTCGGCGCTGTACTGATGTCAAGGAACTTCGGGGCGTTCGGTCGACGACCATCCATACCGGGCGTTGCGAAGCTGGGACTGTGACTTGTTTGACCAGTGATATTGGTGGCGAACATGGCGGCTCTAGCGGCAGCTGCGAAACCTCTCCGACCAACTCCTGCCATACCGGCCTCTCCGCCGATCTTTGTGTCGATATCTTCGACATGCGGTGTTCCAGGTGTCGGCGGGATGGGCGCTGATGGTGGCGGAGGTGGAGGCGTATAGGCAGCGGGGGAGCTGGGATGGCGATACGCAGACAGCACACTCATGTGTTGCTGGTTCCTGGAAGGGGTTCTAGGGACCTGAGGTGGAGGACCAGACGAAGGAAAGGGAACATGGGCTGAGGCATTGCTAGGCCGTCGCATTGACGCCGGGGTACCTGTGCGAGAAGGAGGATGAACGAGCGGTGCGGATGGCGTTCCGGTACGAGCTGGGGGTATAACGGGGCTAGACATTGGTTCCGGGTATTCTCTCCTGGGGCTTGATAGCGTCCTTGCCCTGGGATCTACGGGCGTAGCAACCCGGCTGGGTGAGTAGGCAACAGGGCCGCCAGAGCGCCCAGGGGACGGAGGAGAAATAGTGCGTTGCGACGCATTTGAGGGAGTCCCAGCGCGATGAGAGTGAATGGACAAAGATGGCGTTCTCTGGCGATTTGGGGGCACAAGTTCTGACGCTCGGGGATCTGGAGGACCCGGGCTACGACGAGCGCTGAACGGTGAAGGGACTCGTGACGGTTCCTGGCCTCTTGATAAGGGACTTGGTCCCAGTTCAGGTCGCTGGTTGCGCCCACCGAGCGAAAGGGACGAAGACCTCGGCTGCGCTGGTGCTGGACCCGAAGGAGCTCCCGACGACGCGTTGGCCGGTGTCCCACCCCTGCTTGGAGAAGCCGGCGGTTGTTGAGAAGTCTGTGAGCGAGTGGCGGATACGAGGTTCTGGAGTCGCGTAGGAAGCAAGTCCGTCATGGATCTCGTCGATGCGGCGGGGGACTTTGGAAGTGGGGGTACCGGCTTGCAAACATGGTCGCCTAGCTCTGAAAGCGCGACTGGCTCATTGCAATTCGAGCATTTCACGGTTGGCAAGAGCTGGGAGAGACGAGGAGGGCCCGAGGGGGCAGGCGATAGTAACTGGGCCATGTGTTGATTCCGAGATAAAGAATGGACGAATAGTGTGCTTGGTGTATTAGACGGCCAGCGTGTACTAAGTGCTCAACGTCGGGCGCGGTGACGGCGAGCTCTAGCGGATGGACCGTGCACGTAGAGAGTAACGATTAGGGCGGCAGAAGTGTAACATAGAGAGGCAAGAGCAGCAGGAGAAAAGAAAAAGCAAGAGGACGACGCACGGGCGTCGGGAACCAACTCACGCGCAAAGAACCCAAGAACCCGCCCTGCCACGAGTCTCCCATCACCAGCCCGACGCGAACTCCAGTCATGCGCCCGCCACCGTCCCCTGCCAACCTTTCTGCTCTTTCGAGGCGCCGGTATAGCGGAATCAGCACAACGCGGCAGCATCTGCCAGGCTAGCATCGACGTGATATATATCAGGTAAATGCAGATCGCAGGCAGCCTCATTTGCCCCGCACATCCTTTCGCACCATCATGTACAAAGACCCATCTACGGTTGACCATCTGGGTCAGGTCAAATTTAAAAGTCACTGACTCACATTGCGACTGCTGTGTTCGATCCCCGGTGGGGTGGATGGGGATATTGGGCGGAGTTTGAATTGTCGCAATCCACTCAGCGGACGAGGGATACTGAAGGGGCTACAGTAAAAATGTACTACGTCTTGACAAGACTCCATCCGGACGCTCCTGAAGAAGTGTGACGCAAAATCTCTACACGATATGAGACTATGCTTGTTGTAAGAGATTTGTTGCTGAGAACATACGACGGGAGTTGCCGATATTTGAAGCTCCGCTCCACCAAACAAACGGTCAGCTGCAGTCTTGTGTATGGGTATGTCGCGCACTGGGCTTTTGTAGTATAATATTGGGGGCATAGTATAATATTGGGGGCATTCTATAAAGAGATACTGGAGTACCCGTGCTAGGGCTAGTGACCTCCAAGAGAAGAACACAGGCGGGGAGCTACATTAAGCAGCCACAGCCACTTGCGGGATATCAGTATCGGCAGGTGGACTGTGCAGCGCGAGGTGTAAACGGTTGTGAAGCATTAAAGGATACGGTTAGTACTAATGTGCACTAAACGGTACCGATAAGTCTTTCCGTCCGTCGCTCCCCGAAATATGTGGGCTGGGGATTCGCATCCTCTCGGAGTAGTGGTCCCGTGCCTCTTCCTCTTCTCCCTTTTACTACAGCGATATTGATTATCGAACAGTCACTACTAACTGTAAAATTCAGTGCCGCGCTACGTACATAATATTGATAGATGTATTCAACCTTCAGAGACTGTTTCGGGATTGGCCGAAAGCTGTCAACGCTGAGGATCGAACCTAAGGCAGCCTCGAAGTTGTGAGGCGACTTCTGAATTTGACCTGGCCCAGATGGTCAACCGTACCCATCACAATTCTTCCGCTTCGCACACTCGAAGCGGTATCGGTTAGTCCGCAGAAGGTGATATCAGAAGACTAAGTGCAATGGCGAGCAAATCT